CATCTTCTGGTTCCACATCAATAAGGGCCAGTATACCAAGAACTGGAAGAAGATTGCCCTTTGCATCATTAACGGCATGCTTATCGTTCAATCGTTGTTCATGAACGGTGGAGGCTTGTGGTCTTCTATCACCGAATTATTGAATATCTTTGAGAACGACAAGAGCTCTATTCGTGGCGTCTTCTCATGCGGTGACAACTCCATTTAGATACCAAAGTCAAGAACTTTATAGGTATAGATATTATGCAGCATGTATATAGCGATTGAACGATTTATGATTATTTTTACTACTTCTTCTAATTAAAGATTGACTGATCAATTGGTAATATTGAATGCGGGTCTGACAGGCACTTGTCTTGTACCCGGTGAGGAGTCCGCGAGATCTCTCTATTCCAGGAATCGATACAAGTTATTATGACTCGGCAGGGTGAACAGAGTTGGCGGGGGCAGCGACAGGCATTGCAAGTCTTGCCACAATTGATTGCCATGGTATGAACGAGAAGACGAGCTAGACAACGTGATAAAACTTGATCAGCAAAGTGGAGCTGGGAGGATCTCGCGATGCTTCGGGCCGACCAATGAAGGACGAGGGTGGCGAGGCGGCATCTCGAGATCTGGAGTGGCCAGACCAGACTCCGGCGCCGCAGATCTGAGTCACTGTCATAGGGCTGAAGCTAGCTACTACGTTGAATGCTACGGACAGTCCCCTGGCCTTGAAGACTTTGTCTTCTTTGCTTAGTTGGTGGTGTGTGCAGAGATGCAAACTCGAGGTTATATCCCTTCTTATACCCTCTTAGTCTCTTCCCTTTGCAATGCCCTAGGGCTTGCAATAAGATTTATTGGTTATCGTGAAAGCTTCTGGGTAAAAGCTTATATCGGGAAAAAAAAATATCGTGTTGTCATTCATTATCTGTGTTTGCAGCCTCTAGGGCTTGCAATAAGATTTATTGGTTATCGTGAAAGCTTCTGGGTAAAAGCTTATATCGGGAAAAAAAAATATCGTGTTGTCATTCATTATCTGTGTTTGCAGCCTAAAGCTTAACCTTATAGGCCGCCGTCATCTATACTTCTTTGCTTAGTGGTGTTTGTACGATTGGTCCTGCAAACGTCCAGATGAAGATTCGTATAGCATGGCAACCGGAAGGGATGAAACCTAGTTCCAATGAGATCTAGTTATTTCATCCAGCCTCCGAGATCAATTTATATTAAAAATGGCCTAAGTCGCTCTTTGACAAGTCATTTTGACGATGGCATCCTCCTCCGTCAAGGTGAGGTTAAATACGCGATACGAGCGATACAGGATACGAAGGCTGACTTGACCATCGTGTCTATTTAAGAACAGAACAGTGCCTGGTCTCCGATATCAAATTATTAATCTGTCAATACCAACACTGAGGAAAACTCCATCTCTCCAAATTTTATTCCCATTTCGGGTCTTTTACCAGAGCCAGACGACCCAACCGTTGGCATACATCATGGTAAAAATTGCTCCCTTTCGACCACATATATCCACCTTGCGCTCACTTCAAAGACTTTCGGCCATCCAACTCAACAATGTTTCCTCAAATTCACCACTCAATCCAAGATGGATGACACAAGATTACAGCAAAAGAAAGGCTCAGCGAAATGAGACTCCAGGACCCAATCCCTCCTACCCAGCTTTCAGCCTCAACTCTCTAGGCCTTAGCAAACAAACCAGGATAGTCTTGATGGTAGTCCTAAGCATCTTTGGTACTATCGAGACTTGGCTTTGGTTCAAGGCCATCTGGCAGTGGAGAAAGGGTCGTCAAGAAGCAGAACAGTGACCTTCTGGTGGCCATGCATCACAGATATCGACTGGTTTCTTCATTGACCCAGAGGTCATAACTTGAGGGATCGCATTCTCTCACTAGCAGCTACGTCCGAGAATGAACAGAACGCTGCCTGGAGGAAATACTTGCAAACGCGCAATCGTTGTCATAGATACTACGAAAGTGCTGAAGCGCATTCCTGTGACTTAGTGATAGACTTTCGGGATCGGCCGTCGAGATTGCCATAATACCGATTATCCGGACATAAGCCGGCTGTCATTACGTAGACATCGGATCTATCGGCAATTTTATCCGACAACCTGGCCTGGCTCTACTCCATACTTATCGTCATCAAGTAACTTTGGCGTGAGGCATGCGGGGTGAAAGCATGTTTTCATAGTGCTCAACAGCAGCTTGGAAGAGTCAACGACTTGCTCTGGCTGCCGTGCCTTTTTGAGATTGGCCACAGGGATCAAGGCGAGATCTTGAGGGCGTTGCATTGGCGAATCTCGGCTGGCTTAATCAAATGATCCTTTGCTTGGAACAAGGTTCTCGGGAAGTGCTGCTGTAGCCGAGTTGAGGTTGCAGCGGGGATTCATTGCGAGTTAGCAAAGAGCTTGGAGCAACGCGTGTGAGAGCTCAAACGGAATGAATATGCCGATGGTAAAAGTCTGTATGCTCTCCATCCTCAGATGGCGAAAACGGGGATAAGAAGCGCGTAACAGGACATATAAATGGCTGCTCAAATCATAAGATATCCATTACCGCGAGGAAATTTATAAAAATAGAAAATTGTCTTCTATAGGGTATGTCAACAATGGCTATCGCGAAACATCTGATAATGGTACTTTCCGGGTGCGGGCCACGCGTAATTTAGACGCGCGTATTTCCGTGATTCTATACGACAACAAGGAGCTAGGCCTCATTTTCTACGATAAAACAGCACCGTATCTAAAATTAAACACCAAAAGTTGAGACATTAATTAGACGAACTTTAATCTCAGGTTGTTGTCTGGTATTTAGGTATTGCTTAAATACCAGATCGGTGGATCTGATTTGCTGCATGGAGATTCTGGGAAGAGATTGATAAGTCCCACGACCTTCTCAAACAGTCTAGACAGTGTCTCAAGAGACGCAAGTTTGTGAATGACTCGCCCAGGAATTTCTTGTTCGAGGAAAAGACGGAACCTTATAAACTGGAAATGAGGGTCGAGTCTAGACTTGGTAGATCCATGCTACCTATTTCCCCGGCATCGTAAGCGAATCCATAGCGCAGGGATTGCGTAATCTGTGCTCTCGCTTCCTCGTGTTTATTGCTTCGCCTCCTTTGACCTGAATTTCCTGAAGCAATTTTTCGGCCCCGTTTCTGGACTAAAAGTAAAAGGCATGACTGCGCCTCCTTGCTAGCCGTTTAACCCCTTTTGACAGATGCTTCGTCATTTAATTCAGGAGAGTGTCTCAATTGATACGAATAGTGGTTTCTCCCTCAAATCGTTGCGTGTACGTTTTATAAAACTCATGAGCATTTCTGGACTTGATAGCAGACTTGGCTGTTCGATCCTGCTCTGTTGATGAAAGAGATAAGCTGGGAGTTGAGTCTCTCCCTCTGCGCTAGCATTAAAGTTTATTCCCCGCTGGTCGATCATTGGGCGAGATGAGAGCGTCATTGGCTAAAACGGTCGCTGCCACTACGGCCTTGGCAGCTGTTGTTCACGGCATTGATGTATCGTGGGACGACGACAGTAAGTCAATTGGTCTTTACTTCTTCGCTACTATACTGGGTAACTTACCATGTCCAGAATCCATCAAACAAGCTGCCAGTACTGTTGCGTATGGCTTGGTAAAATACTACACTGGTAACAATACCGGTGATACACCAGGCAATCTACCAGATCCTTATTATTGTAAGTGATGATGGTGAGCAATACGTGATGACTTCGGCATCTGATTCGAAACAGGGTGGACGGCAGGGGGTATGTTTGGTACATTAATCGACTACTGGTGGCTTACTGGCGATGAGAGCTACAACAAGATTACTACACAGGCTATGCTGCATCAGGTCGGAACAAATGACGACTATATGCCCGACAACCAGACTATGACAGAAGGCAACGATGATCAAGGATTTTGGGCAGTCGCTGCTATGTCGGCAGCTGAACATAAATATCCCGACCCGCCAGCAGACCAACCGCAATGGCTAGCACTAGTCCAGGCTGTTTTCAACGAATATGTTAGCCGTTGGGATACACAACACTGCGGCGGCGGAATGAGATGGCAAATTTTCACGTGGAACGCCGGATACGATTACAAAAATTCCATCTCGAACGGTTGCTTCTTCAACATAGCTGCGCGTCTCGCTCGCTACACTGGCAACACCACTTACGGAGACTGGGCTGAGAAGGTCTGGGACTGGGAAACGAAAATCGGACTCATCAGCAGTGATTACCAGGTCCGAGATGGTGTCCACTTCGTAGGAAAATGCCCCAGTTCAATGGATACTAACCAATGGACCTACAATAGCGGTGTTTACCTTTATGGAGCAGCTGCCATGTACAACATGACCGGAAAAGCTTCGTGGAAAACCCGAGTAGACGGTCTGCTGGAGGACATAAAGACCGTGTTTGTGAAGAATGGTGTTATCTATGAGCAATTCTGCGAGGAACACAAGCTTTGTAACCTCGACCAACAGACCTTCAAAGGCTACCTCGCCCGCTGGATGGCAGCTACCGCACTGGTAGCTCCCCATACCTCCGAATACATCACAGCGACACTGCTATCGACGGCAAAGAAGGCCGCCGCTTCATGTACTGGATCACCATCTTCAGGATTCGCAGGCATGGCTGGCACGGCTTGCGGCTTCACATGGTTGACCAACGGGTTCGATGGGATCGTTGGGGTTGGACCGCAGATGAGTTCACTGCAATCCATCATGTACACCCTCGCCCCGGCGGCGAAAGCACCAGTGACTACAAAGACTGGAGGAACGTCAAAGGGAAACCCAGGTGGCGGCCAGACAAACATGGATGTCGACGTGTCGAAACCGAAATATGCAAAGATCACAATGGTGGACAAGGTAGGGGCGGGCGCTATAACATGTATGATTTTAGCTTGCGTTATTGGGGGTTCTGTTTTTGCTACTATCTAAGTGTTTTCTATCAAATCAAGTTTATCTGTTTCTATTAATGAGATTTCATGGCCTCTAGTCTCCTATCAAGGCTCAGGTAGAACTGAGTAGGTAGTCATTTCACCGCATCATGGTAATGCATTGCCCCCATTCTTCGTTGCCCTCTCATTATCTTTATACATACTTATACAGTCTCTGCTTAACTGCCAACCAGCAGAAGCGCGACATGATTTGATAGGCACTTTCTGAACTAGTTGGTTTGGTTCTGAAAAGGTGTAGTAGCCATACATTGAATCGACAACACTCATGTTATTTATTTCATACTGAATATGCGGCAGAGAGGCTTCAACCATCGGCTCCGAGTCTCTTGCTTGCCTATACGAGCATTAAGAGAAAGCTCGCGATAGAAGAGGCCGTGAATAACAAGGAAGACCACGACGCAGCCAAGCTGGATGCCAATACCAACCATATAAATATGCTGCCCCAGCTTGGAAGCATCTGCGTTGTCCGAGGCGAGCATACCTCCACCGGCAGCCTGTATGATAAAGCACATGACATCGAAGATAACGAAGATCTTGGCAAGCCATTGTGCAGAGATGCCGGCTACACGCCGCCGCGGGATGACGAAATGGACAAGACGGGCGACGATCATGTATACGAATGCATTAATCCCTGAGTAAGAATATTAGCTGATTATCGCAGTTAACAGATGGAGTCCTTACAAATCGGGGCCAATAGAAATAGAAGAGTCGAGACGGTGACGTAGGCCGCTTGCTGCTGGTCCCTGGCTCCTAGGGCTCGAGCGATGAAACAGATGCACTCCCAGGATGCCCCCATAACGATGACCCAGCAGAATTTCTAGTCATGTCAGTCTGTTATTCCTTCAAGGCATGAGATGGAAAGTACCTGTTTGAGGATGACTGCCTGGGCCAGGTGAGCAACTGTGGACAAGCCAAAGGCAACCGCAAAGGCCGTATTATCCTCCCAATTGGGGTAAAATCCATAGTTGGCGTTACAAGAATCCAGAGGGACATAACCGTACTTGTCGGGCACTGCGGTTGTGCACGAGGGCGTCGCTGATGAAGTAGTTGTAGACGCGCGGGCGAGGAGAGTGAGAGTCGGTATCATGGTAGACATTGTTGGTATAGAATAGGTGTTCGTGGGAGATGGTCGGTATGGATATTCGGATGATTGATATGGAGAGTAGAGTAAATAAGGCTGGCCCTGCAGCTACTCATGTCTTTATACCAACTGGCCAACGCTGAAGCCTCCCCAGGAGTCGTAAGCAATGTTGCAAATCAGCCCCTGACCCAGCATGATGGCACAACAAAGCGTCGTTTTCGAGAGAAAAAGCGAAAATTAGTTACGCGTCTAGATTAACATGACCCGAGAATGAATTCCAATAGGTTATCGACTATAGTCAATTGTCTAGGCTTTTGAACTGTCGCGCACCGACCCTCCAAATTGAGGCTCCGTGATTGGCTCGTTCGTCGCTTTCGTCGTTTTCTCAAAATAAGATCAAGAATGAGGGGCCTTGGGATTAGACCGAGCGCTACTGCTCCCGTTTTAGGCTGCATCAACAAGACAGCTTTCAGGAGGCTGTGTTCCTAACCCCCCTCGTCCTTTAATTCCATACCATTTTGGAACATCTCCACCGAGTCTAAGCAGAAAGATCTCTTGCCTGGCCCAAAGGCTACATGATGTACCTCTGCAAAACGTCAGGCAGACGTCTCCCAATATTCAAGATCCAGGACCGGGTGATCTGTTTCGAAAAGGCAAACCGCCTGCTTGAAGTGCTGAGGAAGCATTCCTCTAGCATATGGTTCAGTACTAAGAAATGCGCAAGAAGGATCTGGGCTCGGTAGTTGGACGGATCTGTGAAGCTGGCGTAGTCTTCATCCGTCATCTTGTTTGTCAAAGCATAGCAGAATACCATTTCCAAGAGTGCTTTTACTGTTAGTCAAGTCTTTGGGGGTGAAGAGAGAAGAAAAACAAACCGTCTCGTGGTGATGTTTTGCTCAGTAGAGCTAATCTCTCTAGTCTTGAGACGTACTGTAGCTCCGCTTGTCCTTGAAGTAAGGGTTGAAGTATTTTGAGGGATGCGAGAAAGTCTTCAATGACTATTTCATCAGTAGTTCCGTGCTGCTCCTCCAAGAACTTCTCCATACTTCCAACCCACGAATCGCGCGTGAATTGACGGAACATGGATGTCCGATGGTCAGTTACCAGAGTGGTCGAGATGAGCATCCATCCACGCATCATTGCTATGAACTCCATCAAGCCGTCTGGCATGTGGGAAGACTGAAAGGTGAGGCCGATGATTGCAGCATAACGTGCGTCTGCATCGGCTGCGGTATGACATGGTTGCGATAGCGCATCATTTAAACCCCGAATAGCGGAGATTCTGAGATTCAGAGCCTGTACAGAGTAGTCGGCTTTATTGGACACGGTCAGGTGCTGGGCCGCAAGAGCTAGTATGCTTGAGGCCAGAAATTCATACTGTGGATTCGAGTCAGACACGATATCTGGAGGCAGGTTGACAGAGAGATATACCTTGTGTGAGAGCGCAGCCACGTCTTGCCACACAGCTGAGGCGCCATATGGATGCGGTGGATATGCTTCGGCGAGGAAGTGATGGAAAAACCGAAGATGATCGAGGCATACTTTGACTGTAGGCGCTGAAGGGACAATCTGAGGATCAGGCAAGACAGCCGCAGGATAAACGCATGGTAAGCGCATGCGGCGACAGCCTTGACACTCGGGCCGGTGCTCAGAGCACTTGACACGACGCCGCTTGCAATTGAAGCAGCCGCGCCGAGTCTTCGGAAAGCCTCTGCCAGGCACGGGTTTGCGCCGTGGAGCTTTTGGTGGCGAGGAGGGCCCATCTCTGATGAGAGGTGAAGTCATGTTACCTGGATGCAGCGTGCTTCGATGAAAATGTGATGCTTTGGCCAGAGGCGGACTGTGACGAAGGAGATGCTCAAATTATGGGTGCCTGGAGACTTTAAAAGCGCTGCTAGCCCGCCACTTTTCCCCTTAAAATCTCTGTCCCGCTCAAAATCCCTGCTCCACATGGGCTTGCGCCGGGATCCAGTGCTTGATTAATACTCTTTATAAAACCTATCCGAGTTTATAATAGTCTCTGCTTACATTAATCAAATAGAGGGATACTAACTTCCTTAACCTGGTCTCATTTAATCTTTTTTATTTGCACGTTTCAATTATCCTTCATTAAGAGTGATCTTCGATTCAAATGCTATAGTCCTTAAAAAGATTAAGAGCTGCAAGAGCATGTGGAGCTTGGAGGACCAGGCATAGACAGAACTGACCGCGGCCGTTAGCTCTGCTCAGGAAGAGAGACCCTCGAAGGATACGTGGGTATCTGAACAACTGCTCTCAACCTCTGCAAGCCGGCGTAAGGTTTTGAGTTATCAGTACCAAGGCGTATCTTGCTCCAAAGCCTCTTATGATACCGATGAACCAGCACAATGGCATCTCGCTCTTGTGACGATAGGAATCGGTAGAATGGGTAGAGAGTGAAATATCCACGGTATGGATGGGGATCATATAGTAACTTCAGACTCGAAAAGAACTGATATTTCAGGAATACTCTCAAAAAGAGACATCTTTCCGAAGACTTTAGAGATGAAAAGGGTATGCGATCGTGATCTAGCTGAGGTTTCGACCCGGGCTTATTCGAACGAGCCGAAGTATTGTTGACGGACCATTCAGTGGTTGGTTTCAATCTCATCTGATACTCGTTTGAAGACCAGGAGCGTCCATGTTTGAGAGAAGGATCTCCGAAGGGGTATGACAGTCTTTGAGCTTCAGAGCAGTCTTCCTTTCTCCTGTAGTCCTCGATACAAATGATGATTTGAGAGATGAGCTGATAGACCCTAAGCTGGGTCGGTTTGTCAGAACTTTCGAGAGGGTTAGGAAAGTTTTGTTTTTCGTAATGGAAGAAGAGATCATATTCCTGTTTGTTCCGACGAAGATCAACTGTATGCATGAATATATATAACCATTTCTGTCTTGGATAACGGATTGGTTCAAGGTCAGCGAGGTAAAGGAGAGCCATAGCGTCCTGGAGAAGACCTCCAGTTTGGTCGAGGCTGGTTAGTTCACTGAGCACCTCCCGCACGACGACGTGGCGATGAACGGTATACTGTTGTAGCATAGTGGGAGATGCTTTGATGAGTCTCCTGATGCAGGCTGGTGACCCAAGATCGATGAGGATCTGTATTCGGATGGTCGCTGGTAGGCGCGAAAAGAAATCCATTTTGAACTGTAGGCGCAAATCGCGGGATGTGCTGATTGACAGAGAAATGCTCAATTGTATGAGATAACAAGGTAAGAAACTTGATCTGGTACGAAGAAGGATTTTGTAGGCGAGCCCTAACTTAATTGCTGGGACCAAAGTTCGCCTCGCACAATTTTCACTTTCGCGGTATGGGCCTGTGAACTTAATAATTTGCCTGTAATGAATCATATCATCACAGCCCTCTGTAACTCTAATATGTGATGGCGCTTCATGATTCATTTATATTCGCAGTGGAACGATTAGGCAGGGGCTTGTCAAGCATTAGGAAGTGGCAAAACTAAGGCGTCGGAATCATTCTGTGGTAGGTTTACAACGCAGGTCGGTGTAAACCATATGAACATCGCAGCGACACAGGTAAATGTGACCACTGAGAGCTGCTATACTCGTGACACTGAAGCACAAGTCAAAGAAGGCCGAGGCTGTTTCAATCGAACCATGGAAAGGGTTCGGACCAATTGTTGGTCAGACTTCCTATCTGATCTAGGTTTTCCTCAAGATAAAATTTGTGTTGTAGTCATCGATCAGCATTTTGCTTGAATGCCAAACGTCAAGTCTCAAGATGTGTTTCGCAGTTGAGACTCGTGGCTGAGAGCCCACTTCCCACCAGCTCCTCATTTGAATGTTTCTCCTCACGGAAATACCAATTCGTAGATCTTATAAGAACACCGTCCTTGACGGGATAGGGCACCCCTCGTTCTTCTATTTCCTTCCTTTCTCTGCCTCATCACGTCTTCTGGTCCCGCTCCTAAGCACTGCCCCCCAACATGAAAAGCGCCATCGTCTTTCAGGTCTGGCTGTTCGCTTCAGCGTATGCCCAATGGCCATGTGGCAATATAGAGGAGGTACATCCACCTTTCAACTGGCATAACTGTGTTCAAGGGCCCTGCAAGAAGTACTACGGCGCCATCGTTCTGGAGTCCTCGCTGCGTGAAACGAATTGCTGCGCCGGTCGCTTCGACATTAAGGACTTGAGCAGAGGACACTGCAACAAGAAGGATAGAGACACCTGCCCAGTGGACTGCTGTATCGAGGGGGCTGACTATCAAGCTCATGGCATATCGACCGACGGCACGAGCCTGAAATTGGACCTCGGCGCCACCGCGCCTCATGTTCCCAAGGATCTGATTCGGGTAATGCCTTTGAAGGAAAGCGAAGAATACCAGCACAAGCCTCTGACCCGTCGACACGATGGAGAGTATACTTTCACCATCGATGTCTCAAATGTCCCCCCAGGTTACAAGGCGAGAGTGTCACTCAATTGGATGTGGCCGAATGGCGCTAAATCCGAGATGAAGGGCGACAAAGCCGGCGCCAGGTATGGAACCGGGTATTGTGATGCTACATGCGACAAGGGGCAAAGGTTCGTCGAGGGCAGAGCCAATATCAAAGATTGGGTTCCTGATAAGAACGATCCCAAGTTGGGCACAGGTCGTACCGGTGCATGCTGCCACACAATTGTGCTATACGAGGGACACAGAGAATCTACGGATTACTCCTGGAGTCCCTGTATTCCGCCGTGGTATCATAAGTGCGACAAGGAGTGGTGTGAAACAAGGTGTTTCGCATTCGGCTGTCGCTGGAACCCTAATGGGAACAAAATGAAACCATTCTTCGGCCCTGGACCAACCAACACTATCGACTCGAAAAAGCCGTTCAGCGTTGTGACTCAATTCTTCATTCAACAGACACCAAAAGTGGATTGTATCATGAAAACTAGGGCCACCTACTATATCCAAGATGGAAAGCTTTTCCGCAGCCCACCATCTGACTACAGACCCAACGGCAAGCTGTTCAATACCATGAATAAGCAATTCTGTTTCAAGATGGCGTCCGACTTCAAATGGGGCAAGCGGTGGAGGAGAGCCGGTACATTCTGGCAGCGAGGTCGTGGCAGCATGTACAAGATGGTGCCTGTTTTTAGCATATGGCGAGACGTGAGTATTCTCTCCAAGTTATACCGTGGACAAGACTGACCTTTGGTAGCGAGAATATGACAAGCTCCATCATTTGGAGAATGACGGGAAGGAGTTTGACGATTTCCCTCGCAACGCATCTGTTATTATCTCTGACTTGAGGATCGGCACGATTAACCAAACTTTTGTTGATCTGCTTGATCCGGAATTGCGGCCAGTTGACTTGCCACATCGAGACGGTATCACGTTTCAGGAAAAGTATCAACCCAAGCCAACAGGTTGGGGGGAAGATAAGCTTTGAAGCACGTAACAGTATTGAAGTTGTGCCTCGAGTTATACTTTTACCTCGGTCGCAATTGCTGTGTGATCAAGGAACATCAACGGCCACGCTTAGTTATGTTAGAGATAGCGAGAGGCTTTTGTTTCTGATAGTCAATATGAACAATCTCTTTACCCAGTACCCGAACGCAAGTGACATACCGCTCTGTGATTTCAAGGCAGTCCATTTGAACGACTGCCGAATATTGTTACCGTACTATTTATCGTGTCCACCGATGTCGCTCAAAGAAGCAGGAATAAGCACTCCGGCTAATTCACTAACAAGGAAGAGGTCTTGACTTCCAGAGCGTCAGCGAATCAGAAACAGATCCGAAATACTGGTATTCCGGAGTGCGGGGAATGCTAGTCCAGAAAGCGGCCCTTCAACCCAAGAAGGCCCTAGCTTCATGGGTCAATACCTGGGGTTTGCGGGGATTCCTCGATATGACGCTTCCGATTTCCTTCCTTGACCGCACAATGCATGACTGGACGATATTAGCAAGGCAAAATTTGGCTAAATGTCGGTTGGTCGATACCTTTCCAAGTCACAAACTTGTTGATCATGGAGTACAAAACGCCAGACGTAGCCTGACATCTGTCGAGTATCATAGGCCAAGGACCCGCTGGACAACATCAACATGGCGCTGTTCTTTACCCGTTTTCTGTCCGTAGTGCTCTGGTTGCAGTCATGCTTTGTCTTCGCTGTGCCGCAGCAGAGTGGCTCGACTGACATGAGCATCCTCCCGAAGGTGTCTCGGGTGAGAACATTCATCCTCACTGATATCCTCAATGAGCCCGATGACTCAATGTCGATGGTCCGGTATCTGCTGTACTCCAATGAATTCGACACTCGTGGTCTTGTCGCCGTGACTTCTTGGTCCTTACGGAATGACACCCATCCCAGTGAAATCAAGAAGATCATCAAAGCTTATGCCAAGGTTGTTGACAAGCTAAACCAGCATGTTCACCCTGACAATGAATATCCGAGACCTGAGGATTTACTGAAGCAGATTTCATCTGGACCTAGAGTGAGTTTCCTGGCAGTCCAAATGGTTCGCAAGCTAATCCCATCAGTCATATGGACGAGCGGCTCTCAAGGAGCCCATCAGCGACGGCGCCAAACTCCTTATGAAGCGTCTTCAAGAGTCCAAAGATCCGCTCCATGTTAGTCTCTGGGGCGGAGCCAACACTCTAGCTCAAGCGCTGCAACAGATTGAAAAGACAAAGAGTAAGAAAGAAGCTGCTGATCTTCGATCTCGACTGAGGGTTTACTCCATCTCGGACCAGGATGACACTGGTGCTTACATCCGAGTCAAATGGCCAGATGTTTTCTTCATCATCAACGTCCATGGCTATCGCGAGTATCGTCTTGGAACATGGACTGGTATATCCACAGCCGACAACGGCGCCGCCAACACTACTAAAGTGACAGACGGTTGGCTTACTCCAAATATTCGATTGGGCCCTCTAGGGGCGCTTTACCCCGATATTATATATACCATGGAAGGAGACAGTCCGAGCTTTATTTGGAATATCCAAAATGGTCTGAACGTTCCTGGTAGGCCGGAATATGGAGGCTGGGGAGGTCGATATACTCGCGTCACGGAAGACACTGACATTAACGAGTACGGCACATCTGGGGATGCTTTGATCAACACTAAGGGCCAAACCTGGTTTAGTCCTTATGCTACTATCTGGCGCTGGCGCGATGCGTACCAAGACGACTTTGCTGCTCGTATGCAATGGACATTGATCGATAGCTTTGAGGAGGGCGCTCACCCTCCGAGCATCAACGTCAACGGATCCACGGGCAGTGAACCCCTAAGATTCAAGGTTGGCCTCAAAGACGCTATTGTCTTGGATGCCGGCAATACCATCGACACGGATAGTCAGGATGATTCATCAGGGTTGGACTTCGAATGGTATTCTTATGCTGAGTGTGCATCCCCAATGTTGACCAGTCTTGCTGCCAACTTCTTCTCCGTTGATACGCTGGCGCCGCCAAAAGGAACGAACGGCACACTGGCTGTTAATGAAGCAGGTTTCACTAATGTGGCTTTAGGCCCAATTGTCAGAATCTCGACCAACTTGACCAGTTGGGAAGAGGAGCAGCCTAGCTCCGTCGACAAGGAATGGCATGTTATCCTTCAGGTCACCAACAACAAGGGATCATATCCGATCCGAAGGTATAGACGCGTTATTCTAGAGCTCCCAGACTCAAAGTAGACAGGATATGTTTAAGTATAATAGCATAATAATTCATATTCGCCTTCACTTTTATATCTCATTATTAATTCGTTCTTCAAACGCTCGGCTGATCATCCTTCTTTTCCTTAAACTGGGCAAATTCATCGTCTTTCTCCCAGCGGACTTCCACCTTTCTCCCAGTCCCTTGTAGTTTACCATTCGCTGCAGCCTGTTTCAGACGCAATCGCAACTCTTCATCCGGCGCACATGCCAAAGCCGCGAGTATACTATCCTTAAGTGCTGGTTTCTTTAGCTTCTGCGTCTCCCACATACACAGAATCGCAAACGCTATTCCGGTTATCAAGCTTGCGCCAGGAAACCACAAGTAGTTCCATCGGACATGTGTAATGACAACCATACGTGTGGCATTCCCTTTCATTGGACTCGCATCTAGCTCTCGATCTCGTATCCACTTCGTCAAACTGAGGGCGACATTGTTTATTGTTGATGGTATATCTCTGGATTGGCCAAGCCCAGACACGAGACCAGCATTTGGCTGGCCCATCCCCAATGCTGGGTATATGAGCTTTGTGGTTGATAGATGAATATATGGCCTAGAAAGATCTTTGATGTCATTGGAATTGCGAACTATGCCGAAGCCGTCACTCAAGACATTGTAAAGTACTATTATGGTGGGCTGTGTAATGTTGAAGTACTGTTGCCGTAGGTTGGAGGCTTGTCGCTTGTAGTCCTCGTCTGGGATCTTTATCTGGAGATCAGATAGTTTCGCTAGTTGGTTGCCCATGTCAAGACTATGATTCGTGTATTTCATGAAGGCCTTGACATCCTTATCATCGTGTGTGTAAGAGTCTGTCTCTCGGTCCGTCCATGAAGACGCGACAGTTTCTTGTAAGACTCCCTGAGATAGTACATCGTGATACTGGTTCACGCAGAATGACAATGCGCATTCTCGGGCACTAACTCTCGTATTTTCCCAGCTGGTTCTGTTATCAAGCCAAGTCTCATTCGAGCCCAAGTATTGTATAGCCATGACCAGAGTGCTAAGATTGCGAAATGTCAGGGTCTGCCCTGGATTCGTTGTGACACGAGCTGATAGGTAAGTATCAGGACATTGTTGGAACAGGTTTCGGCAGTGTGGAGTCCCATTATAGTTAGAAATGCTAAGATTCAGCTGTGAAATCTCATGTTTGATGAAAGTGAAATTCCGACCGTTTCTCAAATCAGCATGCGGACTGGGGTTGCTCACACCAGGGAGACTTTCCCCAGGCTCCAACATATACTCCTGGCCATGTGCTCCAGAATTGTAGATTTTCAAGGGGAATTTAACGGGTCCAGTTGATTTGGTGACATATTCTGATATGTCGCGACACTTGGAACAGACGGCGATGGAAGGAAAAACGGGCCATGTACAATTCCCGGTTGCACAAGCGAAGGCTGGCCTCAGATTTTGCGGGGCAGTGAAGCGTGAAAACCCATTCCATATGGCTGCTTTCATACCCATATCCTCCTGGATATTGAATGAGAAGCGTCTGGCCATGAACTCCATGGTCGTATTGTGAGGTCCTGGGAATGGGACTGCACTTACTCCAGTAGCAGCGCCATCCCACGAAGCACCATCTAAACGAGTCGATCGGCCAATTTGAGGAACGTTTCCAAGGGCCTGAAGAGTATCGTTACTCGAATGTGCTGCCTTGGCGTACTCTACGTGGTCCAAATTTACTTCCTTACCCTCTATGGCTAAGACAGCCTGGGTGAAGGGTTCAAAGGCCAGTAGAGCAATAGCAGTCAGAGCCCCAATTAATGTCCAGTGTCTAGTGGATCATTTAGTGGTAGAGTCAATAGATTTATGCAAATCACTTACGGGCGGCGTATACAAGATTGGAGTAGACGCAGACTTCCCCAAGCTCCTCGGCTAGCGGCATCGAATCGATCAAAGTCCACCAGTGGTTGCGCAGCTCCATTCAACCAGTTCCATTTACCCTGTGACAAACACATGCTGATTGAAAATGCGAGACAGGCTCTTGATGTTCCAGCCAAGATGGAAACGGCTGTGTTGAGAGAGATATAAGTTTTGTTCCATTTGGATATTGGCTCGTCAGCTGAATGGCACAGAAGATAGATCATCAGTCCAAAGGCAATCAGGCTGAGAGCCAATGCGACAATTTCTAGCCCCCATTGAGCTAAGAACAGTACCCATTTACTGCTGGTTATGTCTTCTTCCGCCGATGTCTTATCGGGCTTCTCAGTTTGTACAACCTGAGAAGATGCTGACGAAGGTGGTTCGGCTTCCAGTAATGGTTGCAAGGTTGCCATGTGATCGTTGGCATTGGCAGATTCTGGTGTTTCGTCCATCCTGACTCGAGAGGCACTGCGTAGTTTTGACGAAGAATCAGGCTTGGAAAGCAGTCCCTATCAACCGGGGAAAACCAGAGAGCTATAAAAAATAAGTCCTCTGTGGCTGATACACTTTCAAGGCTGGGCCATCCTCTGGCGACAATGACAACGTTTTAATCCGCACAGGAACCGAACTCTCGACAAATCGGGTGAGACAATGCGCTTCAAGCTTTGGGCTCAAACAATGCCACGCTGTTGTGGGTTCATGACCGCAGCGTGGGGGAATACAAAATGGCAGGAATTGGCCAATCAGGAAATCCTGATCACTATGGGGCAGAGCTTACGCCTATCACATGCCCATAAGTTGCTACACAAGTCTTTCTATATCAGGTCTCTCTCTCATAGCTATTTCTTCCGCTCCCTGAAACCGCTTGGGCTTGGGGCTGAGGGGGCTATGGCAACTCTGGGGGTCGCACAAGGCTCTGTCTAGGGACCCAAAAGGGGAAACTTCAGCGAGATATTTATGGAAGTTATCCAGATCCTACTACACAGCGAGGTAGCAATGGCCACTGTTTCAGCACTGCCTACCATGTTGGGCCGTCTTGCGATGAGGCATTCAACAAGGGTACTTTGTCATCTCTGGCCTTTTTGAAGAATTGAATAGTGGTGGATGGGGTAAACGTCATATTGCAAATAGATAGTTTATTCTTCATACAAAAAGATGAATCCGTCAAGTTTGTGCTACGTTGTGCATCAACTGCTGGCTAAAGGCTGGAAGATAGTGCAGGGCATGCTTGGCGGGCTATGATATGATCATCACGAGGAACCCACATGAGCATATTAAGCATAATAGGTAATAATAAATTTCAATATAATATAGTCATACTCGTTCTACCTCTTTTGGGGCCTGTACTAAAATTTATGATCTCCGCTTGACCTCCAATTGGACTCCAGGATCCGCGAACAACTCAAATCCAAACGGCATCAGCTTCGGTGCATATCCCTCCGCTAGACGCAGATCATAGTCGAGCAGGATAGCCGCAATAGCTGTCTTAATCTCTGCTATCGCGAAAAATCGCCCTGGGCAAATAGGCTTACCAATACCAAACACGAAATGATCCTCACTTGTCGAGGTAGCTGAGCTAGCGTAAATCCACTTCCCTCCCTGCGCACGAAGCTTCACATAGCGGTATGCATCGAATGTGTCTGGGTTCTCATATACCTCGGGGTTTCGAAGCTGCGACATGTAGATAGAGATAGCAGTGCCTTTGGGTAGGTACTGGCCTTTAGGGAGGGTGACCGGTGAAAGGACCTGACGGTCAAGATTGACTGTAATATGTTAATACGCTGATAAATGATATTGGAGAGAGCACCGTATCGACCTACCTATAACTGCAGAGTTTAACCTCTGCGTCTCCTTGATGACACTGTCGAGTAGGCGCATATTGGTTAGAGCAGCAGGAGACCATCCATGCTCAGCAACCACGGCTTCTATCTCCTCACGCAGGGGAGTCGCAAGGTCATGAGCGCAAATCTCAATAATTGTCTGCTTCAACAGCTCCGAAGTAGTGACAACAGCAGCCATAGACATTCCAAGCTGGGCGGCTACAGGATCATAGCTCTTACCACCCGCAATCTCACCGAACCAGGTAATGGAATCGTCGTGCTCTTTGTCTTCGGCCGCCCTTTTAGCGAGGTTCTTCTGCAAGACCTCACGAGCGCGCTGGACTTCTGCTCTGCAAGCCTTGCAAGCAGGGAGGAACCATTGTATAAGAGGTCTCAGAAATCGCGGCCATGCTCTCAGCGCGCGAGCTGCAAGGAACACAGTCATACCGTAGTTAGTGCTGACCTGCTGCCATGTCTCGTCGTGCGACAGCTCCTCTCCAACAAAGACCGACGCGGACATGCGGCTGATGAAGCTGACACCATCCTTGGCCCAGTCAACTGCCTTCCATTCTAGCTTCGCTATCAGCCGAAGTTCACAGATCAGAAATGGGTTGATGCTCAACATATGCCATACGTACCATCAATTTGTTCGGGCCAAGCTTCCAGTAAGTCTTTTCGCACCATGTTGTGAAGCTTGCTAACATCTAGGAAGCCTCGAGTCAGTGTGATTATATCCAGGCAAGAGGAAATGGGCTAGCTCACGAGGGTTTTGAACAAGCTTCTTCTTGATAACGTTGGCCAAAAGCTTAGATGGGTCTGAAATGGCTGCGGTGCCATCAAATCCAGGATAACCTGCAAAGAAATCCTACATACAGTCAGTCAGCCATTAGTCAAGAGAGGCGTCCGGGAGTTCAGTGTCTGTACCTTAGACACTAAAGGTTGGTGGTCAAGATGGGGACCATGACGTCTCATCCATTCAAAATGGTCGGCAGGGAGGACAATCCTATCTCCCAAGAGTGTGATCATGCGGAAAGGCTTATTGAACTGTTTTCATCTTTGTTAGTACACCTATTCTCCATCAGCCATGGAAGAAGAGCTTTCACGCACCTTGGCAAAGCCCTGTTTGATGAGGCCATCAGCATTAGTAATGAAAGCCATATGAGCCTTGCTCAAGAACCAGTCATTAGGATATTTGTTGATAACGGGGATGTTGTCTTTCGGCACGATCAGTATCAGGAGCACGAATGCAAGCAATGCGATGAGCACAGCTCCTGCCAAAGGAGATTGTCCCGCAAGTAGCGGGGTGATGTGTTTGCTGATATCCATTGCCTGTGGTATCATGAAGAGTTTTAGCAACTGGAAATGAGTATGAGAATTCTCCCTCAAGAAACATTTGTGACTGCTCACCTTGGATGAGTAAGGCAAAGAAAGACCTTTGGGTACCGTGACAATGACAATGAATTGTGACACTTGACAAGATGTCTGAAAAGATGTTAAATACGTCCTGACTCTCGTGACTGGAAACAGGTCGTTAGTCATCTAAGGTATTGATCTAAAATGAACCACCTCCGGCCGAGAACTGCCCCAATGTTTTTGCGGTGAAGGCTCGGGCCTAGGCCTGCAAGGACAACAATCCCGTTGACGGGTCCTGCAACTCACTACAGGACCATTGCCCAGTTAGGCAATTGGTTCGGGTAACATGTGCGCTAGGAGAATTTCCCTTTGGAGACGAACTAAATATGGACATGTCGCTTACACCGGTCATAGAGCCAACGCTATAGATTGCGAAGTCCTACGAATACCCGCATACTTACATCTTCCTGTATCTATTCTTGCGAGTGGATTGGTCCGTCCTCGATGTACGCTTGCGTGGCGGCATGAAATCTTTGGGGGTGTTCATTCCGACAAGATCGCTACGAAACAGGGACACAGCCGGTTATCATGGTAATGAATCTTCTAGCTCTTGATGGAAATATGTATTCAAGACCAAATTGATTTTTACGAAGCAAAAGTGAAAAAAGTATTTGAACATAACATAAAATAGTACTATAGAGGAATATCATCGAAACCCTAAGTAAAATTAGCTGTAAAGGACTATACTATCTTATTTTTGCATCCTGCCTGGTCTCATCTTTGCTTTCCTAGCCCAGAAACTCGGCAAACTGCACAAACTCATGATCATTCTTCATCGCATCCAGTTCCTCTGGTAAGGTCCCCAACAACAACTCGACACCGCCGTCCTTTCTCATCGGCAAAATAAACAGACTCCTGAACGCTTTATTCAGCCAATCCATCTGAACTCTCACTGCCTCTGGTGCTTCGAATACACCACCACCGAAGGGCCCAATATCGCTCGCCTGGAAAAGCATCATGTTGTTGAAGAGCGAATGTGGACCGTCCTGAATGCCCTGGCCAAGGAACGCCGTCGTATGATTTCCTGGACTGTTATCTTCAATGCTATGTAGTAGACTAAAGGCATCGTGGACAAGCTCTTGATCCACTCGAGTGCGCGCCTCGCGGCAGATTTGGGCAATCTTGTAGAGAGATGTCTGGGAAGAGCAGAGCTCCGCGACAGATATATGCTGTCGGTTCATGATGACACAATTGGCCATGTATGTTGGTGGGAGATGTGAACTGAAATGGGGTCGGACGTCAGTGGGCATCTCGATGATGGACATGTCATCGGAGGAGGAGTCTTCGGAGCGGCGACGTGCACGGACGGCGGCGCGCCAGAAGAAAGCTTGCAGCACATCGCCAAGGGATAGCGATCCTGATTCCTTGCTCTGGCTTTGACTTTCCGGGTCCGCGGCTTCGGCAGCTTCGACACTCTTCTGAAGTTTCTCAAGCTTCTCTGCGGAAATGACGAAGGTCGACGCCGTCAACGTGCGACCATCTGCGCGCGGCGCAGGCGGCCAATGCTCACAGGCGGGGAGTACAGGCGGCTCAGGCAGACGACGAGACAGACGGGCTCTTTTAGCATCAGGCTCATTAATATCTCCGTTGACCGCGGTTGCCTCTGTCATATCTGTGTCTTCCTCTTTCTCGTGATGCTTGCGCTTCAGTGCTGGATCAGCGTATGGTAAGAAGCCCCAAACCCGAGGGTCGACTTCAGACGCTGGCTTCGCGAGACCCTCCACCTCGTACAAGATAGATAGCATGTCACGATTGAGGCTCTCTGGGTGCAGCCACTCGGAAGTCGCAGACTGATCGCCCTGGACGAAACGGCAGCATTCTGCCCATACCGTGAGCGCGATCAACATGCCGATACCATCAAAAGCGTGATGATGAACATTAAAGGCCAAGACGCAGCCTCCGTCGACGAAATTGGCCTGTACGCTGAGCACATCCGTAGGTAGGTCGGGGAAGGAGGGGCAATTAGTCAAGAGCTCGTCGGGGTAAGCTGAGGTCAAGAACCCAGAGGCCTGCTGCTCAGCATAAGACGGTACGATAGATGAGAGGTCGCGAAAGCGCAATTGCCTTGGCTCTTCGGAAGAAATGGTACCTAAGGCCGTGGAGGGCAGTGGAGGCAGACTGATGCGAACATCTCCCTTCTTATATCCAATCTCGTGCTCCGAACAGGGTATGACTTTACCCGCAAGAGCCGGTACGATCTCCATGGCGCGGACCAGACCTCGCTGAAGTACTTTGTACGCCTGCTTGAAGGAGACACCTGGGCAGAGTGGAATGAAGACGTTGATTCCCTCGTACATATTCCCGCCGAAAAGGTCTATTGGGCCTAGCTTGGAGGATAGAAGAGCTTTGTGTCGGTTCGTCAGTGCTTTGATCTTGTCTTCTTGTGGATCTTGCTGTTGTTTCTCAGTCGACGATGTGGTAGTGGCTCCGTTCGTTGTCGTGTTTCTACGCTCAGCAGCCAATCGCACAACAGTGGCAGCAATCCCCTCAATAGTTGGTCCAGCATAGAAGTTTCGTGGCAGAAATACACCCCCCAAGTCTGTGACTGCCGCTACCGCCTTGGTAGCCTTGAACACAAGCAGTGAGTCGAACCCAAGAGTGAATAGATTAGCATCCGCTGGAGCGTCTTTGACCGCAGGCACGATCGAAGCTAGTATATGCCGAACCGCGCGGGTGGTTGAGTCTAAAGATGCTGTGTCGATAGCCAGTAGTCCAAGTGCTGCCACTTCGGTGTTGCTGTCGTCCTCCCCACGCGACTGGTAGAAACGCTCGATATAGTCAGCGTACAGCGCCATGGTAGCCCGACGTTTGATAGTACGCTTGTCAGTACGGATGAATGGCTTCCCTGGTTCGGAAAAGGCGATGAAGTCTCGGTGAAGCTGGTTCTTGTGCAAAGACAGGGAGTTGGCCTTCTCGACCACAGCCCAGATGCTGTTGAAGAGCGCTTCAGCATCATCACCATCCCTCTTGATTGTTGGGTCTTTCAGCTCTATAAGGAGGCCGGCTTGTGGCTTGCCCGATCCGATCTGTGAGATAAGTTAGCAAATGAGATTGAATGATCGAACAGTTTGTGTGTCATCAAAGTTCTGAAGGGTTCCTAGACTTACCATGAGACAACCATCAACAGCCGGGTGAGATGTGACGAGGGCCTCCGTATCGAGGGGCGAGATCTTGTATCCATTCGAAAGCACCACAACATCATCACTGCGGCCGTGTGACGCCCAGAATCCTGGTTTGGTCGGATGCTGAACATACAGATCCTTGAAGTTGAAACTGTTTACATCTTGAAAGGTATGAAAGAGACCTTGGAAAAACTGATCGTGCTTGTTGCGATAGATCCACTGTTCGTAAAGACCGGGTTCAACCATCTTGAAATCGAAGCCCGACCAAGGATGAAAGGCAAACCAGTGCCAATCGTGTCTGTCTACCCACAGGTTGCCGATAAAAAGACCTTCCGATGTGCCGGTCAGGTTCAAGATGCGAACATGCTCGTTCACCTTGGAGCCTAAATGGTTGCTAACAGGTCCTGGAAAGTAATCACATCGGTTAGCTTCTGGAAGGGGGCATCTATATTGGGGACAGACTCCTTACCTCCCGAGGCGCAGATGAACTTCGATCTACTTAATTTTGGCAAGATATCAGGGGCTTCTCCAAGCTCGTCAGTTAGCGAGGGAATCATGCTCCAGATGTCGATCTTGATCTGATCCGCCATGGACGATATGAGTTCCAGGTTTGGTATCACGTCCCGAGGTCCCAGGACGCAGTGTAGCCCAAACAGCGGCGATATAACCACGTCCATCAAAATCCCCGCTCCCTTGAAAGCATAGTCAGTACTTTACCAATTGTTCCGTCGATCATGACGGATCGGAAAGGGAAAGATTCTTACATGGCTCAAAGGGAATGTCGAATACAGCGTATCGCCATCATCCCAACCTTTCGCCCAGGGTTCCATGCCCTCATGAGGGGGCAGCAGTCGGACAGCGTCCACAGTACCAATCAGCCCGTGCGTCCATGATATGGGCTTTGACAAGCCAGTTGAGCCCGAAGTATGGAGGATGCAGAAGGTGTCGTTAATCGCATCTTCCCAGCTCTTTGTGTAAGGAAACGGCTCCACGTTTTCCAGCTCGCTTTCATCCTCAGGAAGAAGCTCATCTAGCCTGGGCAGCTCCAAGACATGCATAGGCCGATGCTGTAAAAATTCATTCACGAGCTGCGTTGGCTTCTCACCAGCAGGGTTGACCCAGATGTTACAATTTGCCGCCTTGAGAACGGCTAGAGCGCCCTCGGTGCTGTTCTTTGGGGAGAGGAACAAGCCCTGTACGAGTAAGAATCAGTCAGAGAAACAAGTCCACGTCTTGGGAAACCCATTGGATGTGAGGAGAAACGAACAGCGCAACTAGCTTTGATACAAGCGAATGTCAAGAGAATCTGTCGGAGATCATCTAATGCATAGTTAGCGTCTCGTTAGTCAAATGGCTCGAGTACGAGGGCTCATGAGTCGCCGAGATAGCGATACAAGCCTCTGAAGATTCCAGGACACTTCGCTTCCAGGAACAAACTTACGAGGCCCGATATATCCCACGGCGCGGATATCCGACGTCACTCCCAGCTCCCGCTGAAGTAGCCAAGCAGTCTTGTCGACTGCCTTCGTAAAAGCACGAGCTGATACATGACGGAAACCCTGCGACAGGTCCGAGGACTTGGCGAAAGAGTATATGATGCGATCGGGCTCAGAAGCTGCAAGGTCATCCAGAATCTGGGGAATTAATCTTCTCCCACAGTTCGCTGGCATTCCCTTACTAACAGCCATGTCTGCTAGTATGAGTATAACTATGAACGGGCTGGAAATGAGCAAAGGTCAACTTTAGATGGGCCTTGATAGTGAGGCCAAGAATACTGACAAGATAAATCGAGTCGGTGAGAGAACGTTTAGACAGACGAAAAGAAGAATATTGTAGCACGAGAGAAAGCTACGAAGCTAGGATTGAATATAAAATTTAGATTCACCACCTACATATGTTTCGACGGGTACGTTTTCTTCTCTTAGTAATGCCACGTCTCTATCAAATTTCAGGCTGGCTGAGCTGACTTCCTGCAAGAGCTCTCCCGAAAGAGTAGGCCACCTCCTTCTGACTTGCAGACCGAAGGCCCAGGACGATTGCCTAGGTTGGCTGCCCACGCTGACGGGGGAAACTAGGGGAATTTCCTTTTTGAGCTCCGATTCCAGCTGACAGGCCTGAAGGGAGCATCCAGGCTGAGTAAATGCAGGGTCTCTGACACCCCTGCCTAACTGTCACCCTGAATGTAATCTGGGGCGTCCGATTGGTACAGAAGGTTCTAAAATTGGTTGACTAATTCTTTTTCAGCAGGGTGTTGAAAAAGCAGGGGATGCATGTTTAGTTGCCTTTTTAGGGACGAACCGTTTGGATCCCCCCACGCTCACTTACAGGGCATCTTACAGCGCCTAGAGCACCTATCCAGATCTGTCAATCACCCGGAGGTTGAAAGCGGGATCTGGAGCGCCAGTGACTTGCCAACAGCTGCTCATACTCGTGGAACAACACCTTTTTGTCTTGACGGCATGCAATTTTCCATGCCAGTGTTTCCTAGTTGAACTACCCGGAAGCTAGTGCATATGTCGGGATAGCGACACGTAGAATGAGGAGGGCTGAAGATTGATTCGTGACCAGCGTGTTCACTTTCAGTACTTTTTGTGCAAGAGGTTCTTTATCTCCGAGTCTCAAGCAGCTGATCCACAACCAAGACTAATGAAGCAATGCGGTGAATTATAATTAATGGCTTTGAGATCTCTTTTTCGAAGAGGATTGTAGGAATTGCATTGTAAAGAGATGGACTTCCCGTTCCGGCCTTCTGTGAGTACAGGGTAATCCGCAGCTACCCTCGGACCACGCACTTCATACTTCAGTTTCAGTTCGTCAAAGACATAATATGCAGCAGTTGTAGCAGTTCTGGGCGAGATCTCTGTTTAATTTGTGGGCTGGAATATATATATACAACATCTTTCTATAGTAGATCTTAGACCTCGGCCAGGGCCTCCTCCACCAAGGACGTATCTGTCATTCCACCCGCGACTTTATCTCGTTTCTACAAATATCACCCACGTGATAAAACAGAGTAACCGTTGATAACGCCCAATTGATAACGACATCCAAGTAATCCGCATTCTCAAGTCCGCGAATCAGCGTCTGATGAAGCGTAGATCGTACGCTGGAGGTGTCAACATGAACTGTTCCGAGCCAGTAGAAGCCCTGATTTTAGCCTGCTCCTGAGTCTCGCCCGGCTCGGGCACGACCTCCCAGCGGAAGTTCATGATCATATGTGCCAGGAAGCACACCATGGTTACCTCTGCGAATCGCTTTCCAATGCACTGACGCGATCCGGACGAGTAGCCGATAAAGTCCTCGTACGAGACCTACGAGAGAAGAAATGTTAGAATATTCTATTCCGTCAGGACAGAGATGGGAGATAAACTTACAGTCACCTTTTTGTTGCCGTTCGCGTCTTCAGTTTCGCGAAGATGGCGTGCTGGATTGTAGGTTTGCGGGTCTTCCCACTTGAATGGGTTGACTCCAAACGCCGCCGTATCGAGGTGCACACGCGTGCCCTTGGGAATGGCAACGGTGTGTTGGTGAACCTTGGCCTCAGACGGGTTGGCGGCATCACCATCCCACGTTGTGTAGCTAAGCGTGGTGTCGCGAGAGGCCACACGCGTCATCTGCATGGCTAGATCGCGCATGCGGAGTGATTCAATGGTAGCCGCAAGGACCAGAGGGAAGTTTGCCATTTCCTCGTAGTCGAAGTACTTTAGTGGCGTCGTGTCACCCACGTTTTCGGCCTCATCCAAGGAAACAGTATTCACCTTGCTGATCTCTTCATATAGACTTTCTTGCCAATCAGTGTTCCTGGCGAGAAGTGACAGGACCCAAGTCAGGGTATGAGAAGATGTCTCGTGACCAGTCCTGAGTTGTGTGTGAGTCAAGGGATACATGATTCAATGTAACGCCAAGTGCTTAGACTTACACCATGAAAGAGAAAATGTTGCCTTGAACTTCCTTGTCTGACAGCCCGACATTGGGTGACACGTATCCCTTCTCGGCCCTCTCAGCCTTCTCCACATCGTTCTGGGAATCGACCAGCGCGTCAATGAGGTTTCTATACTTTCTTGACCGGCCTGGGACCTCTATTGTATCCTTAGCATCCTCAATTCTTTGCCTTGTCTCAGCCTGCGCATTCTTAATGTGAGTGATAAGGGATCTTTGCGCCCAGCCAGCGCGACGTAAATACGGTGAGGGACTCCATTCCAGGAACCACAGAGGTAGCATGGTCTGTACGAATGGCGAGTCCCAGACCACTTTGAGTGTCTCGGCAAATGGCATCAGGTCGTGTTTCGCGTTGCGCTTCGACTCTTCTGCCGGATTCCAAGGTATGTCAATGTCGAACCACGAGGCGCCAATGGCACCTAGTGTAACTTTCAGCATGGTGTCTTTCATATCTCGTACAATGGGAGCCGTCTGCGAGTTTGAGGTCGCTGGGTAGATGCGTTCTTCGCGGAGTAATGTCTTCCACATATTGCGCATGTTGTACCATCCGTTCTTCATGAGCTCGTTGTTAAACACTGCTTTGACGACACGTTTGTGTCTCTCATGCTGGGCGCCGTTCTGTGCCGAGGCAAGTTGTAGCCCAAAGGTGTTCAGCATGCGATAGCGGATCTTCTCAAGAGGCTTAAGGAAAATGTCGCCGTTGCGACCAATCTCACGAAATATCTTTGGCGATCCGAAGAGATATGCCACGCTATTAGGTGAAGACTAGTGATGGGATATCTGCGTCAGTATTTATTCTTTCTAGAGAATGGGGATGGGTCACTCACGGCCTCCGTGATGACGATCATGTCGGAGCGCGCGTTGGCGAACTTCTTGAAAGGATCCTTGAGGGTGAACTTCTCCATGGGCACGAGGATGGGAATGCGAGGATACCAAGAACGAATGACAGACTCGAAGATCATGACGCCGCTGTGGATCGCAGGATGAGAATTGCGGCGGACTTTGAGAACGGTGCGCGCATATGTCACTAGCCATTGGAGCACAATGATGATGGGAAGACCAATGGCGCCGATGAGCAGAAGAGGGGAGGCCATTGTGAAGTGAAGACTGAGGTTTGTCTCAGCAACAATGAAGGCGAAAGAAGCTGAAAAGACACCAGCAATAAACCAGAGCTGATCACTCAGAGGTCGTCGCAACAGAGTTTTAGAATGTCCTAACAAGAATGTTCAGGACTCCCAATTTCACCTTTGGTAAGACCAGCCGGATTATCGTCACCTGAAGTACTAATAAAGCACCAATGCACAATGTCATGCCTGAGTGGCGTCGTGTCCAAATATGACTAATCCCGATTGTAATTATGCTGCTGGTGGCCGTCAGCTGGGTTATCGCCGGGCAGGACGGATGTATACCAGGAGCAGCAAGTTGGAGATGCGGCGGGTCCAGATCAACGGGGCGGAAGTCAGCCCAAAGCGGCAACCGTCCATCGGCCAGCTACCATTCTGAACGAACTGCCTGTCAGCATTGGATGCGCGTCTGACACCAGAAGGTCAAGAGGCTGTAGTCTCACTCGCAGCATTCAACCCAAGATAGACACTAAACGTTAAGCACTACATGGGGATAAGTAACAGTGTTGACAATCACAGCGGCCCGACTCAGAGAATCTCACTTTGAATCATCGCGTAGCTGTATCAAAACTATGAGATCTTGGATGTTGTACATGACCATACTGTATAACTACTATGTAATAATACTCTGAGCTGGTTTTCTTTATTTGACGTATCTCTCTGAATAGTCTACCCAAAATGATTGCTCGTTACTTGTCTATTCTAGCGGTAGCCCGTTCTCCCAGTCCGAATGAACTCCAAGCAAATGACTTCATAATAAAGCAAGGTCTCAAGCAAAGTGTCGAAAAGACAAGGATATGAGAAGTTTGTTAGATCTCTTCCGCAGAGCCTGGACTAGCCTCTCATGCCAAGGCCATGCATTTGCGCTTATTGTCCCCTCAGCCATTGTGATCAGATTGCCGAGTCTCGTCACGCGGGACTTGATCAGGCTAACAACCAGTTCCATCTCATCGTCGTCGTCGATCTGCCATGCACCTACCCCGGGCTGCAGCATTTGGGACGATCGGGACAGGGATGGCACCTCTAGCCCCGCGCGCGATGGTGTTGTCATGGTCTGCATGTCTAGGGCAGTAGCGGTGCCATTGGAACTGGCCTTGCTCATCTCCTCGTCGTTTCTACTACAAACGAAACGCTCAACTGCCTCCAGGCTTGTCAATATGCGATCGCACATAGTCATTATAAGCATCACGAAGTCTGGACGTGACCAGCAGGTGCCACAATTGACAAGGGAGTCGCAACGGAGAAGTATCATCTTCTGGCGCTTCAGGATCGTTTGCTGAGTCATGAGAGGGAACGCTGACTGATACGCTGTCGTGGCTGTTCCAATACCTGACCCTGACTCTGAACCTGACCAAGATAGCCCAGATGAGTATGAAGAGCCCGCCGACGTAGAGCTGGGAGTTGATGCCGTGGATGGGCCAGCCATAGGATCGCCCCAGACTAGCTGAGCTTGCATGGTCTCGTAGATGCTGACGGCTGTCATCATGCAGCAGCATGACGAAGAAGCAGCAGAAGTAGCAACTGATTCTGGCGATGTCGAAGAATGGGCGGCGGCGGGCCGAGCCTTGGTCGTGGCTCGGTTAGTGTCATGTGCACCACTGGGAGCCACTGCTGTAGAGACACGAGATTCATCCAACAGAAAGTCCATCGGGTCGATCCCATATTCGAACAGGCTATCTGCCGACGAGGATGAATATACAGATGTGTGGTTGCTCTGCTTACTGCTGTCTCTCCGAGTGGTCAATGCTTCGGCGGTGAAACCAACACCACTTTGGCCTGCCTGACTTTCTGAGGTAGCCGTGGGCGTAAGACCGGCCATATTGCCAAAGAAATCCGGGCTGAAGTGCGGAAACACAGATGGCATCTGCCCAAGGGAGTCTGGGAAGAGGGTGCTGAGAAACTGCTGCTCTGCATCTTCTAGGCCCACGTCTGGCCCTGTTGTGATGCTGTTTGTGGTGCTATCCTGAGGGGAAGGCTGCGGGGCTGTTATGACCCTTTGGTGGTCTTTGGGGGATGATAAATGTGTTGTTAGTGGCGACGATTGTCTCATAGACTGAGCTCGAGAACGGCGTTTGTGTCTCCTCACCTGTTGCGCCTGCTTGTGTTGGTTGGCGACTGTGCTGTTGTTGCTGTCGTCGTCGTCATCATCTTCATCATCGCCGTTCCGTGACTTTGAACCGCCACTAGCGACGCTGGACGTGCGGCGTTGAGGCCTCGAGATGACCAAATACTCGCATTTCCGGTTTTTGGCAACGCATAGCATACAGCCGTTCTCACCGCTCACGCACTTGGACTAAAGGCAATGCAACGTCAAATCAGTCTCATTGTCGTCAAGTGAAGATGGAGAAATAAGTCTCTACGGTTTATCTATCAAGACTCGCCGACTGGAAGGTGATGAAGAATGTGAATAGCTGCAATGTGACCTACCTTTTGTGCGCGACATCTTTCACAAGCAGTGCGCATGGACGTCCTGTCCTTGTCAAAGGGCGGGGCGATCTCCACGCTGAGGAGTCGGTCTCCATCACCAAACGTTTGCCGTAGGGTACTGAACATGTTGATCTTTCCAATTCAGGTACCTCAGATTTGCTGGATAAATTACCTATCGAACAAACCGGACCAGCAGTATATGTAATATGCTGGATCAGGCAATGACTGTGACTGTGACTACCATTGCAGTGGACAGTGGTGAACTTTATCGTCTAGCCATGCATGCCTGCGTTCTCCACGCCTCTTCCCTGTGCCTTTAGCCGAGCTTACAATTACACAATGACCTACTGGGTTGCAGATTGCAAAGGATTATCAAAGGAAGTTGGAGCGCGGCTCGCCAGCCTGTCCCGCGCGACTTCACACTCTGTATGTAGATCATGCTCACCTTCCAAATTCCTCATGAACCAACACCTTCTGGACCCTGAATATCGAACCCTGAAATGTCCCTAGCCCCCAAGGGCTGCGGGGCCACCCGTGGGGTGCTGTCCCGCCCCAGTCATCTTCAGTTTCAGTACACCTAAGCCCCTGGATTCGGCAGTGGGTCGCCGATGTAGGGGTGCTGAGGGCCGGATCTCACCTATCTGATATCAGCGCGTTTGCTCCATCGAGGGACGGGAATCTCTCGATTTCAGTAGGCTTCCCGCTGCCTGCAGAGGCTTCTTTACCCCGTGGCCAATCGAGCATCTCCATAGACCGGGACCGACAGGGAACCGAGCTCCACTGGTGAAGGAAGATACAGGGGTTCAGATGTAAGCACTACTCCCTAAGGGCAATCCTGCTCGTATCCCTCTGCACTCGCCTCTGGGAAAAAAATACATGACCCTCGACGAGCTTAGCTTACACAGAAATTCACGGCGATCCACTTGATTTAGGATCAGTTTTTATTTTCCCGTCTGGACTTCCTATACGAGTATCGCCCTCGCAAGGAACTGATAAGGACCATGCAGAAAGGAACATCATGAGGCTCACGTCAGCTGACCGGAGCGTTATGTCTTACGGCCTTTCGGGGGTTTGTCCGGCACTGAAAAGAAGCAACCGGATCAAGCCTCATATGGAGAATTTTATTCCTAGTGCCGGCACATGAACGTTTTCACTACGTTGTTATTCCTTTTCCGTAGAGTCGGCGTCTTTCCCAATCGAGACAACAGAGCCACAGCCTGCATGAGAAGATCCCTCGGCGAACGCCACGTCTTAAATGTACCAGAGATCTGCTCTACAGCAGACGATGCTTCCATATATTGACAACTTTTAGAGACATTTATAAACTCAACTTGATACTACTCATTTAGCCTAGTGCATCCAAATCCAACAACACAGTGGAATCATGGTCAAATTTGATAGTGGTTCTGAGTCCGAGATGACGAACGGGGACGAGATTCGCATCAACACCAAACTTGAGGTCAAGTCCAGGATGGCCAATGGGAACGGGGTCCACAACGTCCCCGACCATGATCAATTTCAAGATCGTGCCGAGATGGAGGTTCTCGTTCTTCCCGACCTCTTCAGCTCACTTATGTCGGTCCCAGCTCGTGAGAACCCCCATTATGCCGGTGTTAAAGCCGACGCTGACGGATGGATTTCTTCGTAAGTTATATCTCATGCATCAAGCATACCTCTTTGATGATTCAAACGGACTGACTATAAAAAGTGTGATCAACGCCGATGCCAAGTGGGCCAGCAGAAACAAACGAGTTGACTTCACCTATCTCGCAAGTATCTGGGCTCCTGACTGCAGCGCGTTCGCCCTACGTACGTCAGCCGATTGGAACTCATGGGCCTTCCTGTTCGACGACCAGTTCGACGAAGGCCACCTCTGCAATGACCTTGATGGTGCCATCAATGAGATTGCCAGGACACGTGAGATCATGGAGGGTACTGCCCCGCGATATACCGCCGACTCGGAACACCCTATCCGCTACGTGTTCCAGACATTGTGTGATCGCGTCAAGCAAAGCCCAGAGGGCTTCTACGCAGGAAAGCCATCGTCAGAGCGCTTCTACAGGCGCTGGATGTGGGCACATGAGCTCTACTGGGAGGGGCTGGTTGCGCAGGTTAGGACAAATGTGGAGGGCCGGTCCTTCACACGTGGTCCGGAGGAATACATGGCCATGCGGCGAGGCTCTCTTGGTGCCTATCCTGCGCTGGTCAACAATGAGTGGGCTTATGGGATTGATCTGCCAGAGGAGGTAGCGGATCATCCTTTAGTGTTCGAGATTATGGTCATCATCAGCGACCAGATCCTGTTAGTCAACGACATTCTTTCCTACGAGAAGGATCTTCGTCTTGGTGTTGATCACAATATGGTCCGCCTGCTCAAGGCCAAGGGACTCTCAACCCAGCAGGCTATGAACGAAGTCGGGGTTATGATCAACAACTGTTACAGACGATATTACAGAGCACTATCGGAGCTCCCATGCTTCGGTGAGGAGGCCGATCGCGCGCTCCTTGGCTATCTCGAGGTCGAGAAGAACCATGCCCTTGGTAGTCTCGTCTGGAGCTACAAGACGGGCAGGTACTTCAAGAGTAAGGAGGATGGGGCTCGGGTCAGGAAAACGCGAGAGTTGCTTATACCAAAAGCGATGGCGGCGTTGTAAGATTACGAGAGAACCAGGATACAATTGTAGTAGATCTGAATGATAGTTAGACTGACGTTCCAAATACATTGAGCGCATATTCATATTCACACTTTGATGGTTGTTTGCCCAAGTTACTAAAAGAAAGGTATCATCCATTAATTTGCTGTTCTAAATTTGACAGTATTTTGAGTTGGAAATGGTCAGATGTAATGTGGAATCATTGACATCGTATTATCCTACCTGTAGTGTGTTTTAAGAAACTTTCTTCAAGTTGATAGACCTGATAGCTGGTGCTTGCATTTCACGCCTTACCAATCAACAGCATAGATGGAGGTTGTACTTTGGACGGAAATGCAGCTCACCAGACACACTTCATTGTTACAACACATGTCAAGACAATAATGTACATATAAGTTCATCCTTCCATGTCCTGTAATGGCACATACCCAACTTCTGCAACCTTGCCTCTGCGTCCTATCACTTCCCTTACCCAGCCGACGATGCCACTTCCCCATTTCCACGTCTCTACCCTGGGCTCAATGCCGCCGTTCTTTGCCATCTCGTCCATCCAAACAGGCCTTGTCCAGGAGTTAAGCATCAGGCTACTGACCACCACCGTCACACTGCTAAAGGCCATCGCAAGACTCGCCATTATAGGATGGACGCTCAGCCCGAACGGAAGGAAGAAGCCCATCGCAATCGGGAGGCCAATAGCGTTGTAGATGCATGCCCATCCGAGGTTTATCTTGATACGACGGAAGATAGTACGCGTAAGCGCCAGTGATGATGGTATGATCATAAGCTCTGTGGGCCTCATGAGTACCATATCCGCCGCCTCCATTGCGACATCTGTTCCGCTTGCCATAGCGATGCCCACGTCGGCCGTGACGAGTGCCGGTGAGTCATTAATGCCGTCGCCGATCATGCCGACAACCTCACCGCTGTCCTGGAACTCTCGTACGATAGCTTGCTTCTGATCAGGGTTAACGCCAGCGTAAACATTGTTGACGTCGATGCCCACGGCAGAGGCGACGGCGAGTGCGGTAGACCGTTGGTCGCCGGTGACTATGGCGGTCTTTATTCCCATGCGGTGCAGGACCGATATAGTTGCCGCAGCATCCTCTTTAATTGTGTCGGAGAGGCATAGATGGCCAGTGTAAAGGCCGTCAATGGCGACGAAAATGTTGGTGGTTCCAGCACTGTGAGCATTGCCCTTGGCCCCCGATGCGCCGGCCCCAGCTGACAGATTGAGCTTCTCTGCGGCCTCGACAGCATCCTCCGGGACATTGATACCATTATCTTGCAAGAATATGAGGTTGCCAACCAGTACCAAGTATCGTGACCTGTTGGTGGTAGCTGGCTCGACAGTTACACTGACGCCCTTGCCCACGACTGCTTTGAAGTCTCCGACGCTACCATCAATGGTTCCTTCGGGCGACATGCCTAGCTCGTTCTTTGCAGCCCCGAGTATAGCCTTGCCTATAGGATGTTCACTGCCCATCTCTGCTAAGCCGACGATGGACCACCACAGTCGTTGAGTGACCTCGCTTCTTGTCCATTGCGGGACGAGACCGATGCTGGCAACACTCATCTTACCGTAGGTAATTGTGCCGGTTTTGTCGAGGACAACCTGCGTGACCTTGGTTATACGTTCCAGGACAGCCCCTCCCTTGATCAGGATTCCGTTTTCTGCACCGACTCCAGTGCCAACCATCACGGCCGTGGGTGTAGCTAGTCCAAGAGCACACGGACAAGCAAAGACAATGACGGAGATACACAGCTTAACGCAGACTACGACTCTGCCGCCACTATTATCTTCTAGGAAGATCTCCGGCGGATGGGATAAAACATGACATAGGACCATCCACACAAGGAACGTACCGAGACCGAGGATAAGAATCACGGGGACAAAGTAGCCGGCTATTGTATCAACCAGCTGCTGAATGGGAGCACGGGCAGTTTGCGCGTCTTGCACTAGCTTGACAATCTGACTTAGCTGGGTGTCATGTCCAGCCCGAGTAACACGGACATCGACGCGCCCATCGCCGTTGACAGTGCCGGCGACAATGCTATCACCAACGTGCTTCTGGACAGGCATGGCTTCTCCAGTAACCATACTTTCGTCAACATATGTAGTGCCTCGGACCAGAATGCCGTCTGCTGGAATCTTGTCTCCAGGCCGGATGACTACAATGTCATCAACCTCAAGTAGCTCTGTTGGGATTGTCTTTTCCTCCCAAGCAGAGGCCCCAGGTTCATGAGTCCGTGATGGCTTAGGCGTTGGAGACTCGTCAGACGACTTTGCCCAGCTCTCAGCTGCCTTTTCCACGGCGATGGGATCAGTATAAATGGTAGCTGTGGAGGGAGCTAATGACATAAGACGAGACAGTGCCTTAGAAGTCTGACCTTTGGCCCGGTTCTCAAGCCACCGAGACAGTGTAATGAACGTGATGAGCATGGTGCATGTGTCGAAGATCGTGGAAGGTTTAGAATGTGGCTCAAGGAGGACCGAGATGAGCATGGAGAAGACGCTGAAAACGAAGGCACATGATGTGCCGAGAACAACGAGAACATCCATTGTTGGTGACCTATGTTTAAGGGATTTGTACCCAGTAATGTAGAACCTCTTGCCAATCCCGAATTGAACAGGCAGAGTGAGAACGAGACATACAATGTCACCCAGGAATAGACCGGGTATAAGTTCAAAACGTCCAATGTCGATCACTGGGAATGCCATCGGAATAATCATGCCGATGAACAGAACGGGGATCGCGAAGGCAAGTGACGTCCTGAACGCTGTCCGCCACTCCGTAATCTCACGCGTTTTGGCCAGAGACTCAAGCTGCGCGTTGTTATCCTCGCCACTTGCAACGAGGGCATTTAAGCCTTGCGCCTCTATTGTCTCAACGATGCCACGCAGCCCTATAGTCCTGGGCTGGTAGACGACTATCAAGCGGTTCGTTCTGAGGCTGATAGATGCGGACCGTATGCCCTGGGCTGCTGTGAGGCCTTCCTCCAGATTCTGGGCAGAAGTCGCATCGTTGCAGCCAAAGACCTTGAACTGAGCGGTAGTCGTGTCTCCTCCCTGATGGAACGAGTCGCGCTGCGTCGACAGAATAGTGACATCAAATCCGCGATCGTCGATAATCTCGGCAATCTTCTCCGCCGAAATCTTCGTCTCGTCATAAGTGATAACAGCTCGTTCCGCCAAAAGGCTAATGTTGAACTTGAGCACGCCAGCCACGCCATTGAAGCCGGCTTCAACGGCGGATGTGCAGGAGCCACAAGTCATGCCCTCAATGGCGAAAGTGGTTGTCGCAGTAGTCATCACAGACTCGGTTTCGCTCGCAATCGCAGGGTTCTGGTCAGACAAATGGCCGTTCAATTGAGTAGTCGCGGGGTTGGAACGATGGATCGATAGAACCTCAGCATCAAATCCACGGTCTTCGATGATCTCCGGTATTTTCTCGGCCGGTATAATCTCTGGGTCATGCGTAACCACGGCGCGCTCCATTACGAGGCTGATGGAGACTGTTCCAACGCCGTCGACGCCTTTGAAGCCGGATCCCACGGCCGATGTGCAGGAACCGCATCTGTTGAGGTTACAATGTTAGCTAGAGAACGCAAGGAACGAAAGTCAATTGGCGACACACGTCATGCCGCCGACCTGCAGCGTGGTTGTTGCCAGATGCACGCTCGTGTGCGCTGAAAGCCTCGTGGCACTGGCATTTCCGTCATCGCCGTGTTCTGGAAGACGCTCATAGATTTGTCTCATCGCAGTGACACGACAGAGATAGCAAGCAATTCACAGCAAGCAATTCGCAGAGCCTCTTTGGTGGTGGAGTTGGCGTGGTGGAGGGCCTCCCAAGCGCGCCAGGCCACTAGTCTACCAGCTGGGCCGCTAAATGGATCTTCAACGCACCGTCAGATCGCTGTAACCAACTAACGTTAACTACCTAGGCTGAGTACCGTGGGTATAGTTTGCGGAGAGGTGCACTGAGAAGACCGGCTTCTTCAGGCGAAAGTAAGAGATGAGGGAATGCGATTGTGAGATTGTTCCGTCGGCCAGAAGAGAAGAGAGAAGGAGAGGAATCCTGCTTCTGGGTGACACAACAGAAGGTCTCAGCACAGTCTGTCCGAAAATTGGGGGCGGGCGCTTAGGTACCTTAGTCTAGAGAGTATCCCTGTCTCTATGCTGGGGTCCCGTCCCGATCCACTAGCATCTCACCTCAGACGCTCCAAGGTAAGATAGCTACCGGCGGTGGACCTGAAACGGCAATGTCCCGACCCTCAGTGCCTTTTGCGGTGGCCTGGCTAGCCATGTTCCCTTGCTAGTGCAGTGGCCCCCGGCATGATATTCGCAAATGCCAGCTACCAAATGACAATGGCGGGCTTTGCCTCACTTGGGTTGAGATGAGGCAGACATCGTCTTCCTTCTTCTGGCATTATCCCGGATAAATTCAGGCTGAGCATGTCTGTCAATCTCTTTGGTGAAGGATCAAAGCCTCTTACACTCAGTCCTCAGTCCCAGATTAGATCGGTGTTGGACGTGACACTATATGTACGGCTTGTTCTAGATTATGACTTCTACGACACCTCAACTTCAGCACTATTGCATGTTTATCAGCAGTCATTTAATTCTCCATCATACAATTCATATGTAGTTTGGTCGCCATGTCCATCGATATTGATCATCAGAGCCCTTCCGACGTCTTGAAACTGAAGACACCGGCTGTCACTGTAGCTGGATCAGACATCTCCTTCGACGACACAATGTCAACCAAATCCTCCCGTTCCAGTGTGCCCAGCGAGATGACGGGCCCTCCCGCCACAGATGACAGAATGGAAGACTGTGAAGAGGCCAAAGTCTCCGAGACTTCGAACAGAATCCTCGATGTCATTCTTGAATATTCTCTTCACAAGTTCGACAGCACCGAGGAACTGCATAGCGCCGGCAGGCCGAAGTTCCTAGCTGTTGTCTCACGCTTTGTCAGATCACAGCAAAAGGTAGTGATGTGTCTGCCAGCATTCCCATTCAAGTCAGCAAACAAGGTCGAAAAGGTGCTGGGCAACCTCCCAGATAAGGCTGAAGAGTTAGCACTTGCAAGACTGAACTCCATATGTGTCACAATTGGCCAGTTCTATGAGCCAGGGGCCGAACTGACTATCATCTCGGACGGTCTGGTTTACAATGGTACGTTCCTCCTCTGTATCCCTCACTCCAAGCAGAGTGAAAGCTTTCACGCCTAATGGCACATTACTGACATTATCTAGACTTGCTGGGCATTTCCGATCAGGAGACCTGGCGCTATGGATCGGCGCTGCGAGCCATGGCCGATCGCAAGGGCTTCTCTCATCTCTCATTCTCCCGTCTACAGGATTTGGTCGCAGTGAAGGGTCTACCCAATGAACTTAATGAGCTCACGTACGTTGCCAACGCAACTAACTTCCGTCGGACCCTATTTAACAAGTATGGCCGTGACGGCGATCTTGACATTGACCACGAAATCGCCGTAAATCCGGACACGCTCGGGACATACAAGGGGTACTGCCGATTCCTCAAGTCGGATCTGCAGCACATTTTCGGTCCAGCCAAGAGCAGTGCAAAGTACAGGAAGGATGTCAAGTATCTGGCTAAGCAGATGCTGATCCGTGGATATGTAAGTTTCCAGTTTACTAACTTGGCCTTTTCGATACCCATCCGAGTACGTATGGCTAACAGAATCTCTCCCGTGGTTAGTCTTTTGCGGGAGCAGTCAAAGCACGCTTCCCAAACCACTTGCGTCTCAGCATCCATCAGTCAACTGGCGAGAACAAAATTTCTCTCAGCTTACTCAACACCAAGAGCGGTTTCACGACGCCATGGCATTGCAGCGTTGTGTTGATGGCAGATGGTGAATGGCTTAGCGGCCTGATGGTCGATTTCAAAGCCGATCGGCTTCTGGAGCTCGTCGAAGAGGACGGTCGACCCAGCTACTTCAGGGAGGTCCTGCGTCAGAGACCATACCTGACGGAGAACGCGAAGCCGCGCATAGTTATTCAACAGGAACCACAGGCCCATAGGCCAAGGATACGCACAGCTTAGGTCCACCGTGTGGCGAAGCTATACCTTTGACTGCTTTCATGGCCTGGAGTTGCAGGTGTACTGGGACCGCTCACCCTCACTTGCTGAGGACTAAGAGAAGGCCCTGGCATGGATGGTGCGAAGTTTACGAACTGGGACAAAACCAGACACTTTTATAGACTTTTAGTGACTCATACAAGAATGAAACAAGATACCTACACTACCAACTCCTCCATGGAAAGACTCTGAGACACACCACCTAATTCCATGTGGAACCACTGTCCAACATTCTGGCCCTTCTTGACATTTTTGAAGGGAGCACTTGGTGGACACAGATCTTAGTTGCCTTGCAACTTTCTCGGGTACGCAAAGCCCCTGTTAGTTCATTGGTGTCAAAGGGCAGTGAGATTGACGCGGTCAAACCCTGTATCCTGATCACCCATGTGCGCCACTGGCCATCATGGGTGAGGGCCTGTACAACTACACAACGCTTGTACTAGGGGGCATTATAAAGACTAGCATCATGTATCTTTCTTATCTTTAAATCTAACTCTATTAAGTTCTTAGACACAGTCCCAAATTGTTGTCTTAGCGCCATGGAAGGTCGTTCCATTGCTGAAGTCGACGCTTTGATAGTCCCTCGCGAATCATGCGATCTTGATGCGAGTCGAGATGTGTCCTTTCTTCGTCTGTAACACCACCAAGTCATGGTCATATGTGAGATCCTCAATCGTAGTCTCGAAAAGTTCGGCTTTGGGAATAATTAGAAACGCCATCAGGGCGGCCATGATGTAGATCTCGCATAGCGCAAGACTGTGATGCACATCTGTTAGCCTGGAGACTTCGACTTGGACATGCCCCGAACTCGACAACGGGGAACAAGGCTAAGACCTACCTCTCACCAACGCAAACCCTAGATCCCTTCGAGAACGAGATGAGGAACTTTTGCAGCGTATAATCTGGCTTGCCATCGGGCAACAACCAGCGATCAGGGTTGAATGCGTCGGGGTCCGGAAACAGCCGCGTGTCCCAGTGGTTGATCATGGCAGTCATGCTTACAGGTGTACCTCGGGGAATTACAAATTGCGTCTTTTCATCTTGACTCTTGTAGTAGAGCTCCTCCTCACGGGCGATACGGGCTGACCTAGCGGCCGCACCAGGCTGGTGTCGCAAGGCCTCCTGAACGAGGGCCCAAAGGTATGGTCTCTGCTCGAGCTGTGCCCATTTGAGGTTGTTCTGATCTACGCCTTCAAGGTCTTTCATTAGACGAGCATAGATCTTGGGTTGATGAAGGAGGTGAAACGTCATGACAGTCAGAATAGCCTGTATCAAGTCAATTAGAACGATTCGACCTGTCCAATGTTGTGAGTGAACTTACTGCAGTGGTTTCTGTTCCAGCAACAAGAAAGACAAATCCCTCACCCGAGAGACGATAAATGCTCTTCTCTTCCTCAGGCAGGACGTTGGAGTTCAGAATCTCGTTAAAGACACGGCCGCCATCGGGATTTGCCAGGGCAGTCTTGATATAGGCTGGGATAACGTGATGCATCTGGTGCATTATCCTCTTGACATCGTCGCCCATATAATTCGCGAAAATGGGGAGGATATCGGCCATTCGCCTGGCAAACCCGTTGTGACGCACTATTCGCCATCCAATCAGCATAACTGTCTACTAGAAAGCGCTCTCCAAAGACGTACTCATATAAGTGGTTGTCAAGAATGACGAAGTCCAAGTTCCAAAGTTGGGCTCCCAGCCCTCCTGCTCGATAAATCCCATAGGCTCTCCAAATGCGTACTGGGAGAAGACATCGGCAGTATAACAGTTGAAGGCGCCCTTGACTTCGAATGCCTCCTTGCCGGTCCAGCGGAGCATTTTCTCAATAGCGAGCTTAGCGTAGTTGTACACTTCATCTTCAAGCTTGAGAACTTGTCCACGTGAGAAGAAACGTGCATGGGCAGCCCGACGTTTGCGATGTAGCTCGTGCGGTCAAGCTGTGCCGGTTGCCATTGAGACTGGGCCAGCGCCTGCTATTTTGAGGTGATGCTGCCATTTATCGCGGACTGGAGGAATTGTAAGCGCAAGGGCTTCATCGAGCCGAGGAGGGTAGTGAAATAGACGTACTTCTACCTGGCTTTCCCGTGTATATCTCATCGGCAAAGTAGGGGTCGCTGCAGTGAAGCTCATCAGGGCTGACGCGCACGATGGGACCTTCAGGGCATATTAGTCACTTCTAATCTTAGAAGTAAGTCCTCGTCAAGTACTCACCATACTGCTCATGCATCTTCTCTATTCTCCTACCATACCGACCCATGAGAATCCAGTCATAGTATGCCTCATACAAGTATGAAGCGGCGGCAATTTTGGGCCCAGGGAATTTGGACAGAGGGTGGAAAGGAGAGACGTTGTAAAGAGCCAGCACGACGCGATAACCGAGCCAAACTCCAGTGAGGCCAAGCAGCCCCGAGGGGCTCAGCAAGCGCTCGAACGCGATTGAATTGAAGTTGTCCATGGTCGATATATTTTATCCCATTAATGATCTTGGGAGGATCTAATTAAATTCCAAAAGGGACGACACACCAATAGAATAGCCCACGAGTTCTATGTCAACGGACTCTATATATCGATCGTTCTTCTTAACTGAAATGACCCTGAGGGCAAAGCCATAGCATCCCATGGATACGATCTGTATGCGGCAAGCCCCCGAAAGCGGGACTTGCAGTACCGTAGCACTGCCTGTGTCGGATCCTTGAACTGTAGTGGAGCGGTGTTTAACCACTTTCGGACACTGCCGGCTCACTCACTGACCCCGCGGCGTTGCTTACACGTATCGGACACTGCTGAGACACCTACTAAAGTTAAGAACTTAGCGTTGAAGCCAGGGTTTAGCTCAGGTACTGTCTGTGCTGATTGAGGACTGTAAATCAACAGCCCAGGCACTTTTACGATGTCAGCTTTCAGCAGCCTTTGGAATTATCTCGAATCGGCGGTCTCGCCACCACACTAGGCAGTAAAGTCATGTAAACATCATAGAATAAGCTAATGCAGTTAAAGATCACTCTTCAACTCTGAGCGTTGTGTATCCAGCTTGCTTTCACAAGGTCGAGGCTTAGCACGTATATATTGGGGGAAGTCTGGTTAGGATTGCAATAGTGTAATCCTTTCGCTCAAACGATTGATAGCTCATACACAACCAAGAAGGAATCAGGTCTGTATTTACGAAAATAGAGCCCAGGTACCGCTATAGAAGAAGGAAAACTGGACAATATTGGTCATATAAGAAAACTATTGTTGATGGCACTGCCCCAACGATAAGCATCAATCCCGAGCTCCAACGCCTGATCATGTCACACTTCAGTTGTTCTGTTGGCGCTGCAGCTGCCGTTATGGTATACTTTTCATTACAGCCAGAGGCCAATCAAGATCTTATGTATTTTCTGGTCACATTGCAATTGGGACAGCGAGAAGACCCGCAGCTTGGACAAGCATCCGTCGTTATTTTCATGCCATCATGTCCACAGCTGCAACATGTCCAGACATACATGACTTTTCTGCGTTTGTTCTTGCTCGATTGCAATGGACTCTTCCCTTGGAATGTAGTTCTTACTGTAGAAGTTTCGTTCATCGCAGGTGCCAATATGTGTACTTTCTTGAAGCAAGCAATTTGCTGATCCAGTCCGACAATGTCTTGATTTGTTTCAGAGGCTTGTCCCCGTCGCCAGCGTGGGATTAAGCCGTATACTGGTTCTGCTACCGGGATTTTGGGTAGCATGGAGTACACTAGATCGCACTTCTGGCATGTAAAAGTTTCCTCGCCGCTTATTTTACGTGAGCGGCCGTTACAGCCAGGGTTGGGGCACTTGGCGTCTGAAACAACCTGCTGTTCTGTAATCATCTTTATCGACATCGAGATTTGGCATCCGGGGCGGGCCATTGCTTTCCAAGCAATCTCAACATTGGAGTTCGGCTTATTGGTAGCTAAATCTGCACCGAGTAAGAAATATTGCTTCTTGGCAATATACCGTTGGCCTGGACAGTTCTCAAATTGCTTATTGAGAAATATATCAACATTCTGGTACACAGTTAGCTACAGTGTAAGCAATGTGCTGCAATATTTCTTACCGCCCAGTGCCTGAAAAAGTCAAACTGTAACGTCGTTCGGCGCCCGAGCACGTCTTCAAAGCTGATATTCTCCGCAAGTACAAGGAGAGGTGGCATAGAGATCGACGTGCACAGGCGAGAATAATGTCTCATTAACCCTGGGAACAATAACCAGGCCTTCATAATGAGGTTGTGCAGATCTCGTGTGACAGCGCGGATACTGGAGCGGAGGGTCAGTTCATGAGAGATAAAACTCGGTGGCATTTACCTACAGTTTTGGTAAGAGCGTCTGGGTAGTCTCTTCTTGTACGCTAGTCATGTCTTGTTGAGAGGGATTACTAGGCTGATCTCCCAGGGCTGCAGTCACATCACCGTCGGGCTCTTCCAAGTCTGTTACTACCGTTCGGTGACTTGTGCTTGATAAAGAGTTTTCAGTAGCTTGAGGCGACGTATGTGCATTATCAGGTTGATGCTCGTCGTCCTGAAAGTCAAGCAAACTCAGTTGTTCTCGAAGTTCTTCAATACTAATAATTCGACTACAGAAACTGGTCAAAACTATTCATATTGAAAGGCTTATAAGTAAGATATACCGTTCTTGGAGTTGTGTTAGGACCTGGTCATTCTGGACTCTGATCATACTGAGCTGGCTATTCAGCTCATTGAGGTCGTTTCGGTCGCTTGCGTCACAGTCAGCATACGGTGGACAGTCATCAAGAGGCCTGAATACTCTTCCTGTAGTTGAGTGACAAGGTTTAATGTCTGAATCTGTGTCCCAATCCTTGAACGCAGATCATCGACGTGCTTCGAATAGACAAGCGCCCACTGCGCCTTTCTACCAACACCGCGGTACCATGCTGGCGATCTTTGAGGGCCCAGGCTAGCATCGAATTTGGATATCAGGTCAAGGAAGTTTGCGAGTGTAGATAAAGTGAGGTCTGCTTGTTTCCGCGCGTGCTCTGCAAAGGGGTTACTGCTTCTTTGCCTCGTCGTGCCCGTTTGCTGTTGCTGGAGGTGCGACAAAACGTCTTTCAAAAGGTTTAAATCGGCCAGTACTTGAAGATAATCTTCTGCTGCGCCGCCTGTATTCTTCAACGCTTTGGTGATGTCGACGATCAAATTCACAGCGCTAACAAAGTCGCCGGCGGAGAATCCAAAGGCAGGCACAGTCATTGTATCAACTGGTGAGATTTGACAAGTTGATGACAGGTAGAAGAGAGGAGTTTGCGGGGGTGAGAGGCATGGCGATAAGAAATGGCCAGAATAAAATGCCTTGCGCATGCCTTGGGTGAGAATGAGCCAATACCATTGATCCTGTGACATTTGCAGCCCGCTGCAGAGCACTTTAGTGGTCATCTTCTCAGCCTGCTTTCACAGCTTCAATCAATAGGATAATTCTATGCACCTCCTTCATGAGAACAAGTTGATCTTATTGGGCACCAATGCACTTCTTCGTTTGCCCAACACCGCCCCTCGCTTTCAATTGTGCTAGCATAAAATTATTGATGACTAAAGCCTTACAATATGGCAAAACACTAAGTCCAACACCATTACTGACCCTCCATGGTCGTAATTGATCGATTAAATAAGCTTGGTATATCTATGCTGTTCTTTTGAGAGCCATGTCTACCTCCTTCGCAATCTTGATGCTCTCTCGCAACACACGCTTCTCCTCAGCTGTCAGCTCCAGCACTTCTGTGTCAGTCATACAGCTCATATCGTCCTTTGTTCTTCCTTTATGCCATTTGCCATCCATCACCCAGTACTCTGGGACTTCATAACCATCTGGGTCCACCCGCTTGTTCTTCAACAAACTTCTATTGTACCATAACAGCTTGTCCTTCTCATCAGTGTGAGCAATCACAAAGCTACAAACCTTTGTCACATTTCCTCCTGTGCCTTCACCCCAGCCAATCATTGAACCATAATGCGACTCAAACTCATAACTGGATCCGCCAAGCTCAAGGCCAAGCCACCAAGACTCTTTGTCCCCGTGACCTTGCCTGTAAGTGACTTCCTCTCGAACATCATACGTGTTCTGCCATGCGACATGCAGAAGACCGACAAGAGTGCTTACTCGGGCCTTGTTGAGGACTACCACACCGGAATCACATTCTTCAGCGTAGTCTTCTGTCCATACAAGTGATTTGTTCATCTCCGCTGAAGGCTCCTTGATCTGGTCCTTCCACCATTCGTGCCTTTCTTTGAAAGCATGTTGCCAAAGCAGTCTGTCGTGGAATAGCAACGCCCCTTTTTCTATGTATGCTTTCTGCGCAAACAGCCTTTCCGGTTGTTGAATGAACACAGCATCAGCATCTAGGAGGATGACCTCTTCAAAGTGCGACCCAAGCAATGCAAAAGCCTTGATGGCCCATCCTCCGTCTTTCAGCTTCAGTGTAGTATCATCAAAGACAGTGAAGATGTCAAGAAACTCAAGATCAGATGCGCCATCAAGTTTTGTGATTATTTCGCGATCCTTTTTGGGCAAGTCATCGTCTCCCGCATAAACAATCTGTATAGGCAGGCGACAGTCCAACACTTTGCGCAAGCTCACTATCAGGTGGCCAGCGAAGCGAACTGATTGTTCTCCTCCCCCAACAGGAATCACAATTCCTCTGGATCCTCTGTCAAAAGAGTGTCGGAGGTCAGAGAGCGGTGTTGTTGAACCGGGGTTCCGTGGTGGATTCCGGAGGAAAGGGAATAGTTGTTGGGCTGTTATCTCCGTAACATCCCGGAGCTGCCGCCCAACTTTCGAAGTCGAGTCAAGTTTGTCAGACTTTGACAGCCACTGACTCAAGTCTCGTGATCGTTGACCGACCTCCCAGAAGGTACTTTTATAGGGAGCCTGTACAGGATTTTCGGCATATTGCTTCGCCTTTTGCGAGATGTTCTTCAGCTCAAACTCGCTGATTGGTGGCGTCCAGCTGTAAGATAAGCTGGCCGAGCCCTTCCAGGCGATAAGAACTAGTAAAAGGGAAAGGCCGCCGAAGATACTCAATCGCACCAGAGCACGAGGAGGGTCTCTGAACATTTGGCTGAGCCGTACTATGAATGTTGTTGCCAGCGACATGTTCACAGATGGTCGATTTAGGCTCAAGGTCGTGTGACGTGATGAAGAATTGAGAATGGGAAATGGGAGAGCACAGTAAGCGGCACCTAATTAAGCCTTCGTGCGGGTCAGGATGACACCCCTGGATTCGTATTGTCAGAGATTTCTGCCTTGGTCCAACCGCCGATGAATGTCACATTATCTACAACCAACAGCTTAATGACCTGTAACCAACAAGCCAACCAAGGATCAGGCTGTGCCGCCCCCATTGGCGCAAAGTCTTGGCTCAGGAAGTTCGGAAATCCCAGATCTTCCTCAGCCCAATACTTCATAATTAAAGCTTCTGTGTTCTGTACGATATTTGATGCAAATATTATCCGTATCATCTGGAATCTGAATGTCATGAATGTTAAGATGCAGCCAAGGTGCGTGAGTTCAGCTATGTGGAGAAATCGCAAAGCTTGAGATAATCCCTGCCTCGTCATGCAGGGGCCCCAAGTTTCTTCAGTGGCCTGACTTGCTGATCATTAACTCTCTCGAGTCGTCCAGCCAGACCAGCCTTTCCGTTGGTCGATGAATTGAGTGTTGGTACGGATTAGAAGCACAAGGATTGTAATTTTAATCCCCTCGTTACGAGTGTACTTCTCTTCGCACTCACTGTCCAACAGCGTACCAGTATGAAATCGCTCTACAGAATGGAATTGTCAACAACTCAATATCACCGGGAAGGTATGTTATCATTGGGTTTTGATGGCTTGATGCTGGTCATCGGAGGGCTGTAAACCAGATACTAGAGTCTCCCTCCACGAGTACAGAAGTATCTGCCCTAAGTCTCGCTTACAAGACACATGACTGAAGAACTTCAGACCTGTAACATCCCCTTATCTGTACTATCCAATCGAAATGCTCGACCTGTCCCAGGAAATGCAGCCAAGTGAGCAGGGTGCTGAAAACTGGCGGTTACAGAAGTTCCCGACCACTAATTCGATACTGTCCGTAGGTAAAAGCCCAAGACCTCCCGAGTCCCCTTCGTACTGGCCGTAATGCTACTTCTGCCATCTACCTGCTGCTCAGTCTTCCTTCGCCAAAAGATCTTTTCACATATCCAGATATGCATTTTAGTCTTGTTATGAGTGTTTCCTGCGCCCTATTGCAGCCAGCAATGGCTCAGCAGGGCGTGTGCTGGGGTGTCGATGGCAAGCAGTGGACCAACAACAAACAGTGCCCAGGTTCCTCGGCGTGTTGTGGTGAGAGGGCAACTTGCATGCCAAATCGACTCTGCAAGAACAAAGGACAGGGAGAGAATGAGTTCGTGAGAGGTCCTTGTGCCGTTGCACCATACGATAAGAAGAAATGTGCCGCCATCTGTCTTTACGGTTTGTTCTCGGCCCGTTCCTTGTCCCATAACGCAGTTCTCAACTAGGCTAACGATCGTTTCTAGAGGAGAGGAACAACCGATTCCCGCGCGTAAAACGATGCGAAGATGGCAGCTACTGCTGTTCAGAAGACGATCCTGGATGTTGCGCAGGTAAACGAGGTGTCTTTCTTGATTCGAAAGGCAATATTGAGAACGACGTGACCTCTTCATCCGCGTCTTTGATCGAGACCACCTCTTCAGCTGAGACACCATCATCTACAGTCATTGCGGCCTCCACGACGACGTCCTCCGATCTAAGCCCTACGTCAGACGAGACGGAAGAAGCGAATACTGGGACGACCGACAACAGCCAGGGCATGAAGATCGGACTTGGTGTTGGCGTTCCGGCCGCTGCCATAATCGCTGGGCTATCTGTCTGGCTCTTCTTTCGCAAAAAGACAGCCAAGGATCAAGACCAGAGTACTACCGCTGCTTCGCATCCCCCGATGTACCATTACCCACAACCAGGAGGTCCGCCAGACGTTTCCCAAGCACACCGATACCAGCAATGGTATCATCAGGCATATGGGCACTATCCAGGGGTCAGCGACCAAAGAACCAAGTCCCCTTCAACAGTACAGGAGCCCCAAGGCTGACGTCAGAGATTTTCTTGTGTCATATTTAGTGAAAATTATCATAGTTAACTAAGGATTACACAATTTAAGAAATGGTTACTAAAGATTTAGACAATTTAAGGAATAGTTACCCAAGTACCAAGCGATTCTAGAGGCATCAGGCGTTCCATTTTGAAAGATCGCGGAGGTTAATGCCGTCCACAGCAGGTTCACGCGCCAATGGAAGATAAAGGACAAATTAGAAAAACTTTTACGCCTAATATCTCACTCTAATTCACAACCCGAAACCGCTTTTCACTCCTCGTGCGCCACCTCTCTCAAGACCATCCTTCAAATCACCTTGTTTTTTTGCAGCTAGTTTGAAGTCCGCTCGAACCAATTGTCCCAAAGAGAAGACCCATTCAGGTTCAAAATGTTGCTCATGTTCTCCTTCAAGTCGCACATCTGAGCCTTGATCTCCCGATCCTTTGTCGCCTCATCAACTTCCTCTTGTTTCTGGGCAACATCCTTTTCAGCTTCCTTCAATTTCTCAACGATCTCCTCATAATGATCTTGGAGGATCTTTCTCGCTATCTGAGACCCATTGGCGAAGCTCTGATCCATAAGCGTTTTGCTGTATTGGCTCATGTGGGCAAAAAGCTCATCTTGGCTGTCACCCCGCAGACGATCCAAGGGTTCGAGGCTCAAATGACTATTGGGCTCGGGTTTAGTCTCGACAGCAGCTTCCAGGCGAGTTATCGCTTCGGCCAAAGTGGCCTGCTCGACTGTAAGGCGGCTCAGCGTGCCCTGGGCATCTCTTAGGCCATCACCGGCACGTTCGGCGGCAATAGCCGCAAGGTGTCAATCCGCTTCGAGGGACTCGGGGGTCCTTTTTCGAACTGATTCCGCTAGCATTCCTGGCTCCTGCATTTCGAATCTCTTCTTGACCTCTTGTAGGGGATAGTCGCCATCGTAAGAGTGAGATTCCTTGATCTTTCGGATGAAGAATCTGCGCTCGGCATGCGGGTTGAGCGATTGGGGGCAGTGTCTGTTTGTCAGGGCGTGTCGTAGACAGGAGAGGACGTGAATTCCACAGCTGATGTTATCCTGCTGTGGAGTACAAGGCTATAGATAGAGGTGAGCATTATTCTTTATGGCAAGGGGGGCAACTGACTGTGACATTGTTGAACCGCAGCTGGAACTTATGTCCGGCGGTCTCATTCCATATCTGGAAGCTTTCGCAAACAGCATTGAACCGGTCTTCGCCTTCGCTCGAATCATGGTGATTGAATATCATTGAGTTCGCATCATGGTCGATCTCGATAATAGCCAAGGTCCAATGCTTAGGCTTCTGGTGATGAATTGGGAAGCAAATCATGGTATACCCGTCGAGCCTGATCTTGTGGCCAGCAGTTGTACCGTCGACTTTGAACCAGAGAGGGTCGAGGATCTTGACCTTGCCTTGCTCCAGTGGAAACCAAGAAACGAGGGCTTTTGTAAGGAATTGAAGCGTGACATCCATGAGCTTCACGTTGCTGGTGAGCTGTTTATAAATAGTGGTGGCTGGGTCAACCACCTCTTCTTCTACCTGCGAAGTTTCGGCACGCTTCGTGGATCGCTGTGGGGTCATCGCGCTGGCTTCGTTCTCTCTTTTGCGCTTGGACGAAGTGGCAGCTGGTGGTTGTGTGAAATGACGAGAAGTTTTCATGTGAGGGGTTAGGGGTAGAGAGGCGGCATTCGATAAAGCAGTTCTCTGCTCTCGGGACTCCTGGTAAGCGAAAATGGAGATCGGAGAGATTCTCTTGTTGTTGTTGCCTGCGATCTTGGCTGGTGATCTGACTGGCGATTTGGCTGGCGATCCGGGGCAACCTCCCAGGATGACGCTTGGGCTTCGCGTGACCAATAAGACGGGCTCGATATCCTCATCATCGCTGCTGTCGCTTTCAACGTGGTCACTTCCGACGTACATACAGGCCTCAGGCTCAGTCTCTCGAGACTCTAGAACGATTATCTCTGATGGGCCGCCAGCGTCTTGGGCACTTTGAGAGCTTACGATTGCCTTCAGATTTCTGAGGGCTGCTCTCGCGATCTCCTTGGTTAATCGGAGAGAATCTCTCGGATGCCGACTAACACCGGTCCAAAGGACATTGTAGGGTGGTACCTGACTCCACAAGGATGGCAGCTCGATGCGTTTGTCTTGGGCAAATTTTGTGATCTTGACCAGGTAGTCGACTGCACTTCCACTGAGTTCGTTCTGCTTAGGGGGGTTCTCATGCGCGATGCGGACGTCGTCGAGGAGCCAAGACTTGCCTCCCCATTGTTTGTCAAGCCATTTCTCTTGCCGAGCTCTGATGGGCTTGGTAGGTGAGTTCGGCATGGTGGGATCACCTGCGCTCATGATGTTAACGTTGGGGCGATGGCAATGTTTATAATGAATTATGGAAGGACTGAGAAGAGGATTTGTTGAAGGGGGTTAGATCGTTTGCAGAATTTATAAGGGGGTGAGGTTAAAGAGGGTGCAATGAGCATAGACGTGAGCGGGAAAATAAAAGGGGTGAGTGGAGCAGTATCCTAAGTTTAGGTAAAGCTGAATCATGAATGGAGGAGTTTAGGCTGCATTTGAGAAAGTGTGAAGAGTTTAGGGCAAAAGAAGAAGAGACGAGCATAAACTTGTCATAATTTTAGGGTTGACATACCTGAAGGTCCGTTGGAAACAGGAAGAAATATTGGTAGGAGTCGAATGAACAGAAGACTTGAGAGAATACTCTGTTCGTAGAGGGTTCCTGTGGCTACGAAGTTTGATCGATCGTCAAGGTGATGTACAGGCAGTGATGTAGTGTTATAGTAGGCGGTTCCGCATACAGGCAGCGTGGTAGATACAGAGATTCACTGAGGGAGATGAGTTGAAGTTCTGTACAGTGAATATCTGCGAAGTCGAAGGTCCAAAAGGGGGTCAAGGGAAAAGAAGTGATGTTGACTGGACTTCTGCGGGAGGCGATTATCTGGACTGGAATGATGAAGAACCGAGTATACTGAAATGAAACTTGGTATCATGTCAGTAAGTTGATGGTGGAGGGGAGAGTCAGTGCAGAAATACCTGGTGTTTAGAGGTTGAAAGCTGAAAGTTGAAAGTTGAAGGCTGAAGAGTAGACGTAACAATGAAGGCTGAAGGTTGAGAAAGGAGGCAGGTTCCAGTGTATTACGCAATGATGCTCGAAGGGGAGTGACATTGAGTCACTACGTGACGTCTTGTTCTTGTTGTCGACCAGATGCAAGACTGCTTGGGCTGTTGCATCAACAAAAGTTGTTAATCCTAGTACTTTCCTTGCAACCTCTTGTGACATCCGCTTTATCCGCGGTTTTCACTTGGAGCCCATCAGTAAAAGTGAACTTGAAGACAATGTCGTCAAACAATTTTGTCCACTTCGTTTGGCTACGGGCGGGAGCCTGACTTCGAGCTGAACGAGTCACCCATAGTCTATGGCGCCGGCGACATAACAAGAAATGGCTCATATGTCATCGCTTCCGACTACTTCACTCATTGTTTCCTTTCGTATCGACACCATACGATGGTCAGTCCACGATTTGGTCAGTTCATGCCGATGATTTCCTCAAGTCGATCCGCCTTGGAGGGGCGAGATTGGCCACGAGCTTCGCGATCTGAAGTCTCGTCGCGTTTGTTTTGACGCGCGGACACAGTGATGACGGAACATGCGGAGTCATGTTGAAAGCTCTGCTGTCTTTTGTAGCTTTCAGTCGCCATTTGAAGAAAAGAGTCTGTTGCGACCGACTGGGGGACTTCGTCTGGTCGGTAGGTCGAAATGGTTGAATGACGACTTTCGTGTGGTCAACAGTGGATGAGTCTACAGGCATGGCACGGACCATCTGTCGCTGCAGGGTAGCTGGACTCGCGACCAGAATAAAAGATCGACGGCATTGGATATGAGACAATCGTTGCCCTGATATTGGTACTTACGTTAGATAAAAAGTATCCAACGAAATATTGTGTTGTATTTTGACATTGTGTGGATTTGAATCGAAGGTGAGTACAGCTTTGAAGTAACTAACATTGCTTGGATGTGTGATCTTTGACCTGCTTTTTCCCGCGTGTCGGGCAGTCATTGCGTTCTCAAAAACACGCAGTTTCTAATGAAAGGACATTAAATACAGATAACAGCTAAATGCAATCAATATTAGTCACTATGTATACTGTCTCGATCATTTTAATGATGTTCATGAGCCTTTAGGCTTTATGTCATTTGTTTTGTCGTTGTTATGCTTGAGATGAAAGCAATACGCTAAACTCAATCGAGGAGTCATTCAGTTCGCGACCTTGACCCTGATCGAGACGTTGATTGGCTGACGAAGACGCGTCTTGGCACTCCTCAACTTCCAACAAACAACATTCAACAACAGAAGACGAAGTCGCAAGGAAAGGAGGATTTCAACCTGTAGCTATGCTTGATCGCTGTCGCCTTTTTTCTTGTAATTATACGCGCGATCGCGCAATTCCTCCAGTTGCTCCCTCAAAACCTTGACAGCCTCTCCTTCAAGCAAAACCCCATTTTCAAGCGATCGCCCTTGATGAATCATATTTCTCTGCGTTGGCCAGAAGTACGACGTGCCCAGATACGCGAGACTATCGTCCGCAATGATCGCGTTGTAGTGCGGTCGCGGCTCCCACCAGCTAACATCTTCCACTGACAGCCGCTCGCCGTAGCGTCGCGTCGCTTGGGCAAGAATTCTTGATGAGACCGCGTCTAATTCACGGACTTGTATCGTTACCGTGACACCGTTTGCAGCGCGTCTCGCCAACAGCTTGGTGATTTTAGGATCAACGAGTTCGGAGACGCTGACAAGTAGATCGCGACGAGCACCGCGTAGCAGTGTATGTTGCGCGCGACTGATGTAGGCCAAACTCGCGATGGGGTCGTTTATTATGACGCCCAGACTAGCGAGCTGTGATCCAAGATGAGCACGACGCTCGTTACCCACGCCATCATGGATTGCTTCTTGCATGTAGATCTGGAAGACTTTAGCTGCTGTTGGTGGAAGCTCGATGGAAAAGTCGGCCTTATCAATTGGTTTGGTATCTACAATGGCACCAGTGCTGAACAGTGTCCTGTCATCGATGACTATCGCTTTGGCGTGCACGACTTGGCGCGTCGGACCGTCAACGCCAGTGAACATATCGATGTGAACTCGGTTGCGCTCAAGAAGCTTGACATACTCCCTGCAGGCTGGTGTATCCTGATAAATCGTAGGTCCTAGTTTCGATACCACGGCAGACATCATCGCATCTGGATTGTGCTTTCGAAAGTCAACCAACGCGTCGACTACAATCTTGGCGTCGCCTTGATCGCACATCGACAGGTTGAGTATTGTCAATCGGCGTTGCTGAGGGGTCTTTGGAGAAGGGACTGTGCACTCCCGGATGAACTTCTCAAAGATGAGAAGATGGTCCAAACCATTGGTAAGAAGTGGTAATGGTCCTCGTGGTAGCGTACCAAACATGGGATCGCGATCGCTTGTGGATAATCTCATCGCTTTGATGGCTTTGACACTTGTAGCCCGACATCGAAGCTTATCCTCACAGTAAAGAAACGCGTCGATATCGAAGCAACCGCCAAAATCGGGGCAATTGACCCTTACGTATGAAGGCGCTATCTCATGGGGCTCGACGGTGAACTTGACGCCACGGGACCCGTCCAAGACGTGTCGAGCTACCAATTGGCCATCTTTCTGGGCTTCGATCTGAAAGGGTCCATAGAGCTCACGTCCACGCAAACGGGCCTCAAACGTCATGCCTGGAGCCAAAGGCTTGTGGACTCGTCGGCGAGATGCCAAAGGAAGCATACGCACAATGCCGTGCTTGATTGGACCAAGCGTATGCTCGCCCCTTGAGCCAGGGAAGATCACTCGGAGATTGTCTGGCTCATTGACCGATTGGTGAATCTGACCCTTTGGTGTCCATCTTCTGAGATGAAGAATAAGCCGAGGCGGTACGGCGAAGTCCAGCGGATCTGCGATGGCCTCGAGATAGTCGACCTGCCATTGCACACCATCTATCACGGCAGCACGGCCAGGGAAGCATTCGATACGGATGTCCATGTGCAAAGCACGTTGGTCTCGTAAAACTAACTGATGATGAGCGTTCACACCCACCAAGTCGTAGACATGCTCATTATACTCGATGGGTGTTGGTGCTCTGGCTCGCTCACTCCGAGTCCTTACATAATCTGCAGATAATGGATCGAGGGAGTTGAGTTGCCATTTCGACAAAGGACTGTCTTTATCAAGATATTTATCATTTCCTGGCTGATTTGGTTTAATGACATCAAATCTCATGCTTCCTGTTGCGGTAAGGAACGATATCCAAGCTCAACGTCAGTCGGGCATAACCAAGTAAAGTATCTGCTCGCGTGAGCAAAATTCGAGTTATAATTACCAAGTCAAGGCACTCCCATAGGACCGGCCCGAGAGCAACATCGGGAGCCACCATATTGGCTACACAAAACATCGCACATTCATCATCCTCACCTGTGATCTCTCCTCGACTAGGCGAATTCCGAAGAGGCTTGGGCTGGAGACGCTGAGCTCTTTTAAAACCTCTGCGTTTTTGCATTTGATTTGCTCAGCGTTACCGTGACTGATCAATATTGACGTAAAATGTTGTCAGTATTGGGCGGCATGTGCGACGATATCTGCAGCACCCCACAACATGGCGTTCGGGAACTCCAGTTCGAGCTGTGAAGTACCAACTTCTGTTACATCCCTATGTCGATCGCTTTGCGCCTGTTTCGAAGGACGACTTATGTATGGGCTATGAAGACGGCAGAATCGGAGGAGTTCAGCCAACCCCTTTGCTCGTGTATTACACAATGGGACGAGACGGGAACGACACGTATGCAACGTAATGCGAAGAGGTATGACGACTGTCTTATAGCACGGGCTATCTTTTGAAGATTCTTTGTTAGTACTACATGTTTCCCCAGAGCAGGGCTGATAAAGCAAAGGGAGAATTTCCAGAATCCCAAAACGCGGCGAGTATTGTGTGGCAGTTCAGGAAACTGATTTGCTCCGAAGTTAAGACTCTGCCTACTTATCACTAGCAGTTCAGTCCAGGAAATCTAATAGATGTAATAAAGTGCCTTTGTTAGGCAATTCGGCCATATAATTGATTCCTGAAGTGAGAACTGTTCTGTGAAGTTGGTGTTCCAGTCGGCTGGAGGCTTTCCTCTCAATGTCGAGTATCTTGCAACGAACTCTGCTACACCAAAACCGAGAAAAGTACACGCCGCCTCGCGTAGCATGACATGAAGAGTCTTGGAACCTCGAAACTAAATTATCATATATGTACTATGGTCACTTTGCATGAAATAAGGATGGGGTAATATGTGCCAGCCCATTGTTTCTAGGATATATAAAAATACTATTTAAAGTTCAAAACAATACAGGCCAACAAGAGTTGCTAAGCTGCTAAAGGAACTTGGTGCAGAAAAACGCACCTCTGGTTGCGCCAATTATGTTTTATGTTAGATGGATGAAGGGTATTTCAGATTCAATGGTACTTCGCTCGAAGAATATCTCCCAATCCTTCGAGACGAGAAGAGAGTGACCAACTGAGGCTCTCTAAGCTGAGTTGTTCAAAAGATTTACATTATTTTGGGCCCTACAATCCATGTCATCGATAAGAGCCGAAAGCGGTGTGAGACACATACTGTCATGAAAGGTGAATGGATAATAGAACATCGCTGCTCTCATTGCCTGTGGCAGCTCAGAGTGGATAGGATTTCTAAGTGGTCTCTGTGGCGCAGAGATAGGAACTTTCACAAGTGAAGGGCCAGATTCCGGCACGCTTAGCCTTTGAAACACACCAATTTGTACTGATTCTGTGTTTGTTGGCTCCCAGTGTTGTGATATTAGCTCAAATTAGGATGTACCTCTTCGCATTCAATTTATAGCATCTAACTTAAACCAAGTGATATGGGTAGTTGAAACCTGATCTGGAAGCGAGATTTAAAAAATTATTAGTATCTTCATTGCTATATAACCTTCAGTGCCTCCAAGTTAGGAGTTAAAGCAGAGGCTTGAATGAGATGTTAACAGTCAAGATGGATTCAATAGTCCCTGAAATGGAATGTGATAGAAGGCATGGAATCTAGAGCCTTTGTTTATTGTGGCTGGCTGAGGCACTTGCCGTGCAGTCCGCGAGAAGAACGTATCAAGAATTTGTCTTCGCCAAGATTGCGCTATGACCTACTGGAGAGAATCATGTGTGATGTGGCTGCATTGAGCTATCGTGGAACTATTTGAATCTGGTTGTCTAGACTAGTCTAAAGGCGGGGAATTCCTGCAACATTCAAGCATCTCCGCCTTTTGAGTAACTGTCCTGACAATAAAAACAAGACGCTGTATATAAAAGCAAAATATAGATAACAGACAGATGGGGTTACTGTAACGGCAACTGAGAATTGTAGCTCTGGCCCTGCTCTTACCATCCAGCTTTGCCTTAGCATCACTCTCGATCATGCGCTAATCCCGCATGCTGCTTATTTTGGCTTGTTCTAACTTGGAACAGCCGGAAATGCTTCCATATTAAAACACGGTGTCAGGTGTCCAGAATGTCAACATGCGAGAAACACCTTTTCGGGTTAGAATACGGATATTTGGCTGGCTAGCAATACTCTAATAGTATAGCTTGGACTTTCCAGTAGCGTCATGTCTCAAGTCTCACCCGTTTCTGCTATCTTTATAGCAGTACTAATGAGTTGTGGCCAGCTGAAGAGCACAGGACGCTCTACTCCGTAGTTACTGAGAGTCAAATATGGACTAATTGGGATAGGATATGCGAAGCCACAGCGCATCAACCGAGCTGAGTTATGCCAGCTGGGTACACCGATCTCACGATGCCTGCTTAGAACTCAGCCTCGTTGGTTGAGATTCCCATTTACATAGATGCTTGGAGTTGTATCTTTTATGTAAATAAGAAAGAAGGAGAAATGTATAAAGAGAGCTTAAATCCCCCGCATTCTCATCATTCTTTTCCATCTCACTCTACCATCACAGCATAATTATCTACTCCCATACACTGCCTCATTGAGCAAAAATACTTCATTATGGCTCCATCTCGCTCTACCCATTGCACCATCGTCAACAACACTTCGCTCACGCTGAACCTTAAGGGTAGCGGGTGTGACCATGGCCGATGGACTTTGAACTTTGGACCTTCCGATACTGCCAATACTATCCCCCCTAACGACAAGAAGTCTTTCCAAGCCGAGTCCGCTGGAGTCATGACCGGCGACCAGGGGTGGGTGACTTACGGCAGCGCCGCCGGTGATTTCAATTTCACATTCAACAACCCTTTCAGTGGCTCCAACGGATACAGTGACACTCCCGCCAAAGACTACAATATCAAGCGTGATGGCGGCGATGGCAATGACGCTCGTGTTACCTGGACTATTCGTGGGTCACACCATTATTAGCATAGTATACTTGTTGATTGGACGCTGACATTTCTTCAGAGCATAACTGAGAAGGGTAGTATGATAGAATATGAGGTTATTCTTGTGTTAAAGCCGCATAACGCAATATCAGGGGAATTAGCATACGGATTATAGTACAGACCTTTGTATTCTATATATGCCCTAACCTTTGCAGCTTGAGATCATGATTTCTTTTATTTTATGCTCTCTTTATGAATGTGAAATGTAGATAAATCCCCGCTTACTATGTAATATTCATTCTTATTAGGCTTGATGCTAAAGCGCAAAGTTGAGAAAGCTACGATTATTAAAATAAATTTTATACTGTAGATCGCACTACACTTTCATGGTCATCCATAAGTGCACCTTTGTCTCTACTCAAGAGGCAAAGCGTTAGGCCCTTGTCAGCCTGGACTATCTATCGTCGAAGGACATTGACTGTCTAAGTTGTGGGCTAGAAGTGTTATTTGCAGTTGAGATTTGTGGCTGTGAGCTTATTCCGGCAGAGAGAACCTAGAAGGACATTGACTGGATCAATGTAGTCCATTTCGCTTCTGAAACGCCAGGTTCGGACTCGTCGAGGCCTTCAATGCATATACCGAATATGTGCCGCTGATAGAGCCTTTCCATTTTCTTAAAAGTCTCTCTAGAGCAACGTTAAGGGTAGATGATGGGATTTGTTGACAGTTCTCAACCTTCTAGGTAGTATGTTTCTCTCGACTCCGCTGAAAAGGCAAGATCTTAGGTATGGGATCAGGCCACTCTTGAAATGTATCATGAAGTATTGAGCGATAACGCCCGTTTAATGACTTCTGTGCCTTTGACTCATACCAAAAGATGAACGAAACGAATACAAGCTTTCATCTAGAACACCGCCGAGAGAGGGTGTATGCTTCAGGCTATCTTTACGACCTTAAGACTCGCTTCAACAAAGGTCAAGATCCCAGACGCCAGTCCGATCGCCGTGACGGGACACGATAAGAGAGAGAGGTATGTCGAATTTAGAGGGAGATATTAGAAATGGACCATAGAAATGCCAGCGAATTCAGAAAGATGGAAACATGTTCTTTTTTCCCATCCCACAAAATGCTCAGCGCAGCCTCAGTCAGCATGGAACGATGACGAGAAGAAATTATAAGATCATGGGCTTCTTGGCGGACTCACGTCACAGCTTGATTATGCAAGGTCTACCAATAGCCTTTAAGTCTGGATCTTGTCCTCAGGCATTGAATATTCCCAGTGCTCACTGCATACGATGGCTGCCAAAGCTCTTCACATGATTCCAGCTGGGAATAACATGCATGGCATGATTGTCTTTACCCACGAGGTAGCAATTCGAATTTAGAGTGCAATCAATGATTTGCCGCGAGAATAAGATAAATGATCCATAAATGAGGGGATAATATTATTCCGTCTTTTTCCACACAATTGCTGAATGACGTGACAGCGATTGGCTCTATCGCCATCGCTAGAAGCTCTCACGCCATACCCCATGAACATGTGAACAGAGCTCTTATCGCCTATCACAAGCTCAAAATTTCTGAAGCACACCAATAATGATATAATCTAGATAGGAAAAAGGGACTATATCCCGAAATTCGGAAGATATCCGGTCTGGCGGAACTCCATCGACTAATGAGATCCCCCGCTGACCTCCACGGTTCATCAGATTGATGCCCGGCAGTTATCTAGCAAATGATAGTCCATTGCATCATCAAAGCTATACAAACGACATGGATTCGTGCCTGCCGATCGCCAGACATAAAGCTATCACACGGACCCCCAAGCTCAAAATGCCGAGCCGTCAAACCGAACTGCTGGATCTTTCACATACCCAAGATTCTTAGCCAAAATGTCGCTCCACGTTCGAGCAGACGCAAGCGAGAATGGCATTGAGCCTCCGCTTTCTCAAGCCGTCGGCTATGTCGTCGTTATCGCGATTGGATTTCTTATCGCGTTTATCATGATGTTTTTGACTCACATATTGAAGAAGACTGTCGGTGAAGATAACAAAACGACTGAGATGTTCATGACAGCCAATCGAAGTGTTGGTACTGGTTTGACTTCGTCTGCTGTTATTTCGTCTTGGCTTTGGAGTACGGCTATGCTTGGAAGTACCCTTGTTGGATACAACTTTGGTGTCGCTGGGCCTTTCTGGTTTGCAGCTGGGTATGTATTTTGCCTTTATGATCATTCTTGGCAGTTGCTGACCTTTATCAGATGCTCGCCCATGATCGTCTTCTTCGCTCTGCTTGGCATCTCTTGTAAGCTTAGGGTTCCCGAAGCGCATACACTACTCGAGATTGTCCGTATACGATATGGAACGTCGGGGCATATTGTTTGGATTGGGCTTTGCCTCATCAACAACATCATCGCTATCGCAAACATGCTGTTGGGTGCGAGTGCTGCCATATCCGCGTTGTGAGTTCCCTCTCCTGGAGCTACGTGATCAGGACTAACGAATCAGATCCGGCATTCACATCATCGCCGCTACCTTCTTATTACCCGTCGGCGTCGTACTGTACACATTTGTCGGCGGTATCAAAGCGACTTTCCTGACTGATTACTTTCATACCTTTGTCATTACGATCATCATATGTTTCTTCACCATCAAGGCATTCCTCGTCCCCGAGATTGGATCACCTGGTGGCCTCTATGATCTAATCGTTCAGGTTGGGAAGGACCATCCCGTTGCTGGTAACCACGATGGATCGTTCTTGACCATGACTAGTAAAGACGTGAGTTGCTAATTTTGCCATCGCCAAGTCCATGCTGACAACATTCAGGCTATATACTTCGGTATCATCCACGTTCTGGCCAATTTCGGTCTCGTCATCATGGACACTGGCTTCTTTGCCAAAGCTTTCAGTGCTGCACCCCAAGCCGTCGTACCTGGATATATAATCGGCGGCATAGCTTACTTTGCCATCCCATGGTGCCTCGGAACCTTGATGAGCTTTTCTGCTCTAGCCCTTGAGGATACCCCACGGTTCCCGACATACCCTCGTCGCATGTCTTCAGTGGAGATCTCGAACGGTCTTGTATTGCCTTATGCCGCGATTGCAATCGCCGGAAAAGGCGGTGCTGCCGCTGTTCTGCTGATCACTTTCATGGCTGTCACTTCAACTATCAGTGCTCAGGTCATCTCCGTGTCATCCATCATCAGCTTCGACATCTATCGCCAGTACTTCAACCGCGGCGCAACTGATCGTGATGCCATTCGGTGGAGTCATATCGGCGTGGTCTTCTTCGGCCTGTTCTCTGCTGCCTTCTCGACTGCCCTGTACTACGGCAAGGTAGATCTCGGGTGGACTCTCTACATGCTTGGTGTTTTGACATGCCCTGGTATCTTCCCAACCGTCTTTACAATCTTGTGGAGAAAACAGTCAAAGATTGCTGCTATCGTCTCACCTCTTCTGGGCATGGCCACTGGCATCGCTGTTTGGCTTGGCTCGGCATCGTCACTCTACGGTGAAGTCACAGTCGCCTCCACTGGAAAGTCTCTTCCTTGTGTTTACGGGACTGTCGCCTCGGCTTTGAGCCCCGCCCTGTACTCAGTCGTGATCTCGCTCATTAAGCCAGCGAATTACCAATGGGCTGACTTTAGAAATGAGCGTCTTGCGTTTGACCAGGTTGGCTCAACAAAGGAAGAAGTGAGAACCCACGAAGAAAAGGTGGCTAGCTACACGGCCGATAAGGCCAAACTCAAGCATTGGGGCACTCTTGCGGCGATTTGGTCTGCGGCTACATTCTTAGGGCATTGGGTTCTTTGGTAAGATATCCCTTATCTCTCCATTATACCGTTGACTAACAGACAAAATTCCAGGCCACTTCCGATGTACGCGGCAAAATATGTCTTTGGTAAGACATTCTTCGTCGCTTGGATTGTCATTGCCATCATTTGGGTATGGGGAACCATGTTCGTCGCGGGCTTCTACCCCATCATTGATGGTTGGCCTCAATTGAAGACAGTCTATCGGGGCTTGAGGGGCCAGGGCCCAGTTGAAGGCGAGCCCGAAGTAGTTCAAAATGCCCAAAGTGATTCTTCCATTACAGAGAGAGATGAGAAGGGGAACCATGGGATTCTGGCATGAGAGTAGTCTGATAGCGCAGTTACTATAAGAGATATACATAGTGCTCAATTACTGAGACTCATAAAACATGACTCCAATATTCGTGTAAGACGATCGTCTATCTTTATTTATGCGCAATTGAGATAGGAAAGCATTCGCGATAGTGACAGCCCCGATCAGGCCTTGGCTTCCCCGCTTGACCCCGCCAGAGCCGATAGAGGCCGCATCCGATAGCGGCATTAATTAGAACTCCAACTCCAATTTGATTTCGTCCGGCTTATCACCAGCGACTCCTCCCATCTCACATTACTGATGCCATCAAAATAGCCCTTCAAGATGCCTTTCACAGTTCTCTCAGACGCCAACGTCAACCACATCCTCGATACGTTATCGTCAACTGACGTGGCTGATCTTGCAAAAGCTCTCGAGCAAGCCCTCATTCAATACTCATGCAACAACGAACAGCAATACCAGCCTCACCGTGCAGTCGTCAACCGAGATGGCCAAGTCAGCTTGTTCATGCCCGGAACTACCGACCAATTGATCGGCGTCAAGATCGTCGGTGTCACCCCAAGCGAAAAGCTCAAGCCTTCTGAAGCAGGTCTCAAAAGTGTCTTGACTCTGTGCGACGCTAGAGGTCAAGCCATCGGAACGCTCAATGCAGCTGCTCTCACCGCGTTCCGAACTGCGCTGGGTTCAATGCTGCCGTATCGATTCAGACGTAACACAGAGAATATCGTCGTGTTCGGTGCGGGGAAGCAAGCTCTATGGCATATTCGATTGGCACTTCTGTTGAAGGAGAAGGACATCAAGTCTGTGACCATTGTCAACCGTTCTGCGGAGAGGACCCAGCAGTTGATAGACTCACTCAAGTCAAATGATCAGTCACCGTGGCCATCGCATATCAGCCTTCAGGCCTTTGACCCCAAAAATGACCGAGATGCCGCTTTGGAGGCTCTGGTCGTAGATGCAGACGTCTTGTTCTTTACAACACCAAGCACGGAACCTCTCTTCCCAGCGTCATATCTGACTTCCGAGAAGGCTCTGAGCAAGACTAGGTATCTCGCGGCGATTGGTTCTTACCGCCTCGACATGCAAGAAATCGACCCCGAGCTACTGAAGCAAGTCATTGATCCATCAGGACCCTTTTCTTCCGTGGGGTATCATGGTGGATCCGTTGCAGTCGACAGCCGAGAGGGCTGCCTGCAAGAGGCTGGAGAACTCGTCAAGGCTGAGATCCCTACGGATAAAATGCTTGAAATTGGCCAGTTGTTCCAGACCAAGAACACCAAGAACCCGGATGACTTGACTAAGTGGCTTGAAAGTGGATTTGTTATTTACAAGAGTGTCGGTACTGGTGTTATGGATCTATCGATTGGCCAAGAGCTCCTCCGCTTGGCCAAGGTGAAGAATGTTGGCTTGACTGCTGAGGACTTCTGAAGTCTCCAAACTTTATAAACATTAGAGGGCTATAATGTGTAAAACAAACATAATCTTTTCTTTAGATGATGTCCCAGTGCTTGTTCTGATGTTATTTAAGAATACGAAGATTTTCTACGATCATTCGTGGCTACTTAGCATGAGGTCGTGAGAAACTCGACCCGTTAATTTCCTGTTGACGGAAATTTTGCGGCGAACTGAGGAAAAGGCTTTCTCGTTCCCGCATGATATAGAATCATTGCTGCTTGTACCACACTGACTCACGAGAACTCTACCGATCCAGAATGCAGAATAAGAAGGCTCAGTCGCCTAAGGGATAATCAGGAGAAAATGCACAAAGTTGAGTTGACTCTATATAATCTATGGCTAGTGTAGTGTTCTATTTCTAAAGTGATTCAATAACTCCTTCCGTATGCCGCTTTTAGTCCATTAATGATAAGACACAGGATTAAATTGAAAATATTAAGAAATGATCTGGGAACCCCTCAAGATCTAGCCCTTCTTTGCCATAGCCAGCGCTTGTGCGGCTCTTGCCGAGTATTTACATCGCTGTCGAATAGCAGGACCATACTTGAAAAAGATGAATGGCATCGGTAGACAAGCGAGTGATAGAAAAGCCGGTACACAACTAGCCCACTGAGTTCCCAGGTTATCATACATCTGCTTAGTGAAAAGAGGAAAGGCGGCGCCGAAAAGAGATCGCAGCACAGCATTTGATGCTAGAACCGATGCAGCGTAGATGGTGTATGAATCGATGAGGTAGCTGAAGATGCTGTGGAAGACGAGAGACATGCCGAGACCGAAGGGGGCACCAGCGGCTACTGGAGACATCCAGTGGACTGAACGATACGACGTCCTGTTAATTGTCAGTAGACGAATATACTACACCAAGACTTGAACTTACCATGCGAACCAGAACATGCCAACAGGGACACAGATACCGCCGAGCATGCATCCAGGGAGACGATACTCGGGAGGCACAGGCTCGTCACCGAACCTCTTCGTGACCTTCATGTACCATATGTTGATGAGACCAATCGTAGGAATGGCACTGATCATTCCGACTGCAACCCCAAGGAAGGCCAAACCTCCCTTACCAGCAGACCAACCCCTCTCGAGCTGGAAGACAACAGGGTATGCGCCAAAGAGCATGTAAAGAGTTCCGAAGAGAATAGCGACGTAAATCGAGAGAAGAAGGACGATGGGCTCGAAGCATAGAAGTTGCCAAGGGCGAATGAGGGCCTTCTTGAGGACGACAGATGGCGGATCGGCCTTGCCCTGGTGTTCATAGATGGAGATGTAAACCTTGCCAGTTTTCTTGGACAAGAAGTCGGCTCGGTTCTGAAGGATGTAGGGTGCGTAGGTCTCCGGGCAACAGCACATGTCGAGTACCCAGAAGAATCCGGCAACAATGGCCATCAATCCCATAACCTGGAGAATGTGGTTAGTGTATGATGTTAAATACTAGGACATGGTTAACTTACCCATCTCCAACCTTGACCGTCACTCAAATAGCCACCGATGAAAGGACCCAAGCTAGGTCCCAGTGCAGGTGCCAAAGAGAAGAACGCCATAGCGATAGCACGTTCGTCAGCATTAAAAATATCAGAGATAACACCTCCAGCATTGGTCAGAGGTGATGAGCCAAAGGTGCCGCAGAAGAAGCGAAGGACTAGAAGAGTAGCGACGCCATTGTCTGCTGTACATGCTGCACTGAACACGACGTACAAGCCATAGCTGATGATGAAGATGATTTGTCGACCGTAGATTTCGCAAAGTGGTGCCCAGAGGAGAGGTCCGACTGCGAAGCCCAGGACATAGAATGAGACGCCAGCAGTGATGAGTGTATGACTGGCCTTGAAGTGGATCATGAGCGGCACGATAGTACCTGTCATATGACATGTCAGCTACATCGATTGGCGAGGGCTATAATACTGACCTGTATAGGCACTTGAACTAAACGCGACAGCAAAACATGTTGCGGCTGAAACCATGGTGATGGTCCATTTCAGCCACTTGGGCCAGTTGAGCGGGTTACCTGGGTCATCAGGAATCCAGCTAACAACAAATGGATCCTCGAAGGAACCTGACCCAGGATAGTTATGATTCTCAACAGCCTGATCAACTCTCGTTCTGTCAAAAAGAAGTTTCACAAGCGGTCTATGTCGCGGTTTGGACTCTGGTGTCTTTTGTCGTAGTGTTTCATCGTCGCTCACACAAGAGCTAGGCAAATCTGGTCTAGAAGACATGATAATGTTGTGAATCTGCAATGATTGCTCATACTATTCCTCAAAAGGACTTCCAAGACGGGAGGACGAGCCCTTTATAATAATATGGCGAGATCGGGGTTCCATTTCGTCGGGAGCGCCGGTGAGCGGGCCTCGAAGCCGGGGTGAGCAACAGGTGATTTCTGCTGTGACGACGGAGTCACAGGACGGATTTGGGCGCGGTGAGATGCAGATTTGGGCAGAAGGGGGGTCTAGCACCTTTCGATCTTGCGGGTATCAAGGAACGTAATTAGATCTTGATGACGAAATCTGCATAATCCCTCCTGGGGGGTCGGGAAATCGCAGTCTGACTGCGCCGACATTTTCGATAATTCTTCTCTGGATCCACTGAAACGTGGTTTTGACAGGTGCTAGACAAGGGTTTTGCTAATTAGAGATAAGAAGCTTGGGCTGTTGGTATCATGCTTAAAATGTCCGACGGAGTTTGTAGGGGGAAATGGATACGAGAAAAGCCGACTGTGGATCGCATCAGTCCACTATTTGCCGTGCGTTCCCTACCAAAACTCCGACCGAGGCTTGATTGTACATAGAATTGGGTCTGTTCATGTGCTGGCAAGGCTGATCACATGTTGCTGGGCTCAAGAGTGATTGGCAATTATAAATATTGAGACGTGGTACTTCATGTGATTTTGTTATGAGTTAATCTGTTCCATGTCTTTGTTACAAATGCCAAGACTGGCTACCTGCGGCCATGAATGCGTGGCTAAATTTTACATCATGAATCCTCTTTCAATCTCATCGGTTTATATCGAGATCATCATGTTACAATTGTCGTATCAGGTATCGTGAGTTTAAAGTTTGTCGGGTTCTTGGTGTTTTCCGTATTCAAGGTCTCGGCCGAAAAACGGCTTTGGTCGTCATCATGTGACGAGGTCAGGCAGTCATCAGTGGCGACGATCCAGTCTGCGCATTTGACGCCTCCATGATGCCTCAGTTTGACAAATCATTTTGTCTTTCGCGTTCTTTATCGCCGCGAAATCTTTTCCAAGCCAAAAACACCTTTGTAGGTAGTTGTACGCTGATCTGGGCTGGTGCTCATCAAGGTCCCCAACCAAAAGGTGTCCACTGAAGGCGCCCGAATTGACAATCTCGAATTGAGTCATCGACGTCGCAAAGCTCTTAGTTTCATCTCACAAATAATTGCTAGAGTGGCAGAATACTACTATGGGACGCACAGAGCCATCTATCGGCCGACCGCCAGCGGCGTTTCGCAAGGATGCACGCTCCAAAAAGGCCAAAGCAACCATCAATAAGGTTATCCCCTCCCTCCTCACTGGATATCCAGGTGCTCAGAAAGGGATCAGTTCAGCAGAGCTCATACCTTTTATCAACACTACACTCTTGCCTGAGCCATACGGGAAGCTTTTGAAGAAACAAGAGGACAAGGGTGATGCAGCAACTAAGGGCAAATCTACAGAAGGCGCTGAAGATCCCCACGATGATTTGGCAAAGCTCAAACCACCAAGAATCTCAATCAGGGAAGTCGATACGCTTGTTGCTGCAAGAGACCTTCTCAATATTGAGACACCGACGGGCGTCAGAACAGATTTTGTTAATACCAGAGCTCGTGTGGCCATCTTGAACATGGGTTCGCCTCTGAACCCTGGAGGCGGATTTCTAAACGGCGCAAACAGTCAGGAGGAATCATTGTGCATGCGCACTACATTATATCCTTCTCTCAAGGATGAGTGGTACCGACTCCCCGAACTTTCTTCGATTTGGACTCCGACGGTGTTGGTCTTCAGAGATGAAGATGGGAATGATATAGACAAGAAAGATCGGTTCTACGTCGACTGCATCACGGCAGCGATGATCCGCGGCCCGGAATTCGAGCTTGACGAGGACGGAGTGGCATCGTACGCCAACAAGAAGGATCGCGACACCGCGCAAGCTAAGATGAGGGCCGTTATGCGGATTGCTATGGTCAAAAGGTGCAAACGGCTTGTACTTGGAGCTTGGGGCTGCGGCGCGCACGGAAATCCCGTTGGCGAAATAGCAAGAGCTTGGAAATCTGTGCTCACTCCAAAATACGATAAGTCAAAGCTAAAGGAGCGATGGGAATACGTTGATGAGATTGTGTTTGCAATCAAGGATCACAACATGGCGCAGGCTTTTGCGGAAGCTTGGGGTGACGGTATCGAACTGCAGGAGGAAGAAAAGAATGAGACGAAGGAGGAAGAAGAGAAAGACGCCGAGGAAGTTGATCCGGCTGATGTCAAAACGCAGGAGTTGAAAGTGAAGATCAGGGAGCTAGAGGACAGGATTCAGAGGGTGAATAATCCCAAGGTCCTGGATGGCTTGAAAGCTATTCTTGATGGGCTGGAAAAGCAGCTCCCTGAAGAGGAGTCGGAGGATGAGGCACTGACTCAGGACAGTGAGTGGGAACATGTCAAAGCTGAAGGCACCGGATCTAGCTGATCTGTCGATCTGGGCGTTGACGTGGTATCGTTCTTCGTCAAAGCGCGCACGTCAGTGCAAGCATATCTGGCAAATAAACACCCGCACTTTTATCAGATTGGTAGATTGGATAACTGTTACCCACGGTAGTGACAGCACCTGACTAGCATCAAAGGTAGATATCGGTAATTTGATATCCGCAACCTCCGCACGCATCCCCTCACCGTCTTCTTCTACATCGAGCTAACCACTTTCATCTCATCACCAGACCAGTTATCAAATGTACCACGATCTCCATGTCAATGCTTTCTTTTTGGATCTTCCATCTCGGTAGTCTATCACGTCTTCTCGTGACTGGTTCTTGTTGAGTTGCAGTGCGGGGGTGATCCCGCAGCTCGGACCCGTCTCCGCTCCGCATTCAGCTCATGATTGCGCTTATTGGTCGTCGCACTATTCTAAACACTTCGCCAACTGGGCTATGCTTGTTTTTGCTGTGGCAATGGTATATAATACTGGTATAGCTCTTGATCAACACGTCTGTAGTTTATATAGTCTGCCGCTCGACCGGATGACATGGACTCTGGTGTCCAAGCATCATCTTGCCAAGGAGGGTCCTTGACGTTCCCGGTCAATTTGATGGAGCATTCCTTGATTTAGAACTAGTAAAGTCTCCCTTGTGATGGAGTGAGGCCTAATGCATATCAAAGCATCTCAATCCCATGTTTATCACAGACGATAGTCTATAGATATGGCTGCAAGCCAACGTGTTCTGTAAATCACCGTATCGAGAAGTCAGGGTCGATCATCATCCCGGGTTCTAATTATCCATGGACCAGAGATAACCGTGATAACGGAGGTTCGCGTTTATTCGGCACTTCAAGGCCGATTCGGCATTTCGGGCGATCTTAGATTGGCTTGGTCCTAGCTGTCTCTTGTGCGTGGATCTGAATGGAAGCCAATGTAACATCTCCGCATGCCTTATCCAGACAGAGCCCACTTCCCCAGACTATCAACCCAAGCTAGACCGTAAGGAAAATAAACGAACAGACGCTAGTAGGAGATCAACAGTTCTTGGTGTGAGGATGCCAGCCATTCCGCTGTTTTTCATCACCCCGAGGGCCGGGCATATGGAAACTCTATTCCTTCTTGGTAGCTATGCTACAGCTTATAAAGTGTTGAAGCTTCCCCTCAATATTCGTCGTCATCAACCTTGAGCTCCCCTGCCTCTCAGAACCCTTACCTACCAAGCTCGGACACGAACGCGTCTGCTCATATACCAACCTCAACATGTCTCCCCGTAACAGTGTCAATGGCAAGCCTCGAAGCGATGGGGAAGAGATGGACCATGTCCATACAGCCCAGAGCATCCCCATCTCACCAGAATTGTTCGAGCAGCTGTATCTTCAGCCACAGAATAGGGTCAAGGGAGATCTTCGAAAGACTTTTGGCAACCCTACTCCAGTTGGTATGTAGCACTGTCTTCAATATTCCTATGATACTTACCAGTACAGCTTTGGCGGGATTCTTGCTGTGCTCCACACCACTGTCCATCGGCTTGCTTGGATGGCAGGGATCTGGCGGCTTTGCTGCCGCTGCGAACGTGTAGGTTCCATCACCCCTTTGCCCAAGGCCAATAGCTAATAGATCACAGCGGTGCCTACCTCGGCCTGGGTGGCCTCCTTCTAATCTTGGGAGGCATTGGTGAATGGATTCTAGGTAACAATTAACGCCTCGTTGTTCCAATTGCTTAGCTAACATCGGCCTTACAGGAAACACCTTTCCGTCGACCGTTTTCTTCACCTTCGGAGGCTTCTTCATCACCCTCGTTACTACTATCGACCCTGACTCCGGTGCCTACAGCACATATTCGACTGATGGTACCGCTGCAAATGGCCTCACTCAACCCCAATTCTTCTCAACCTTCTCATTCTTTCTGGTTGGCATGGCTATCCTATGCACATTCTACACTATAGCGGCTGTTCGAACAAATGTCGCTCTGTTTTCCATCCTCCTCCTTCTCGTTCCTTGCTGTAAGCTTAACCGCCTCTCTCTCCTATAGCACTCACTAACCTTGTGATAGTCTCCTGCCTTGCCGCTGCCTTCTTCTCCGTTTCTCAAGGGAAGGCGGATCTCGCGCTCAAGTGCCAGCACGCCGGAGCGGGCCTGTTGTTCGCTATATCATTGATCGGATGGTATTTGTTCGGGTCTCTTATCCTCATGTCGGTTGACTTCCCCATCATGCTACCTCTTGGCGATCTCTCTACCATCATCCGCGGCAAAAGTGATGCCCCAAAGGATGCAAGCAAGACAGTTTAAGAGTGATCACACTGTCTTAGGGTTATTGTCTTGTCGATGGAAGGATCTTCCTGCTATATCGGGAAAGGAGCGATTGGTAACCAAGATCTTGGGAAGTAATATGTCTTGTAAGAAGTCATTCTTGTCATAGTATGTTGCTTTCTCAGCTTATGTACGTTGGGGCTTGACTATACTGGACTATTATTTAATTGCCTTCAATATGATGGGACTCAAAGAATACTTTATAATGTTTTACGTGATTTGCTGCCAATCTGTCAACTCACCTTGGTGTATTTCTATAATATGATGTAATGCAGCACTTATACCATTGGTAAAATACATCTTAGCCCAATTTCACTACATGAAGTGGAATAGTCGAGTTAACATCGTTGATAAGACCAGTTCTGCCACAAGCCTTATCTTATCAGAGATAAGCACTGTAGATATTCCGTTCACGGAAAGGTGTAAAAGGTGAAATCGGAACCCCATTGGCTAAAATACGCTAAATCTCGACCGAAAAATCTACTCATTTACTACCCTGTACTTTCTCCTATTTGCAGACCTGCTGTCTTTATGAGGATATAAATACTCTATGCACTGCTTCTTTTTTCCTCGCAGTCTTGTATTGTAGTTGACCTACCTTTCATTCAGCAGATATAAGGCTAGGGAGTTTACTAAAACCTCTTAGAAGTGCCAATGTCAATAATGGGTGTTTTGCATATATCAACGAGTGTAGCTGTACACTTTGACATAAAATAGCAAGTTCTCGACAAAAACCTACTAACTATTATCAAAGGCCGGCGAGGCAAAATCTACTATATATCTAGGCGGACACAGAATGATCATGCATATCTTCCTTCTCGCGACGTCTCCCATGGACAGGCTCTTGAACTACTTCTTCTCTTTGCGCCATGATGGTTTCGAGGTTCTAAGCCAACAATTAGTTTCATATGTCGGCCAGCATGCGAGAAAGAAAAGACTTACAGGGCCCTCAAAGGTTTTCCCCCGAGCAAACCAATAAACAGCAATAGCGAAGCAGCAAATTGCTATGACAACAGAAACATAATCTGTGATGATGTGAGCAGACGACGAATTACAAGAGGCAGAAAATATTTACTCATCGTGTTTCCAGTCGCAGGTAGCGATGGAGGGAAGCAGAAAAGCTATGTTCATGTTAGTAGCTCGTTACCTGTCACAGGAAGCCGACATACCACTGAAGTTACTGAAACATACAGACAAGATGTCCAGTTAGCCAGGTATCCCCAGAAGTTTCCAAGCTTCCACGGCGTATGGGGGTGTTGATGCGGAGCGAGGATGCCTCTGCCTCGAATGACCAAAACGAAGATTGGGAAAACGTATGATATGTTCAGGAGAATCGTGCAAGACGCGATGAACGCGTTGAAGGCTACCGTAGGTCCTAGATAGAGGGCACCAAATAGCACATTGAAGATATAAGTGAAGATGATCGTGCGGACTGGAACCTCTAACTTTGGGTTGATGTGGTTGAAATATCGAGAGAAAAAGAAGCCGTTGTCTCGAGCCATGGAGTAAATCAGTCGGCTACTGGTGGTAACTGATCCGTTTGTGCCGTGGATGAAACACAAACCTAGCATGCAGCTGATGATGGTAGAGGCTGCTCGGCTGTTCGTGGCTTGGTCGAAAAGAGCGATCAGGGGCTGACCGGTAGGCGAGCTCACAACCTTGTCGACATCAGTCAGACAGAAGAGGATCACTAGGATGAAGATCACGCCACTGATGAGGTCAGTATTTTATGTACAATGCTTTGGCCAGGATTGTAGTACTTACGTAGAACCGCCAACACCGATAGCATAGACGATTGCAAGAGGAGCATCCAGATGGGGATTAGGCATTTCTTCAGTCATGTGAAGAACCGCGTCAAATCCAATCAATGACAAAGCGGATTGAAGTAGACCTAGAAGCCAAGCCATTCCATCTGACCATCCTGTCTCGTTATTGAAAGTTGTGAAAACGAACTCAGCGCTGGTCTTTTCTGACATGGATAACAGAATGATACTGATGATAACCACGCTCCCAATTGACCAGTAAACTTGATAATAACGTTAGCAAGCTACATCCCAGGTTTTTAAAGTATAAACTTACGAGCAAGGTTGCTCCAAGGCCCAAGGATTGAATTGCCCCAAATGTTCACGATGGTTGAAAATGTGATAATGGCAAGGAAGACAAGGTATGTTGTCCAAGAGTCGACCGGTGTTGATCTCCCGGACGCGACGACAATAGCGGCAGCAATGAACATGGCTGATTTCAGTCAGTGAATGGGTCTGACTACTTGCCTGATAAGAAACACTCACCGGAAAAGATCGCTTCGGTCGTTACCAGGGTGAGCCAGCCGGCAATATTGATCCATCCTGCGCATAAGCTCTGGAAATTATTAGCTTCGTCACAGGTTATGATACTGGAGACTCAGACATACTAGAAACCTCTTCCATCGCTCACTGCTGAGAGCGTATACGAAATGATATTGTCCACCTGCTGTTGGCCAGATAGCTGCAAGCTCGCCCAGGCTAAAGGCCAGAGCAAAGTTGCAAGCTACACAGAAGATGAAGCCGTACAGGAGTGCGACTGGGCCTCCAGACGGCATGACGATGCCAATTGTGCCACCTAACGCGATCCAAGTGCTGTAGAGGTCAGGTACTGAGCCTTCGGTCATGAAGGGGAATGTGGATCTGCTTACTTGAGAATAGCGAACGTCATTGCAACCATAGTCAACTTGCTCAGACGTGGCCGCAAGTGACCTTCTGTAACCTGGTGAGGAGTCGGATCGGCCATGGTGAAAATAGCTGGCGATATCAGCCAAATCTTGATCTATGTAAGTCCTTGTTGCTCTCAACAGTAAACACGTTTAACACGACGGGATATATCTTAAATAAACCGCATCACGAAGTGTTGATAGACTTCAAGCGAGCTGATAAGAATGCCAAGGAGTTCCCCCAGGGCCAAGAGTGCCGAGATAAGCTTTTCCAGGGATGCTCGTTATCGTGCGGGGAAATGAGGCGAGATCGCGGTCTCTGGTGTAACCCACGCGCTGCACTAGGCACAATTAGGATGGCACAGTCTGGACTTACTTTGCTGGGAGTAGCGGCATCGCGAACCCCCTTTACGGTTTGGCCACTTATCTACGTTCGCCGCATGGAGACGGATGCCAATTAGATAGGATATCGAGATATCTTTGAAGCGGGTGACGATTCAGTTGACGGAGTTGCGCTTGCGTCACACCTCGACCCCCCTCAGACCGAGTGGAACATGCCTCAGCCTATCGCAAGTGGCTTTACGTAGCACAGCAGTTACGGAGCTTCGGCGGTCGAATGGACGTCTATCGAACTTCCGACCTAGCCGCCTCTCGTGATATTGGAGGCACTTCAATAATATCCACACATGATGATACTGCTGGCCAACCGACAGTATGATTAGAAACCTTTTGTTTGCAAGCCACGAGTAGCAGAGTTTAGGAGTGAGCTGCTCTAGTATAAGGAGTTAAACGAACTTCATAGGGACCACTGCTAGACCATGAATGCATTAACGAGTGTTCATAAGAATCAATTTGGTCGAGACTCTGCTAAAAATATTCTGTTTTCATGATCTGATCAAAGGTTGCTGTTGTCCTTTACACTAGGTTCTCCCCATCCTGGCTTCAAGAGTAAGTCCAACGTAGTGTACTCCGAAGTGGCAAAGTTGGAGCCAACTGCCCCAGCACCCGAGGGACCCGGATCATGATATGCATTGACAACACGAGCTCGGTTCTTGGTCACTTCAATGATTGACCCGCTCTTGATCTCGATGTCTTGTGGTCCAGTTCTCGCTTGGTCAATGGTCGAGCAGATGCTGTCCCTCTCAATCAAGGCGACCATGACACTCGCGACCTCAGAGGGCTCAACCAGAACATCCTTGTTAGTATCGATCATCGCAAGTTTATCTGGATTCTCCATGAAGAGAGGCGTCTTGATGATGCCTGGTGCGACTGCCGCAATACGGACGCCAACTTGGTCGATCTTGGCCATCGCGCGCACGAATCCACTAATCGCATGTTTTGTCGCATCATAAATCGCAGTGGACAAGCAGGTGTCTTGGGCGTTGGTACTCGAGATAATTACAATTGTGCGAGGTTTCTTTTCGTATCTCAAGAAACGAGACAGCGCCAATTGAGTGGTCCTGATAGGATGAACCAAGTTGATATCGATACTGGCATAGCGACCGCCGTGGAGGGCATCTTTGCTTTGTGGGGTTCCAGGAGGATACCAAAAGCTGCTAAAGCTCTAAAGAATTACTGGGTCAGTGGCAATTGACTTGGAAGAACCCAGAGTGCATACCGGTTCGTAAACTCCAGCGCCAGGGCAGACGATGTCAATGTCGCCGAATTCCTCTTCTGCCCTTTCGAACATTCGCTCAAGATGAGGCCAGTTAGTCACATCAGTCTGCTGGAAAACAGCTCGGCTTGTGCTTGCAGCTCCGCCTGAATAAGCGTCCACCAGCTTCTGAGCTTCAGGTCGCAGAGCGAGGTCGGCAAAAAGAACATTGCATCCGCCTATCAAAAGCTGTTCCGCAAATGCGAGGTTGATGCCACTGCCAGCGCCAGTAACAATGGCTGTTTTGCCTCGGATAGAATGGGACATGTTCTGCGTGTTCTTTTGCTTTCGTTGGGAATAGTATTGAGTGGTAACGAGAACAGCAAGCCGAACGATTAGCCCCTCATTACATATTTGAATGATGTCTTTTGTATCCTCCTTCGATTACACGCCAAGACATCACAAGCATCAGCCCCATCCTCGAGTATATGCCATGGAATATTGGAGATCTTTGCGGGGTTAGATATGCGAGCCGCATGACAATAGCTGGACTAGACTCGTTCCAAAACTTTCTATGGCTCCGACCGATAAGCTGGATACTTGATCAGGAAGGGGGACCCTTCATGCTGGTCCCACGATGGCATAGACTCACCATACCGAAAATGGTATGTGTTGCCTGAGTACCTCTATGCGCTCCCTCTACGAGCACGCAATCATGTACCTCTAGTATTAAAGACCTGGATAGGAGGCTCAAATCAGGTAGTGAGCCTTGTCACGCTAGCCATCGTTCGAACCGGCACAATGGAACAAAAGACAGATACCAGGACTTACAAGCTGAATCATGCCATGTGAGTTCACCCTGTACAGCTCACTCAACCTATGCATACTCATCCTTAAGCTAATAGGATTCGTGTGAAGGATCCCAGACGTACTAGTAAGTAAAATCGCCATTCACCACTCAGTAAGAGTTTGCTGAACAATTCTCTCACAGTCCAGTTTTACGAACTTCTTGGCCTTAGTGTTGTCCAAAAGCTTTCGTTTCCCGAAAATAAGTTCGATCTTTACTTCCTTGGTGTTGATAGCCCGGATTCGCCTTCTCATGGGAAGTTCACCTTCGATCGTCAAGGCTTGATCGAGCTCACTCATAACTATGGCACTGAGAGTGATGACAATTATCGAGTAAGCAACGGGAATGAGAAACCATATCTTGGCTTCTCCCATATATCGATCTCGGTGGTGAATGTACAGTCTACCTACCAGACGCTGGCCAAAGCTGGTTACAAATTCCAGCAGGATATCGCCTCTGGGAACGAGCGGGTGATTGCTCTGGACCCAGACGGCTACTGGATCCATATTATCGAGCAGGATTCGCCGAATGTGAATGTCTCATCCGATGCTGCTGGCCTGTCTAGTGTTGTAAGTCTACACCTGACTCTCGCATGATAGATCATTGCTAAATGACACTGTTGCAGAATCAATATGCCTTGAGAATCACGGACGCAGCTCGATCCGTTCGCTACTACACAGAGAATCTCGGAATGAAGCTGGTCAAAACTCACAACAATGAGAGCGAAAGCTTAAAGACATTTCTTTTAGGGTATCCTTCAACAGGTTCCTTCACCGGAACAGAAGACTTGTCACGCCGTGAAGGATTACTCACTCTCATCTGGCAAGGCGGAGAGAACGCGATTTCACAAGTACATAATGGAAATGATCAACCTCAAGGATTTGGTCATATCTGTAAGTTAATTCGCCTTAATTCTATGGTGGAAATGGCTGACGTTGCAAAGGTGTCACTGTTGATAATATTGATGCAGCGTGTGAACGGTTGGAAGGACTGAACGTTGTGTGGAAGAAGAGGTTAACTGACGGAAAAATGAAGAATGTCGCGTTTCTTCTTGACCCTGATAATTACTGGATTGAATTGGTGCAAAACGAAGGCTTTACTGGCAAAGCAAACTTTTAGACTAGGGATCCAAGTTTCTACAGCCAGCCTCTAAATCAGAATCCATTTCTTCGATACACCCTAAAGCATTGTGTTGTGGACTTTGCTGATTACGCACCACATCTTGCTCCTTCACATGATAAGACAATGATAACGTCGAGTTGACTTACACCGTGCTGCTCAGTGCTTCAGTCTGCCAGCGTCCCTCTCCGTTTGTCGTTGGATCCTGGCCACTTTACTAACCATGATTGGCAACTCTAGCCTAAGTTTTGCGCTAAGACTTTGCAATGCAACCAATTGACTTCTTCCCATCTGCCGAGGCAGCACTTACCGCGTTAGGCAAGTCTAAGGAAGCGAGCAGTTGGGCGAACTTCATGGAAATCGAACAGCTTGGGTAGGCCTATCTTCAAGCTTCCACTGGTATACGCAGCTGATTAGCATTGCTCCATACTACAGTTGAGCGCCGAGATATGCAAGTCCAGGCTATCTTCTGGGGTAGCTCCCCACCTGATACAGATCGGAATGGGACCGAGGTGGAGAGCTCTGAGGGGAGCTTTACTTGGTGACGGCTTGCCCATCATGGTAGAACGTGTCGAGGACCCGATTCCGTACAATAATTCAGCACAAGAAGTTCGGAGTCGGGGTCTACAGATCCGAAATATCAGCCCATACTGATTATAGGCAAAGATTGGAACTTCTCAAGTTGTGATTACGTTTGTCTGTCGCATTCGTGCTGTTGTTAAATAAGTATTTGATGCAACCGAAGACCCTCTATTGAAGCACCTTGCATTAAGACATCACGCATCAATACACATCACAATGTCAGGTTCAATCCCCCATCCCTTCGATCCCCTCAGCGGAGAGGAAATTCGCCTCGCTACCTCTATTGTGCGCAAAGAGCATGGCGATGCAGTCCACTTCCACGTCATAACGCTTCAGGAGCCGCGCAAGGCTGAGATGGTGGCCTGGCTTGCCAATCCCTCCAGCGGCGCCAGACCTCGACGTGTTGCAGAAGTTGTCATTATTGATCCCAGAGATGGCAAGAGCCATGTCTATGATGGTTTGATCGACTTGAAGAGTCAAAGGATCACAAAGTGGGAGCGCGCTGAAGGGCAACAGCCAATTGTGAGACCGCCCTCAATCACCCCATTGAGAGCATGGCTAACTGATGACTACCTTGCAGCTCATTGTCGAAGAAATGCTCGAAGTCGAACAAGCGTGTCGCAAAGACCCCCAAGTCATCGAACAATGCCGAATCAGCGGAATCGCCGCAGACGAGATGCACAAAGTCTACGCCGACCCATGGACCATCAGCCACGACACTCGATACGGCAGCAGCACACGCCTGTTCCAAGGCCTGATGTATTTCCGCCCAGATGTCGACAACTGCCAATACCAATATCCTCTTGATTTCCATCCGATCTATGATCCCAGGAAGAAGGAGGTTATTGCCATAGATATCCCTCGCGTTCGACGACCTCTTCAGAGAAACAAGGCTGTGGATTATCATCATTTGTATATCCAGAAGGAGGGCGGGTATAGAAAGGACTTGAAGCCGATTTACATCTCCCAGCCGGAGGGTGTTTCGTTCAATGTCAACGGAAGGGAGCTAGAGTGGCAGAACTGGAAGTTTCATATTGGCTTCAATTATCGTGAGGGTATTGTCTTCAACAACATTACCTTCAACGATAAGGGAAACGTCAGGCCAATCTTCTATCGCATGTCTCTTTCCGAGATGGTTGTTCCCTAGTACGTCGTCGTCCGCCCTTCTCGACAAGTCTCACGCTAACGCCAATACTCAGTGGTCACCCCGAGCCTCCTCATCATCGCAAGCATGCCTTCGATCTGGGCGAGTATGGTGCCGGATATCTGACAAACAGTCTCTCGCTTGGCTGTGACTGCAAGGGTACGCTGCCTCTCACTCACCATCTAGTTCACCAAGCTAACTGTCAAGGTGCCATTCATTATCTCGATGCTGAGCTCCCGACTCAGACCGGTCAGATCCGCAAGATCGAGAATGCCATATGCATCCATGAGGAAGATGATGGTATTCTATTCAAGCACACAGACTTTCGAGACAACTCAACTATCGTCACACGCGCCCGAAAGCTTATCGTTCAGCATGTCTTTACTGCTGCTAACTATGAGTACGCCATTCAGGTATGTTGCACCTGCCAAGTGTTGAGAGGAGACTACTAACAGAATATAGTGGGTGTTCCACCAGGACGGAACAATCCAGCCTGATATCAAGCTCACAGGTATCCTCAACACTTATGTCATGAACCCTGGTGAGGATCTGCAAGGCTATGGAACGCAAGTCAAGAAGGGTAAGTCTCGCATCGACAGCTACAGTCCCCAGACTAATGACTACTCAGGTGTCAACGCCCATAACCATCAGCATCTCTTCCTTCTCCGTATCAATCCCAGCATCGATGGTCACGAGAACACGGTCCACATGGTTGATGCTGTACCTTCGGATGCCCCAGTTGGCAGCCCAGAAAACCTCTACGGTAATGCCTTCTATGCTAAGCGCACTCGACTCGAGACCACTGGCCAAGCTATCACCGACTACAATGGTGCTACTTCGCGCTCCTGGGACATCGTAAATGAGAACAAGCTCAACTCTGAGAGCGGCAAGCCTGTCTCGTACAAGCTTGTGAGCCGAGACGTGCCGAACTTGATGCCGAAGGAGGGTTCTCTTGTATGGAAAAGGGCTTTCTTTGCTCGCCATGCTGTTCATGTGACGAAGTGTAAGATCTTCTCTATCCTTACGTATCTACGCCTCATACTGATAATTTCCAGATGCCGATGATGAACTCTGGGCCGCTGGCAACCACGTCGCTCAGAGCTCCGGTGAGCCTTCCAGAGGCCTCGGTGCTTGGATTGGCGATGGCACCAAGAGCGTCGCTAATACTGATATTGTCCTGTGGCACACGTTTGGTATCACGCATTTCCCCGCTCCAGAGGATTTCCCAGTGATGCCCGCTGAGCCGATTACACTCTTGCTTAGGCCCCGTCACTTCTTCACCTGCAACCCTGTCATGGACGTGCCTCCTTCTTACTCGGTCACTCCCAGTGAAGTGGCTGCCAAGAAAACTGGGTTTGATACCACTGACAAGGTTAGTAAACTGGCGGCCATGAGTGACTCTTCGTGCTGCAAGCCACCTAAGCTGTAAAGTATTGAGAACATTTATTGAAGGAAGGATATTGTACGCTATGCAGGATTACTTAGTTTCGAATATAATCTAAAGTCATATCATTAAAGCACGCATTGGACTACACTATCCCCAGTTCGACTTCAAATTCCGACTATCCATCACATCTATCCAATGTATCGCATACTTGGCGCACTGTTCCGTGTCATAGGCTTGCCAGATAGCTTTGGTCAGATCCTGCGCCACTGCCACTGGCTTTGGTGGTAGGACTGTCCTCAACGTCTCCAGCCGCTCGTGAAGAAATTGTCTGGCAGCCATGATCCCCGCACTTGCATCTGGATCTGGCTCTGGTTGAGACTCTTCTGGGAGCTCATCGTGAAGGCCAGCGAAGTCAAGGTAATTTATCATGTCACAGTCTTCCAGACTGGCATCTTGGCTGAAGGGAACGTCTCTGGGAGTAGTGGCCTTGACTTCGATGTGTTTTCGCCTGAGTCCAGTGCTAGCTGAGACGCAGAGCAGTGGCTGGGTCATTTTGCTGCCAGAGTCTGTAGGCAAAAGCTTCAATATGCCTACCAAGTTCAGTGCAATCGGGGTTATCCAGTTATCCCATAAGGATTGAGCATCTCTCGCCTGTGACTCATCCAGCTCGTGTCGTCTAACGATGAGTTCTGGAAAGGTCTGGTACAATTGTAAAAGGGTTGATTGTCGGTAAGCTTCGGCAACGTTGAATAGGTGCTGATTAGGTGTCTTCTTGTCATTCGTCTCTCCTATCGTCTCGCGACATTCCACATCAAGATCGCAAGTCTGCTTCTCTACCACGGCAGCTTCTTCAATGAGCTGCATGGCGGCGCTGATGTTGGCTGACGCAAACATATCTTGTGGCTTTCGAATCTTGCGTCTAAATTTGTGGCAAAGCTTCATTGCCCGCATGAACAGCTTGTAGCTGTCACTTGAGACCCCAGTCCACGGGTGCGGAACATGTTCGACGGGGTCTGCTGTCACAGGGGCGGTGACAGGAATAGCTTCCTCGACGTCGCCCATTTCTTCCATCTTCTGAAGGCTTTTACAGCTCGAGGTCACCATCGACAATAGCATTTCGCAGTAGAGCCAACTCTTATTAAAGAAGGATAGCAATTGCCGTTGTTCGCCGGATAATAAGTGCTTGTTTTTGTTGACAGCATGAAGAATGGCTTTTGCTTCGCAGAGAAATGGCAGTCCTAGCTGAGTGGCATTGAGCCAGCAGATACTAGTTCCAATTCCCATGAGAGAAAACAAGAGACTTGTAGGCACCGTATTGAAGAGTTGATGTGACTTCACGGTATGCAAGTCAGCTCTCATAATTTCGGCCGCCGCCTTCATGTTCGTTATCGATGTTTGTCGCATCATTGGCACTTTAGCAGACAAATGGGCGGCTGACATAGCCTGGAGGCTGAGATAAACGAGCTCGCAGTTGGACCATAATGCAGCAGCGATTGTGCGATTGAGGTTGACGTCGGAGTCGTAATTTGACCAGAGAGAACAGACGTGGCGAAACCAGTACTCAATGAGGACAGATGGCGTATATGTGATTGCATTTGGTGTCATTTCAAAGGTCAGCCTGCCAGGTTCGACTGTTGGTAAGGGCATGTGGAAGTCAAAGGCCATATTTCCAACTGGGATAGAGAGTGTTTCTGAAGTTGGAAGTAGCTCGTTATCGCTGTGAACAGAGCCTAAGAAATCGTCTCCCCACTGCAAGGGCGATACGGAGGACGTCATGTTGGATAGAGAGTAAGCGTCGTGATTTTCGCTGTCAGTGCGGCTAAAAGTATGATTTGTTTCCTCATGTTCTTGCTCCAGTTGATGGGAGAAGAAATCGCTGTCTGTAGATAACGGGAACAATGGTGACACAATGCCGTTGAGATGAAAGACCGACGCGCTTGCAGCTGGGTCAAAATCATCAGGAGCAATCGTTGCTGCTGCTGTTATGGAGCCTCTACTGCCTATAGGCGCATTCTCTGACCTAAATGAGACCTGTGAATGTGTGTCTGATTGAGCGTCCGTGGACCGTGCCGAAGGTGAATCCTCTGTTCGCGACTGGCGAGGTCGCGATTGAGGTTGTCGAGTGCGCTTCTCATGCTTGGTAGACCATCGAACATCCAAGCGGTATCCACCGCATTTCTGACCACGTGCAGCGCATGACTTGCAAGTTGGTTTTGCTTCGTCACATTTTGCCTATAATGGATGAGTATGCGTTGAAAGTATGGGGATAGTTATTATGCCTACATGTTTTGACCTGCATGTTACGCAGCCGCCCCTGGAGCGAGCGACTCGGCCCTGACTGGGTTGTTGAGGTGGCATTTGCTAGTGGAGGGGAAGTGATAAAATCAACCAGTTCCTCAATTCTATATCACGATGAGTTGTAGCAATGATAAATATGATAATCAATGGCGTCGCAGCGCGGCTGTTGTTGAGTTCTGCCAGTTCAAGTCCAAGATAAGGATCGGTAGAAGTTGAGATTCAGCGGTCTTACCCCGCAAAATGCCAGGCTCGACCCTGTGACTGATTACTAACAGTGCCTCTCATACCTGATGAAGATAAGTGTTCCAGGGGTCGTGCCTCTGAAGATTAGCGGTTGGCCGCGCTGCCGCTTAGAGTTCAGTAGCGGCTGATAAGCCTAGAACACCAATCACGTTTGGCTCATTAACTCACATCCTAGCCTGACACTGACGGGGGCGGAAGTGCGTCGCCTCGCGCTAAACCCTTCTGTAAAAATTTCCTATTTTGTTCTAATTACCTAGGTTACCTCGGCTGAATGGATGCAATTTCGTCACAAGCTCAACAAGGAGGGGCAGAGGACACAGAGACTATAAATGACTTAGACCACTAGACTATCAGCTGTAGATAGCATCATCACCTTGTATCTCCTATCTTATCAACCAAAGCAGCTTTACAATATGTTTATTCAGCCGATCCCCATGTGTATGCGACCCCCCAACCATCGTCTGCTTCTTGTCGCTGATTCCTAGCAGGGTGGGGAAGCAACGACAACTGGGCATATCTGGTTGTCGATGATGAGAGTCGCGACGCTCTGATTATAGACCCTGCAAATCCTGAAGAGTAAGCGCTTGATCTGGGCTCGCTTGAAACCTGACTGACGAGGTATTTCAGGGTTGTTCCGGTTCTCATAGCAGCTATTCAGTCAAACAAGCTCAATCTCGTCGCTATAATAAACACGCACCAGTCAGTCTTCACTAGTCAGCGCTGTGCAGCAGTGCTTCGCCCTAACATCATATAGTCATTGGGATCACGCTGGTGGTAATCAAGAGATCGTGTGTATCGTAACTTGTCTCTTTCGACTGTGCAGGCTAACGAAAAGACTTAGCTAGCTGTACTAAACAACCCAAAACTTGACATTATCGGAGGCAAGGACTGCGAAGGAGTCACGAAAACTCCAAGTCATAATGAGACATTCAAGCTTGGGAACATCACAATAACTAGTTTGCATACACCCTGTCATACGCAGGATAGCATATGTTTCTTCTTCCAAGATGGGGATCAAAAGGCAGTTTTTACAGGCGACACCCTGTTCACTGGTGGTCAGTTGTCTGAAGTTTGGGAGAGATACAGTTTGCTGACAGAGAATTGAATAGGATGCGGGAGGTTCTTTGAGGGGACTGCAAAGGAGATGCACGTGGCGCTGAACAAACATCTTGCATCGCTTCCAAACGACACGGTCGTTTTTGTAAGCTAACATATTCAGCATCAACCTTGCATAGGAGTTAGACTGACGACACAGCCTGGCCATGAGTATACTCGAAGCAATGCCAAGTTCGCAATCTCTATATCACAGAGCGAACCAGTACAGCAGCTTTTGAGCTTCTCTGATGCAAACCCTGTCACGGTGGGCAAGTACACGATAGGACATGAAAAGGTCGCGCAGAAGCCCCATGGGGTTTTTTTTTCAAGGCACTTTATTAATATGTATTGTTTAGCAACATAATGTATTCATGAGACTGGATGTAAGCCCTCACATCAGCAAAGCTAGAAATTCGGCGCTGACCAAACAGGATCCCAACATCCAGAGGGCGACGGGAGAGACAGACCCGGTCAGAGTTATGGAGAAACTTAGGGAGATGAAGAATGAGTACAAGTGAGTAATTGTGATCTGACGTTGGGCACGAGGACAGTTTTGCTTACACATGGATGCCAGAGAACCTGAGCCAAAACTGTGAACGTGGGGATTTCGTTGAGGATGTCTCAAGTTCGATCAATTTGTTCTGCAATGATATTTTGATCCTCAGCCTAAATTGGCAATGGATTTTAACAGCTCCTCTTTAACTGTGCTTACATCCGATGACATGATCTGCGCACTCTGAATCTCTTCATAATTTCATCAAGACACTCAATTTACTGTAGGAGCCTCTGAAGCAAGTGATTGGATTACATAACTCAGATTGGCAGAATAATGCACGTGCACCGTCAGCTCTCCATCAACATATATAACGCTGCAGGCAACAATCGTCAGCATTTTCTTTTTTCTTCTTCCATCATCACATTTCACTAAGGAGCAACGATGGATGATTCTCCAGAGACGGGACGGGTCCCAGACCCAGAGCAGCCGGAAATGTTGGAAGCAGGTTCGTCGCTGCGCAATTCTTGTCCTCCGTCTGACGAGATCAAGCTGGAGCAGAAACACTGAGACAGATACAAGAAGCAGAAGAGCATCCTTCACCGCACCAGTGGTCGGATTATTACCACATAGACATTCCATCCACGCCAACTTCTCCCACATTTTCACCAATGTCGCCAACGTATTGGTGGCCTGATGAGGCGGACGATTCGCTGCCTCATTGGAGAGACCATGTGGACGAGATACCGTTGTTGCCTAATCCACGACCTCGTGCCCTCACACCGCTAGGGTTCCAGGATGAAGATCCTAGCGAAGTGATTGAGAGGCCCGCTCCGCTTTTCCAAAAGTCTCCATGGTTCAATCTTCCTCCCAACATTCGACGGGACATTCTGCGACTGGCCTTTGGTGATCGACGTCTTCACATGAGCTTAAGCTTTAGAGAGAAATATACATCTGATGACGAGAAGGTCGAGTCTTGGCGGTGGTTCGGTGGCATTTGCCATCGGGGACAGACGCTTAGGCCTCGAGACATAGCTGGGGGCCAGCAAAGGTTTTGGGAAGATGATTGTAAACATGGGGATACCGAGCCCCGCAATCCTGGTTTGATGAGCTGGCTTCTCTCGTGTCGGCAGAAGTAAGCAATCTAAAGAAGGGCACAGCTCCAAGAGGAAACTGACTGAGCTTTGCAGTTATGCCGAGATGATTGACCTCCTGTACTCGAGCAACACGATTGCCATGTCTGGCGAAGCAATAATATCACATATCGGGCAGCTGGTGCTCCCTCAGAGGCTTGCTTCTATCACTTCTCTCGAAATCAGGTGGCCTCTTCAAAGAGAAAACGAAGCGTGCGCTGGACACTACGATGTGCACACAAACGCTATACGCAGGATGCTCCATCCATTCCAGCTAGATGTTGGTCATATGAGCTTTGTGCTGGATACGCTGTCAAAAACAAGCTTCCCCAATCTCCGGAGACTTCGCATATCATTTGAGAAAGAGTACAATGAGCGTCCTATCTCCAACCCTGAAGCGCACGATATAATTATCAACAAGCTGTTGCAGTTTGTCCAGGGCAGACCCAAGTTCAAAGAGTGCGCCTTTGCGCTACCAGAAAGAATTTTCCGTACAATCATTAAAGATGTCCCAACTGTGGACCTGGATTCGAGGGAGCCTCCAAGATCTTGGTGCAGGCACGTCTGGTGCGCTTCCGATGGGAACCTGCATAGGATGCATGCCCCCTTCGTTAACACCTATCCCGCTCCTCCGCCTTATTTGGACGACAGAGATGATACTGGCTACTGGTTGTTAAGAATAGACTGACTAGATAGGGTTTGTTCATCACCTGTATTCCACTCATAGGCCGCAGTCATCCCATAGTTCAGTGGCAAGACGTCTGGACCACGCCAGGCATAATGTTCTGAATTTGTGGGACATGATCGCGGCATTCGAATCAAACACCAATAGAATACATCGGAGGGGATTCCAGGACACGAGAGTGGATTAAACGAGAATGACCTTTTGATTCTACGATATCATTTGGTGGATTGACTTGTGTGACGGCCAGTCCTGTTTTGCTCACTGCTCAAGACCTAACTTGCTTCGTATCGCCCCTCTTTTCTATGTTAGTTGCTTCTCTCACTCAGCCCCCGCATCAAAAAACAGGGGTCCAGCCTTGAATTCTCGTCGACGTTTGACCAAACAACTGAGACACAGCAAGCCTCACCTAAGGGAAAAACATTATTGCACCTGTTTTCGTTATTCCGCCTCCGAAGCCTCCTTTTCGACCCTTACACAGTGCGGATCCCTACTATATGGGGACTAGCCGTCGATCGTAGATCACTAAACATGTAAATCTAGATAAACCCAAGATCTGAGGCCCCGCCCTTTGTTCTGCACGTCCAACTCATCCCTACATCACCATGCCCGATGATTCTCGGAAGTCCTCTCTAGAGGCCATCGCCCAACCAGAAGCCCTCCTACGCTCCGCCTGTACAGAGTGTCATCGACGGAAGCAGAAATGCAACCGTCAATGGCCCTGTAACAATTGTCAGAAGCGCAAAGTCGCCGACCGATGCCGTTTCAGGGATGATTTTAAGGCTGGCTCCGGTGGCGATGCTTGGTCCGCTTCTGTTGAGGTGAAGAGAAAGAGGGATCAGGCGGGACAGCATGACGAGAGTGACTCGGATGTTGGTGATGTTTTGGAAGCGATTGGATACAGTCGTCTTCATATGTTGACAAAGCTTGATCACGACGTACGTCTTCCCCTCTTCGCCCTCGCACATTTGCTCACATCGCACAGTCAGGAAGTACAAAACCTTCTGAGCAGTACAGACTTGACCCAAACAACAGCGCCCAATTGAAGCGTGCTCTTGACGTGTTACCTCCGAGACACGTCGTTGGTAAGACCGCCATCAGTGTCCCGTGATCATTTTCTTACGGTTAGCAGATTGCTTAGTCCAGAGTTTTCTTGACGTTGTCAACTTTTACTACTACATTGTCTACCCACCCTACTTCAGCAAAGAGTATGCCCGCTGGTGGGACGACTACACCAAAGGCCGAGCTTGTGGCGTCCAATGGACATGCTTGTTGCTCATGGTCTGCGCTTGTTCCGTGCAGCATGTCGATGGCCAGCTTCGGGCCAGAATTGAGAGTGATGTTGGTGAATCTGTCAAAGAGCTGACACAGAAGTACCATGATGCCGCTCGAGAGCTTCACAGCGCCATTCCCGTTGGCCATGGGCATGTTTACACGGTTCAGTACCTGTTGCACTCGTGCTACTGGTTCAAGGCTGAGGCGCGATTTGCAGAGTGCTGGCAAGTTTTAGGTGCGGTTGTACGAGAAGCTCAGATGATTGGTAAGTCTAGGTCAGTGTCTGGGTAGTATAGTTCTAACTACTGTCCAGATCTTCATAAAAAGCCTGAAGACCAACTGCCCGGGTTTGAGCTGGAGATGAAGAGACGGCTATGGTGTATCGTTGACTCCTGGGACTGGTAGGTACTGCCTGCATACTGAACTTCGTGTATACTTATTGATTACAGGCTTGTCTCATCGTTGTTGGCTCGTCCAATGCTCATCGATCGTGCGGAATGTGACGTCGGTCTTCCGAGTCTTACCCTCGAAGACTACCCAGCCTCCCCCATGCTGCATCTCAAGCTCCAGTCAGAACTTGTCAGCCTCATATTCAAACGCTTTGGCCCACCAAAGATTCTGACTGAACCTGATGAGATTCGATACTATCAGGCCATTTTAGAAGGCTTCATGAAGACCTTTCCGCCTGAGTATGCTCTGGATCACCCCAATACCCCTGCTAATGAGGATCTGCCGTGGATTGCCCTGCATCGTCACTACATGCATACTTGCACCCTCTCCATTGCACTTGGACCTTTCAGAGGGTACATGGCCAAGTCGATGAAGAGGTCGACGGCACCTGCTATTGATCTCGAGTTCCGAGAGACCGGCATTGACTACGCCCTACGTCTCATGGAGGCTGTACATCGCTTCTTCGAGTACGTCTGGACAAGAGACACAACCTTCCACTTTGTTCCATTCTGTATCTTCGATACTGCGGCTCTTCTGTGCTCAGTCACCATTCACGCTGAGGATGGCATCGTGCCACGTCGCGAAGAAGTCATCGCCTCGATTGCTAGAGCCTTTGCGACTCTGAAGAAGCTGCGCACCGCTACTAACACAGCCAAAGCTCCCTATGACGTGTTACGACGGCTGATTAAGAAACTGCCGTCGACCGCCGGGATGCAGGCTACCGATGCTCACAAGAAGCGTCGATTCGATCAACCACCTGGGGCCAATGGTGCTGTTCCTATTCCGGCTGCCGCTAGATTGCCAAACTCTCAGGTAGCCCAAATCGCACCAGCGCCGGTACAGGTATTGGCTCAGCCTGCGCAGCATGCTCTGCCCGCTGCTCAATACCAGCCATACAACAATCCACCTCCAGTGGTGCCTGGTAGGATGCAGGCTGGCCAGCAGCCTTTAGTACCGTATTCGCAGGATATTCAGGACCATCAGTTCCAGAACTACACCTACACTCAGCAGATGAATCCCACTGCACCAAATGGGCAGCCCTGGCCTGACGAGATTACCAGTAGCATGCAGAGCTTCACTGCTGGGCAGCCGCAGTTCGAGATGGGATGGCAAACGATCTCTGAGGCTGAGCTCGGTGATCTTGCTATGCTGTGGAATTGGCAGAGTCTGAACTTGGGATTCACCACCAATCCTATATATCAGAATCGGGAACAAGCCTAATGATAGTCTTTACTATAATTTGCCATTCAGGCGACTTTGGTCACTCCTTTGAGGGATATTTGGGTCAAGTTGTAAGGTTCTGGGTTAGGTGTTATGAGCACTATGGTAATTTGGTGTAACGAAACTTTCCTTCAACCTATCAATACTATCAAAAGTGCTTTTTCCAGGCTTACTTTTGCAAGAGTTTATTCCTTGACTTTACTTTCACCCTTACCCACCGCTTGGGCCTCGCAATATCATTCCGGACTGTTCAAATACAGTATTAATTGGGCAAGGACTGTCTAAGATCTTCAAGCCCCAGGAAGTCTTTGCGCCGCAGCTGAAGTGCATGAACATAAACCACATCTCTTCACGAGGTTAGTATCCTAGGCCAATAGATTATTCCTATTCCGGGCGGGCATTCACAGGGATCTGGGGAAAACACGACTCGGAATGTTCTGGCTCGGTCTGTAATCTCCACCAGCTTTCTTTCCGTAATGTTTCACCTTTCAGCCAGCCTCTGATAGCCTTGGCATTGCCCTAGGAGCTTCTCTCCAGGTAAGCTTGTATAAGTGCCTCGAGTTGCTCAGACAATAGCAAAAGTTAGACTCACTTGCAAAGGGAATACAGACATGGGCTTCTCAACAGTCTCGCTTTTCGCTGTAAGGTCTGTTGAAGTGCCAGTACGGCGGGGTCCTCAGATATGTGACGACCATTACCCCTCAATCACATTTTTCAGCTAGGCGTAGGTATTGATATTCTATGTTTGATACTTGGTTGCAGAGTATCACGAGGAAGAAGTCTGATGGATAATGGTTAAGATCTATAAGAAGGCTGCTTCTAGTCTCACTACGAACCATCATCAGCTCTTCAGTCCCTCCGAAATACCTTTTACAGTCTTTCTTCACTCATCTCAGTCACTCTTTTTTAATCATGGTCCAAAAGCCTACCCCCAGTCCTAGCTCTGCTAGCGACGCCTTTCCTGGGGATGAGACCGATGTTCTCATTGTCGGCTCTGGCCCAATTGGTGCCACCTTCGCCCATACCCTTGTCAAAAAGGGCATCAAGGTTATCATGATCGATATTGGCCAGCAGTAAGTTCCTGCATACATGAGTATTCGCGCAGCCTCTCACAGTGAGAAAGAGAAACTCGCCGTGTCGGCGATCATAAGAAAAACAGCGTTGCAGTTCAGAAGGATATCAGCTTGTTCACAAAGTAAGTCCATCTAGTCAAACATTCTTTGATCTTCAAATCCTAACATCCATTTCAGCACTGTCAAGGTAAGGCAACCCAAGATTTGGTCACGTTTCAACTCATACCATGTGTAGGGAGAGCTGCACCCACTGTCGGTGCCAACCAACTCCATAAGGCCTATCATGGAGCCACCATCTTGGTCTAGCAGGTTTGGGACTTGATCTCCTTCATAAGGCTTACGCTAACATAGAAAGACCTACTGACCCGGCCTATGTCCTCAATGGCCAGAACCCGGAGCAGAAGGCCTATGGCAACCTTCCCGCTGCAGCGGCAACTCGTGTTGTCGGCGGTATGGGATCTCACTGGACATGCTGCACTCCCCGATAGCGCAAAGGGATTGAACGGTCTGAGCTTTTCGGTGACCGTGAGTGGAACACTCTCTACAGTCGGGCTGAGAAGCTCTTTAAGAAGACCGACGACGCTTTTGATGACTCTGTTCGCCAGAGGCTCGTGAAGCGTGTCCTTACTGAGGCCTACCCCGATCGTGAGATGAAGAGCATGCCGTTGGCCTGCAAACGCAAGCAAGGTAACAAGGAGTACGTTGAGTGGTCTTGCACTGCTACCATTCTTGGAGAGCTGTCTACTCCAGAGTACTTTTATAAGGCTGGAGATCGACTATTCGACATTAGGCCCAACACCCAATGCGACAGGCTCGAAGTGGATGCCCAGGGTCAGATTCACTGGGCCGTCATCAACGACCTTGAGAACAACAAAGAGTACAGAATCAAGGCCAAGAAGTACGTCATCTGTGCCGGTGTCGTGCTTACTCCTGGTATTTTGTACAAGTCTGGATTGCAGGGGAAGTTGCCTATGCTGGTAAGATTATTCCAACAGACCCTGCGAGTTTGTCCCATAGGCATTTCCAGGGCCACTACCTGACCGAGCAGCCTATGGCGTTTTGTCAAGTCGTTCTTGATAGGACCCTCGTTAGCAGCGTCCGGGACGAAGAGGTCGTCAAGAGTCACACTGCAGACCACGAGAATGACCCGCTTCCTTTCCCTTTCAACGATCCCGACCCACAGGTCTACTTCCCACTGTCCGAGAAATATCCTTGGCACACTCAGATTCACCGTGATGCCTTTGGCTATGGTGAGGTACCTTCAAACATCGATCAACGCCTCGTTGTCGATCTTCGCTGGTTTGGCTACATGAAACCTGATTATGACAACTATGTCACATTCTCTAACAAGACCAAAGATCAGTTTGGAATGCCTCAGGTATGTGGAACCAAAACTTCTCATGCATATCCGGTTTGAGCTGATGTTATGAAACAGCCAATCTTCAACTTTATCTTGGATGATGAGGCGGAAGAGCGCTGCAAGCGAATGATTACAGAGTAAGTTGTTCCGCCACACAAATTAATAGCAATGTCCTAACCTGTCACCTCTCTTCTCTTTTTAGCATGATCGATGTTACTAGAAAGCTTGGCGGGTTCCTTCCAGGTGCTGAGCCCAAGTACCTCGCTCCTGGATCTGCTCTCCATATCTGCGGCACGTACCGCGCTGGCAGCACTTCAGCTGATAGTGTTGTCAACAAGAACGGCAAGGCCTGGGGCGTTGATGATCTCGTACTTGGAGGCTGTGGTGTCATTCCTACCCAGAATGCTTGCAACCCCACTCTCACCGCTGCTGACAAGATCATTGAAGAGCTTCATGTTGACCAGTGATAACTTGGTCTTGTATCATTAATACTTTCCTTTGTCTCCTTTCTTTTGTTGAAGTTCGACTGGAAGTCTACTTGGTCGATTTCACCCTTCTTACCTTCGGTCGTATGCCCCGATATGCAATCATCAAGGCTACTTATACAGATAATAATGATTAGATTACTATGAACTCTCACTGGTATCATTCTGAACCCACCTCACAACGCCAACCTGGTATCATCTCCAAACATCTCGCTCCGCCAATACCGCCAGTACCTCAACTCCATAAGATCGCTGAGAGCTCGTAATCACCACACATGACTTAGATCATACTCACCAGCTGGGCCTAGGCATCAACCTTGTTGATCTTGCCAGACTTGACATCATAGATGTAGCCAGTGATAGGAACGTCCAGAACCAGAGGGCTCTTCTTCAAGAAAGCGATATCGTCACGAACACTCTGCTCAAGGTCTCCGAAAGGGAGGAAAGCAATGTGATCAACGTCTTCGCCAAGGTCCTTGCGAACCTTGGTCTTGAGATCCAGATCGGAGAAGGTGAGCATGCCGCAGTCAGTCTGTGACAAGTCAGTCACGTACAGTCAAGCTGGGGGTTGGGGACAAACATGATGAACAATGACAATCTCTCGGGTTCCAAGAAGCTGCTGAGAGATGATGACAGAGCGGAGAGCATCGGCAGCTCGACCGCCAGCATTGCGGATTACATGGGCGGAGCCAAGCTCGATCCCGAGAACCTGAGCAGGGTCGAGACGAGCATCCATGCAAGCAACGACAGCGACGTGGCTGTGATTCATTAGCTTGCGAAGAAGATGCAGAACTCAGATATCATACCGAGATGGAGGCAGGGCAAGGTCTCCCTTGGTGAAGGCTGCGGCATACTGCTCATTCGCAGCCTCATACTCTGGGACGATTGAAGAAGACATGGTTGAATGGGTTGACAATAGGCTTGATGAGGTTGGAATTATTTTTGAATTGGATATTTCGAATTGGAATTGGTGGCATCTGGATAATACCTTTTATACTCGTTGAAAACGCGTGTTACACTAACGTTATATCATTGGCGCTCCTTTCCAGTTTGGGCATACGGCTTCATCACCATCCGCGGGGTATATGTCGCAATCTCACGTGTCAGATTGATGGTGTTTGACTTGGCGCGATGATGATTGATTGACATCCTCAAGTCGATTCGATGGGTAAGCAAGATAATTGTCAAGGTATCAGTTGGAGGTCCCCGAAGGCCACGGAATTGGGCAAAAGACACTGATTAGTGACCAAGTTCATCAGAAGTCAGGTCATGTCGGAAAAGTCTCGGTATACAGGCAATATTTATTTGTAAGAAATTTGTCTTTGGAATCATTTCAAGACATGCGTGCCGCCGACATCCTTCACAGCTTATCACCGCCTATGCCAGTCTGGCATCAACGATGCATTCCAGCTTCCAGAATAGCGTTAATTAGGCTTCCGCCCGGCTCGGGCCGCGAAAACTGTCAAAAGTGTCAAAGGATTCACTAAATCTGTTTAGGAATGTCATGGAAGGGTCTCTGACGTAGTCTCGTATAGAAAGCCACTGGAACAAGAACAAGGTGGTGCGTGGTGGGTCATGAGCTTCATGGGCATTAATGAGACGTTGAAAACGATCCCACCAAGATGAGGCCAATTTTACAAAAGAAAGAAAAGAGAAGGTATCATTAATATGACTATATGGCCCTAAAATTACAGGCTTATGCTCGTGTACTCATAACTCTACTCTCACAAGCCCAGGTCCTTCACCCCCATCAGATATTCCTGTGCGCAGCTGCAAAACTACTCAAACTCATCTTATCATCTTCACCATATAGCTCATGCGACGCCTGTGGCTGCTGTTGAACAGGCTGCGGCTGCACGGGCGGCGCCTCTCTCCTCAGGCCTCGCATAAAAGCTTGATCCGACTCATCATCAATAAGAACAACCATCCAGACACCAACAGCTCCATTTGAACCTAACAAAGGCGTGCAGTGGATCCAGCGGTTACGGCCTGGACTTGCAGGAGGAGCTTGACCGCCGTCGCCACTGGCAGAATGATCCATTGCGCGAGAGTTACGGTTCTTGGTCTGTACTTCTGCCTTGGAGAGCCATCGGATCTTGGCGGTGAGACCATTGCCGCCCGCGAAGGCCTGTGTGAGGGTTTCGCGGACGCGGTCTGAGCCACCAATACGGGAGAGGAATGAACTTTGTAGCATGCCTGGCACACGGAGAGACGGCGATGCGAAGAGGATGCGAAGACTGGGGTAGGGTCGGACAAGGAGGTAGTGTTTGTAGATACCGCTGAGACGACCGCCGAAGCTTGCCATTGCTGTGTCATGGAGGACGGGATCTGAAGGGCGTCGATTAATGGTGGCGTCGTCGCGGAATACCAGACGCGGCTTGTTCCAGTTCGCAGGAACTGTATCTGTTTGTCGGACGTCCTGCTGATGCGTTCGATGGAACGCACCACCTGCTTCACGAACAGTCTTGAGTTCCGCGAGATCAAACATCTCAGCCAACTCTTGGAACTCATCTTTCTCCTCATTCTTCTTTCTTTGCTCCGACTCGCCAGGGTAGCGCTCGTTCTCGGGGTTCTCATCCGCCATCAGCGTCTCTAGTGAGTCCAAGCCAGCGCATTCCTTGACAAGGCCGGAGACGTCGACTTGGGCACCAAGATGGTATCGCACAACGCCGCGAGAGTCGTACAGCGGAGAGACCATGAGCAAATTCATGAATGGGGATCCATCGCGACGGTAGTTGAGGAATGTTTCGCAGTGGTCTTGGCCGGCTGCGAGCTTGTCGCGAATTCTCTGGACGCTGAAGGGGTTCGTCTTAGGGCCTTGAAGGAAGCGACAATTGCGGCCAAGGACATAATCCATGCCATATTGAGTCGTTCGGTGGAACTCTGTGATCATGTTAGCAATCACGACATGGTTATGCTGGGGGGCAGCTCACCTTCACTTGCGAAAACAATTGGGTTGTCGGATCTCGAAGGATCTGTTAGACAGAACACCTCTGCCAGACCTTCCGACAGATCACGCAATTGAGGTGCCAGTGTGTCCGTGATTCTTCTCTTAATTGTGATGCTGACTGTCTGGATATATGTGTGGGTGATGTACGCAGGTAGATCATGGTTCACCATGGCTTGGAAAGCCTCGGTAGCCCGCTTCGCCAATGCCTCGTTGACAGTCGCAGTGACAGGATCGGTTGTGAAATCATGACCATCAATTGCCTTGAGCGATCCCGTCAGCGAATTGGCGTAATTGATTGCCTTCAGCGCCTTGAGAGTGTCGAGGTAGTACGTCAAGAGGGGTACAGAACTCGGCCGCGACGCAGACAGGAAGTTGGTGAAGCGCTGCAGAAGAACAGGGTCGTCGAAGATGACAGACAGATGCTTCACTGAGAAAAGCAGCTCGGATTGTGTCTCGAGGGTATACTGCTTTCCCATGGCATGCGCCGGAACGACGAGGTCGAACGACGCGGGGTCATATTCTTCCTCTGTCAGTGGCTCCAGTCCATCGCGATCCAGACCAGCGCCTTTTGCTTGTAGGGCAGGAAGATGTGTAGGAACGTATACAGACGAGATTGACGATGCATCTCTGTCTTTATGTGACCATATTTGCGATTCTTGCGTTCGGTACGACATGGCTCGGCTCGAGGCTCTCGATGACGGTGCCTGTAAAAGCTCTGGGTCGAAGTTTGCCATTCCGTCGCCTAAATCCTGCGTCTCAAAGCTAAACAGTCAGATATCTGCTCGATTGCCCAATTGAGGTGCAAAATACCTTTGTTTCATCGCAACTTGTCGTCTTGGTGTTTGCGCTCGCAGGGGAATGGGCGGAGGTTGAGAATCCATCTCGTCGTCAACGAGGTTAAGATGTTGAGTCTGCATTTTCGAAGGGACCATATCTTAATACTGTCAGTACCTAAGCACCTATGATGCAGTGCTGCCCGTAGCGCGAATGCGTAATAAGCCACGACTCAGATGGAAAAGCAAGAATGAGACAATGACCTATTCCATCGAGTGGCTAGTATACGCCCGGACAAAGGGTGTCGATTGCTTTTTGTTTCGTTTCGTTCTGTTTCGTATCACATCCCTACCTAACTCCCCTGCCCGTATAATATGAGCCGTCATTTTCGAATGAACGCCAATCTTAGCTTCTGAGGAACTGGTCGATCAACCTTGACTGTCCAATGGCGGCTTGGGTTGCGACGCTCAGGTCCCGATCGCGATGAAAGGGGAAGCTCTTCAAGATCGTGATCTGGGTGTGATTCGGGGGACGGAAGTTAACGAGAGCTAATTTAGCGGGTTGGGCTAGTGTGTTCCTGACATGAACTCTAGTCTCTACCGACATGGTTACATTGAGCAGCGCCGTTGACATGGAAAGGATCACGATGCATAATCGCATCGATGAGTTTAACTGGTGTTCCTGGGCCAGGTACTCGTCCAAGCGGCTGGTAGCTTCACCGTGCCGCAGTTTAGATAGCTTAGCGGAATATATCCCGTCACGACGCCATCGTCAACGAGGCGTCGCTAGTAGAAGATGACGTACGCGTACTCGTACCTGAATCCGAAGTCTTCGGTTTCTGTCAAAGTCTTTGGTTTCTGTTCACAAAAGGAAAGCTGAAAAGAATGCCGAAGCTATCACTTCTCAGCGGACTTGGCTCCCTGCAGGGCTGCAGGGTGCAACCCCAATCGGGAGAACACGTCGATTCGGGAGTGAGACACGATATGTCATTTCCTACAAGGTAAAGCGCTAGACGAACAGATTACCAATTTGGCAGTAGAGTAATCACCAGTGGCCGTTAAGCGTCAACGTCAAAGGACATTCCAATGACCACCATTACCGTTGTCATTAACCATAACAGGATACGAGAGTCAAAGCGTTGCAATATCGCTAGGGAATAAAACCCTCCGATGAAGATGTTTCTTCTCCTCTTGACAGGCGTTATTATCGCGTGGCTTAATATCACACGGCCCTTGCGTCTGACATACCTACAGCAAGGAGAGTGATCACCGCAAGCACCTTTATCCCTTGCTGCCCAGCCTTATCCCAGCTGATCTTTTCTTTTTTCTCACCCTTGCAGTCGATGATTGCGATGAGTGAAATGATCGATGGGTCGATCGTCAATAACGTCATTTGACGAGTAGAATTTTTTAATGAGGCCCGTATATTTGTGGTTTTGGTAATCGCTGATCTGCAGTTCCCAGCGCTTTGGGCGGGTAAATTACAGTGGAGGTCACTTTACCGCATATTTCGTAGTGCTTCGGCATCTCAACCATCCGAGGAACCAACCTACGGCCCCATCTGGGACAACTCCCGAGGTATTCACAGTGCAGGCACACGAATATTCGTGAATAGCTTCAATGAGTAAAATAACAGAATAATGAGCATAATATTCTATGCCTGCAGCAGATTAGGTCTTACCCCTCATGATCACATCGTGTCAGCATTTAGGTCGGGTCTAGAGCTTGGCCTGAACCTGGTTTAAATACAACTCTGGCGGTCATCCAGGCAGGGTCACTTCTATTTCTGCTTACCCTCGAAACTCCATCTCGATAGCAACCAGAATGTCGGAAACGAGCCCCATCCCCATCATCCTCTGCGGAAAGACTGAATTTATCGGTGAAAGAGTGATTGAAGCTCTCAAGCCAGAGATAGAAGGTAGAAAATGGCACCAGTACACCTCCAACACTAATACCATTAGTCGTTCAATTCATCTTACCTGGAGACTCGGGAAAAGTCATCATACCAGCTCTTCTTGCTGGTAAAAGTCCCCCATCTCATCTTGACAGCAGCGCCATCGGTTCCGGGAATTACAGCAATGCTCCCCACGCCGTTGTGCTAGGAGGAGCCTTTGAAGAATCCGACATAGCTACCCTGCGCGATGCCGTCAAAACCGTTAATGGAGCCCGCGGTGTGGCTTGGCTCCGTCAGGATACAACCCGGCCGGCGCCTCCAGTTACATCGCCTGAGTATCCTAAGCTCATGACAAGGAGGACCAAAGAGGCGGTAATCAAGCTTGATAAGGACGGGAAATTGGATGGAACATATGACGGTCTTGAGCGGTATTAGGATGCGATAATGAATGGATATGTTACAATGCTAAGACCAATGATTCATGAACGCGCTATCGTGTATGAGCAGACTGGACGAGAAACCAAGGCTGAAACAAAGCCGAAAACGACACTGAACTCCAACGCGATCTAAACACCTTTATCACTGTGTTTCTCCCTCTTTCTTCCCCTTCTTCGTACCAACCTCGCATCGAGATCCTAAGGTCTTGAAACTGTCCATACTCTGACTCTTCATATTCCCCATACCCATCTTCCAATTCGCAACCTTGTTGTTGACATTCTTTCCGGCTCGATCAACACTATCACCGATACTTCTATCAAGCTGGCTCAGTTTAGTTGTAGTGCCATTCTCGAATGCCGTGCACCGATACTTGAATCCCTTGTCGATTTGATTGGCCTTCTCTGTCATGGCCGTCATGGAATTGTTGGTGAATGTCGTCCAGGCCTTCTTCTTCTTGTCGACTGCTTGGTTCCACTTGTTGACGTGGCGTTGGTAGTAACTCCAAGCAGCGCCGTCCTTTTTCTCTGATGTTCCGGTGGATGCAGTTGAGATACTCTCTCTTCGCTCGGTCGTGTTGCTGTTGTATTTATGAGCCGCCATAGATGCTTCATCCTCGTGGTTCGTTTGAGGGATAACTTCTTTTTCGGTTGAGCCGATTCGTTGTACTTGAGCAATACTTTCGTTTGGGTTGTAGATTTGCTTCTCACCATGTCCATCATGAATCCTCAAGTCGTGGACCTCCTTCTCAAGCCCATGGTGATAAGCCTCTTTCTCCGCGGCGGGTACATAGACCTCCTTCTCATCATGCCCCTCGTTCACAACATAAACTTCCTTCTCTTCAGATCCATCTGTCTTCTGAACAACTTCTTTCTCCTCAGACACCTCAGGGAGAACCTCCTTGAGAGTGTCTTCCCCTCGTCGGTCAAAATTATCAGTGGAGACGATTGGCGTGGGCGGTGTCAAGATGATCTGAACCGGATTACTATCCGACGCCGACGTTACTTCAACTGGAGATGAGCCTCCGCCCGTGGATTTCTGATGACCAGACATGGCGATGATGACCTCGATTTGTTTATTGGGGAATTGCAACATCAAGCAGGTTTCATGTTGCCTAGACTAAATTAGGAGGGGCGTAAGCAATATCCTTGTTGATTAGGTAATGCAGATTGACGATCTGTCATGTTGAAATAATATTTAAATAGGCTTTCTCTTCATTAATTAAGCTTCTTGGACAGTTGTGCTAACATTCACGCATTCTTGTCGTTGTTATTTCCAACAAATCATGCCAAGAAGGGAAGGTCTCACACTTTCGCTAAGCTACCGTTGAGCACACGCCTTCAGATTAGACTTCCAACACTAATGTTGATTTCAGGCAGACAAAACCTTAGCATGATCACATTTTGGCTATTATTTAATGCCCGGAGTTCGTAGGGTTCCCTTCCACAAAACAAAGTTGTATTTAAAAAAGACTCGACCAACAAACCACCAACAAACCACTATAAGTACATCCGAGAACCTCCCACTCAATCCTCGAATTAACCTCTTGTAAATTTCTTGGTCCCCAAGCATAAAGCCATTATTCGACCTAGAGACATGTCTGGTGTGTCTTACTGTCTGTGGCATGTCTCAAACATCAGGTGATTTGGATCAAGCCCTTGCGCCCTTGCGCCTTTCGCGCTTCAGACCACGTCTGAGGCTCTTTTGCTCCTTGATGACTGTCTTCACTCTACCGCGAAGTTCTTTTACCTCCTGCACACTGATTTGACGGTCATGACAACGACTTTCCACAGTTTTGAGCTGCTTCTTGATTGCTTTACAATACTTTTGAGCTTGTCTCAGCTGCTTCTGAACAACACTCGAGGACAGGGAGAGCGTGGCACTCTGGCTGTTGAGCCCCGTTCTTATTTCGCTCTGAAGCTGAACATCTGCCATGCGCAATTCGTTGAGAGCAATATCCACAAGGTTGAAGTAGTTTTTGTGCTCTGTTTTGACTTGTGGGTAGTCATTAGGCGACTGATCTAGCCTATTCTCAGATTCATGGGACCCAGAGACGAACTGTGAGGACTCTGGTTATAGGTCGGTGGTAGGCAGACAATCGGAGCGGGCTGGGGAGCCCATCGGGTGTTGACTGGAAGGCTATACGGGACAGCTCCGAGGGGGTTATGCATGTAGGAAGGATGACCTTGATTCCAGGTGGGCCCATATGAGTATTTCAACTCGGGTTTGGCATTTGGAGCCCATCCAGGCGACATACACATTCCGGAATCTTGACTGCAGACACTTGCATCGTCTGCCGAGTCCACATCGTACGAGTACGACTGGGGCAAGCCCTCTTCTGCAGAATCGCAATACTTTACCGACATGTTAGTGGGTAGACTTTAGTCAAAGCTGAGTATCAACTGTAGAAGGTCAGTATTGAAAGTGTAGAGGGGTTCTGGTGTGTCAAAGATATGACGGTGAGGGGTACGGTTGACTGACTGTTCAGTAGATAATGATGTTCAAGGAGATTTGTCCAGGCGAAGGTCTTTCTTGTGTGCTGGGCTAGCTTCATAGCTTTCTTGTAGTTCCAATAATAATAATAAAGAAAGGGAGTAAGAGAAAAAGAGTAGATGTGTCGGATTTTTATAGACACTCCCGTCTTTAAAAGACTTTACGACAAACTATTGATAGGCAAGATAGTTCAGGACTCAAACTGTTTCTACGAAGTATCTTGAACATGATCAAACCCGACCCATCATCTTCAGCATTGACTAATTATTGTTCGTTAAATCGAAAGTCCTTTATACATATGCCTTGGCAAGAGTGGGCTCTTTGGATATGAGCCAAACCTCAAATAGTTTATTGCAACAGCTTACTTTGTCTACGTGCAATTCTATTGGACAGTAGTCTATTCATTTTGAGAGCAAGGTTACTCCCAGCGAATAACCTCAAGAGTTATATAAGGCATTCAGAGGCTAACAGTGGCACTTATGCTTTTGCTGATACATATACGCGTTTTCTACTCGGGATGTTGGTGGCTGGGCAAACCTTCTTTTGGGGCAGTTCTGTTGTTTTGTAATATTTTCTAATTCATGATTTGCTGTGCAGCGCCCCCAAACTCACACAAAGCCTTCCAAGAGTATGACTCATCTACGCAGTACGTCCTATAAAAGCACCATGTCTGCCCCTACTGAGTCTACGCCGAGTTACGTGATTGTGTTCATTGGTGACTATCACCTTATGAGGTCCGAAAATTCGCCACCGATGCAGAAACGTATCAAGGTATCTCTGATATGATAATTAAACTGCAAAGTATATTCTCATAGGCCCTATGGAAGATAGGGTGCTCGAATCATTTGGCTGTACTTGGTCTCGCTTAATGCGTGGCAAAAACTCTTTACTCTGACACGAACGCGAGGAATACGTGTTCACAAAAAACAGCAATGTACCTCGGTATCCTCGTCGCTGCCTGGTTGTCCCCCTCGTGGGCTGATGACAGCTAACCAGATCTAACACCCAAGTTGTTATCCTCATCCTTAGGGCAATCCTCATCGTCATCGGTATTGAACTCAACAACACAAGCAGAGTCTTGTGCGATAGCGATACCAATAAAGGTCGTGTCAGTCTTGCCCTCTCCAGTACCAAGACTGTTTCCGTCCTGGTCCTTAACCTCGCATGTCTCGGGGTCACCAGCGAACGAGGACTTGCAGCGGAACTTGCGTTCTTTGGTCCAGCAATCTCCGCCAAAAGTGAACTCACGGCCATCGCCGGTGTTGTAGCAGGGAGAGTGGTCGGCGGGATATGCCTTGCTGTAAATGGCAGTGCCGTCGTCTTTGAGGATTGTGAAGCCGGAGCTGTGACCACTTTGGCTTCCGCCGCTGGGTCCAGAGATGGTTGAGAAGTCGCCTTGGGACCAGACAACCCGAAGGTGCTCGGCTGCGACCGTGGATGAAAGGGTGGCAGCCAGAAGGCCGAAGAGAGTGTTACGGAGAGAAGGCATATTGATAACAGGCTTGAGAGTGTTTGTTCTGGTGGGTTGTGAAGGCTGAAGAATGCTTGTGGTTGATGAGAAGACACTGAAAGATGGTCTACCACTTATATATACGCTTTCTTGCACTCAGTCATTCCCGAGCTCAAGTCTTCAGCCAACTCACTTCCCATACCGCATAATGACATCACTTCGAACGGTTTAATGTTGCATCTAGAATCCTTCGACGAGACAAACTTGTTGCCTATTGCTATCCGTAAGGAATGAGTCGGGGCTTGATCCTTTCTACCCCACGAAGAGCATCTAAGCCTCGGCAGATCAGGAAACTCGAGGCTGAGCTGACAGCAAAATCTGCCGATCAATCACCAATTCCAGTGTCAATGTCCATTGAGCGTGGCAAGTAGGTCAAGATATTCGGTTATCGTTACTTCAAAAGTGGAAGTCTGCTGTGAATATCTCCACTGTCTACGTAATACTACTGTCTCGTATGGTGACTTACTGGGGATTCGGGATCAGGGGATTGAAGGTTTACCAATTTTTGATTGGATGACAAGAGTAAGCAAGTTCAATAGCTGAAATACTCTTTGCCGACTTAAGACACGAGGCGGGGATTGGCAAGGCATAGTCAGGGCAGATCTGCATTTAGAGCGGGAACAGTGATATGCGAAGGATTTTAGGGCTTATTGTCATCGAGATGTCTCGGCTTCGGGAGCACGTGTCAGAACAAAGTTAGGAGGACTCGAATGATCAAGGAAAAAAAAGTTAATATTAATTTTGTATTAAGAACACGTGTTATGAGAGGAATTTGCAATCACTTACTCAGAACTGACTTTAGTTGACTGTTAAAGCTTATGACATCCAGAAAACATGTCTCCACTCTGCTTACTGATAAAGTCCGACTTACCCCTGACATGGCCATTGCACTACAGAGAACTCGGTCGGTTCCGCCATCAGTCTTTCGGTCTACGAGACTTTAGTGAGCTTTGGTTGGCGACTCAATTTGAATAGCGCTGAGACAGTCTATCACACTACGAACACTTGTACTAATGGCGATAAGCACACTCATGTTGTCTTTGCAAGTGTAACAGGACCGGATGTTTGCATTGAGGTCACTGGTGTCTATGGCATGTCTTTGACCGATGTCAGACTGGGACTTGATAATAGTTTTAGTGATGTCTTCCCTTGAATGATGTGTTTGAGTTGTTGAGTGCGTAGGGCTTAAGTATTGTTGTCTGACGCCTTTCCAAAATTTAACAAATGCTTCGGGATACAAATCTAGAACGAAAATTTAGATGGCAGCTATCCCCTCAATCTGTTGCCGGATCCTATCATGAAACACCATTACCAGTTACAGTCGTACCAAGGATCTCGCGTAATATTCATAACTTCTCCAATTGACTCATGGCCTTACACCTGGTGGCTGTATGGTTCATAGGCAAGATCTGTCCGGGGAGATGGCGCTAGATCACGATTGCGATATGTAGGTTGCATCTCATGATCATCATCAAGAGAAGCATAAACTCCAGAGTGGTGACTACGCTCAAGCAGTCCCTTGCCTTCAGGATCCTTTCGGTTGGTAGTGGTGCTGCAGCAGAGAGTCGGTATGATCCAGAGGAGGTTTGCGGCGATAGCAAGTACGGCACCAATCCAAATAATGGCAAGGAAAACGACATTGACTTTTCCTTTGACTCCATAGAGCTTAGCAGTAGCTTCCACGGCGCCAATCGAGACGGAAGCCATGATAGTAGACAGAATGGCTGATGCGAGGACAAACGCAGAAGCAAGGCCACTTGCCATCCATGTCCAGCAGGTCAGTTCGCGAGAGCAAACGGCAAAGATACCGAGAGCAATCTCGATGGCTAGCTCTATCAAGGCCACAATGAAGGCGACTTCAGCTCCTTTCGTCATCGGCCCAAAGGTTTGGATAGCAGCCTGGATCTCTTTCGGCAGTTTGACCTCAACACCCTTATCAGTACTCTTGATTTCGTTTGTTGTTATGGTCTTTCTGACCCAATCAAACTTTGGACTCGAGCACTCTCGGTTATCATTTCTATCAGTGTGACAGTATCCCCAAAGCGTAATCTCATAGGTCTTGTCGAGCCCAAGGAGTTCGGCAGTAATATTCTTTTCGACTGTTTCGGCGCGTGGCAAGATCTTGTTGACAAGTTCACTTGCAGGGCTGATGCTCAGATTCTCGAAGTCGAGTTGGATGAGGTAGAGAGATTTATCGGTGACGCCTGCGAGCGCGGGAACGAGGGTGAAGATGGCAGCCGCAATTGCGAGTGCGAATGGCAGAAGTACGCCAATAACGCGGCCAATGACCATCTCGTGAATGTTGGGTGGCTGTTCAGGTGTAGTGTTTGTTGAGGGTGTAGCAGCGAGTGGCAGTAACAAAGAGAAGGACTAATTTGCAAACAAAGATGTCAGTCATTTTAACTCATAATAGCTCGGAATGGATTTTTTGTACCTGTTTACTCGCCGCAATCTCATGAACCAAGTTAAAGCCCGCCTAGTTCTCACGAAAAGCACGGTCACAGATTTCGAGTAGTTTCGATAAAGGATCCCTGCGATGTCAGAAACTCAGCCCCTCACTTTATCCCGCCGCTGGGAAAGCTCTTACCCTCGGTCTAACGCCATGCTTCAATTTTCCCAGTTCCCTTAGTACATTGAGTTCCCAGGATGTTCTTACTGTTATCGAATGTGGTTGGGGCACCGGGCGTCTGTTTGTGTTCTAATTTTAGAGTTGCTGGGACCTGATTACTGAGCACTCCGAAGACGCGCTGACTCTTGCGGACCGCGTTTCCTCAGGTTTCATTGTACTCGTTAGCCCCACAGATCTATTGTTCGGTGTTCTTTTCTTGTCAGACTTGAAGAGGTGTGTATGCCGCTCATGCCGTCCCGGTGCCGCCCTTCAGGGTCCAACAGCATTCGGCCGCCCATCTTATAGCGGCATACTACTAAGGACTTTTCGAGACAGACGAGGCTCTTCCAGATTTGTCCGTTCGTCGAGGCTGCCCCATGATCCCATTGAGTTTGTTATTTCTGGACGCACTATCATGGTCAGTTTGTCCGCAGGAACTGGTTGGTCAGGATGGCACAGTATGTAGAGGTCTGCAGGACTAACTCAACTGAGTGCAATGCTTTTTTAGCCCCTCTTAACTCCTCTACCATAATTTTCGTTTGCTATCCATCATGTACATACACTTATGCCAAAGGCTCTCAGGGGGGTCTCAGCTTGCCTTCTTACAGTCCTCCCAGCAGCGGTCCCATCAAGCTAGGCCGAAGGACAGAATATTCACAGTTACTCGTATTTAACCATTACCTCAGCTTTCTTTTGGCTGTTCTGCACTGGCTGGGGCTGTATGAACATGTGCAATGGCTCTCCGCGAAGAGAGGCTTCCCATGCACCGTGGAGCAGGGGCAAACGTTTTCAGGCACCTGGGGATGATATGATTTATTGTATGTTCGTGCCTCAGGCTCTTCATTTTGCTTTCTAGTCTGTCGTCTTGTTGTTGTTCCTTCGCAATTTAGCGGCCGCACAAAAACATGCAGCCTCTCTTATCTCTCGACATTGAAGCGTACGCGGAATCAACGCAGTGTGCAGCTTGATCCTCTCCAATAAAGAGCATCACAGCTCATCAAAAGATACAGCTCAGAATACCATTTCTCAATTCGCTAACGTCAAAGTTCAGAGATTTTCCACCTTCATTGCAAACGACTTTCATTCCCACGGTCGGCAACAACTTCATGCCCACCTACAAGCGTGTACACGAGCTATGGTTCAAAACTCGACAAGCCTATAGGCTGCGGCAAGGCTGTTGCCCAACATGGCCTATCTTTTGTCGCTCATGCGACTCCTTCAAGAAGTCTGTTGCCAACTATATTGTCTTCCTAGACGCGTAGCTACGAAGACATCCATCTATTCACAAGACACTAAGCCCACCGCAGACTGCTGCTTTGATGACACTTCCAAGCTCCAAAGACACACTAGTTCACATGGGAACTTGGCATTCACCTTGATGAGAAATACCCCAAAGTGTTCGACAATCGTCCGCTCCCGGCAGATTCATCTCCTACTAGCCAATCCTAAAAACATACGGTTATATAAACCTGGCGTAACGTTTCTGTGCATGATGTAATGAAGAGAGTGATGATATTGCCGATCATTGTCTGCAAAGAAATGGCGATGAAATCGTCAATCACTTGGCATTCAGACGAATCCACTCTGCAACAGTTCAAATCCTACGAAAGCATACGATAGACTCGTATAAAGAGGCAGCTGGACTAGTAGCCTCCTGTACATCCAGAGCAACGAGAACTTTGTTGACCAAAGGCATAAGTAGAGACATACCAACACGGTGAAGAGTCCCTTATATATGCATAGCGCATCATCTTTGACTGCCGCGTAAGGCTCAACAATCCCCTTCTCCGGGGTTCGTCAATTAAAAGAATGCGGGAACAATGGAGAGGTAAAGGGTCGCGATAACAAGAAAGAAGACATAACAGGAAGCTAGCCACGCATCTTCAGCTCGAATACTCTTATAGTAGATGATAGCAAGGGTCGACGGGCGATGGGCAACTGAAGCAACAACGATCAAGGCGATCCCCTATATTTCAAATCGAAGATCTGGGAACTTATGTTTTGGTCATGTCGATTATCAGAAAAGAGTAAGGGCATTCATGTTTGGAAGCAGACTGGAACTGGATGAACAAAAGGATTGAGCTGCCTGTCACAGAGAAACGAGAACAGCTGAGCTTCTTCCAGTGCAGCAACCAACAGCCACATTGGCACACTGCACCATACTCCTTTCAGTAGAGCAAGCCATCATGGTATCCTGCTTACAGGATCAATTTTTCTACCAATTACGGGTCCGGGGTAGTTTCGCATTAGCGTCAAGGATTGTGATATGGGATGAAGAGTTGCAGACGAGCTTGACAGATGGATGGAGCTCACTAAGAATTAAAGTTCGATAGACCGGGTTGCGGAGCAGCCAAGGATGAGAACTAGGATCTGGTTTGTCGGATGCTTCCCCGTCCGTGTGTACATGCATACAGGACCACGTAGTCGAGTCACATCCCGCTGAGTCTTCGATAGTCGAGACGCTTGATGAACTTGGTTGGAATGTGACTTGGACACTATTCATCACACCTTCGTATTTCATAGCCACGACACGACATGCTAAGTAATAAAAGTACTTTCCTGATCGCCCTTACCAAGATTTTGCAAGAGTTGTGGGCTGTTTCTTGCATGTTATCCTTGACAATCTCAGGACCAACAGCATCCACGCCACTTGGCTGCATCCAAGCCATTCCTTTTCACAAGATGCAAGCGACCAACACGCTTCATTGTAGAAGAAAAATATCTTTTATTGCTTTCGCACCAGAGAGTGGGGATTATGCATACTTATGCGTCCCATTCCGCAGTTACTGGCCTGGAAATGCCTCAATGTGATATAAACCCAATAAATCTTTCCTCGAATGTCTGCTTTTTCACCTCCTTGTTTGACATTGCTCGCCCATTTGACTTATCATGCGGTGTATTTCATTGGTTATTGCAGCCTTCTTGGTTGTTAAATCAAGTGCCACCGATTCTCTACTTGAGACCAAGGACTTCAACATCACTCAAGCCCTTCTTGACCAAGGTGTTGACGTTTCAGAGCTTCCTGTATCCGCGGACGGTTCAAAACGATCTGACACTGGTTGCGCTGCTGCTGTATGTAAACCGGAGTCTCATAACCTTCATGTGGCTGAAGCAAAATAGTGCGCCTCTCTGAAGATCCTTTACGGTGATGCCGCCGTTGAGACAAGGAACGAAGAGGCCTTCAGGGACTTCACTGCCTCTTACTGGTCCTCAAACCAGGCAGAGGTCAACCCTTACTGCATTTTCATTCCTCAGCGGCCGAGTCACGTTTCTGTAACTGTACTGTTGGCTCGATTAGCGCAGTGTCCTTTCGCTGCAAAGAGTGGCGGCCACGCAGCCTTCGCTGGAGCTTCATCCGTTGAGGGTGGCATCACCATTTCGTTTGCTAACTTGAAAGATATCTCTCTGTCTAAAGATAAAAAGATTGCCTCGATAGAGCCTGGAAACACCTGGGGGCCCGTGTACGAGCAGTTGGAGAAGTCTGATGTCAGTGTCATCGGAGGGCGACTCTATAACATCGGCGTTGGAGGATTGACCACGGGAGGTAAGTACAACTACTCTCTGACATAACTCAGGACTAATTTGTCAAAGGTGGTATCTCATTCTTCTCAAATATTTATGGTTGGGCTTGCGATAATGTTGAGAGCTACGAGGTAACCATCCCAGCGCAGTCAGTGGCCACTAGTCCACCAAGCTAACCAATCTACAAGGTGGTACTCGCCAATGGCATAATAGCCAAAGCCAGCGCTGAATTATACCCTGATCTCTACTGGGCTCTTCGTGGAGGCGGTAATAACTTCGGCCTTGTTGTCAAGTTCAACCTCAAGACCATCCCCCTTCCCAAGAGCGAGATGTGGGGAGGATCTCGCATCTATACAGAAGACAAGTTCCCCGAAGTCACTGACGCACTCTTCAATATCCTAAATAACTCCGAGAATGACCCAAAGGCTGGGATCTACGTCCCTTGGATCTATTATCAAGGCAACAAATTCTCTATGCCCACTATGTACTACGCCGAGCCTGACGCCGGAAATGCTACTATATGGAAGAATTTCAACAAGATTGAGGCCGTCTCTGATACCACGCAGAATAGAGTTCTCGCCGCATGGGGCAAAGAGATCATGAGTGACAGCCCTCCGGGACTTCGCGAGGTTTACTACGTTATTACCACCAAGCTCGATCACGGCATCTTGGAATACACTAGGGACTATTTTTACAAGACTGTTCTTACGGTGGCCAATATTTCCGGCATCATACCTGCTTTTGTGGTTCAAGGCATCACCACTCCCCAGCTCAAGCAGATGCAGAAGAATGGAGGCAACGCGCTTGGTATCGATCCTGAGGGTGGACCTCTATTAATTTTGCAGCTCTCCGTTATGTGGAACAATAAGTCTGACGATGACACCATCTACAGCTGGATCTCCGATATCTTCCAGGTAGTTACCAAGGAGGCCAAAGCTCGTGGAGTCAATAACGACTACATTTACATGAACTACGCAAGTCAGTACCAGGATGTCATTGCAAGCTACGGGTCAGGCAATAAGGCTAAGCTAAAGAGCATTGCGAAGAAGTATGATCCTCAACAAGTGTTTCAGAAGCTGCAGCCTGGATACTTCAAGCTGGATAGAGCGCCTATTCCTAACTCTGGATACTTTTCCCGTTAGAAAAGGATAGGTCTACAGGGAATCATCGAAGAGGCAGGATCGTCAAAGAGGATAGGGTGAGAGCGCTACCTAACTGAGAAGAGAAAAGCAGAACTTGGCCCCAGTTTAGGATATAGTAAATCTCATCATATGCCTTGGCTCGTACTCCTCCAAGCTTGTTCTAAGCTATTGACGACTTGTGAAGAATTCTAAGACGAATTGAAGCGGAAGACCTTGAAATATATCATTGGTATGTTGCGAAGATTGCTGATACGTGCAGATCCTTCAACAATATAATCCGTCGAGTCTTTGTGTAGAAGTACAGCCTCATAGCTTTAATTGCCATCTTGGTCGTTCATCTATGACTTTTCGGAACAACACTTCACATGATCGGAATGTAACCCGGCAGTGGGGCCGGCGCGCGGTATCAGATCCGAGGACAACTTCGGCTGGACCAGGGCATGAGCCAATGCGCCGCAAAACAATGAAACAATACATCAATAGTCAGACCATGCACGCATTCAGTGAGATTCTTAGAGGATGAGTTTGGACTGTAGATATCGCACAAATGGTGCCATCTGGCGCAAGAATTGTGAGGACCTATCGGAGCCATTGTATTGTAAGCTCCGATCGAGTTCCGGGCCGAGGCTCATGGCTACCCCGCCATCACGAACTTTCTGAAGACGTTGAGTAAAGCGAAGATCAATTGATCAATACATTCAATCACAAAGTAAATCACTAGAGGCAGAATAGAGGACAGATAGAATTAACTAGTAAAATTCGTAATCATTCATTCTCAATGGTATTTTGCTACATTGCTCATTAATTACAGTCGAGGAGAGGCCTTGGGCGACGAACCGTTGGCAAGATCAAATCGGTCCAGGTTCATCACCTTGGTCCAAGCAGCAACAAAGTCCTTGACAAGCTTCTCTTGTCCACCAGCCTCAGCATATGTCTCAGCTGTAGCGCGGAGCTCAGCGTGTGAACCAAAGACGAGATCGACACGGGTACCGGTCCACTTCTTGGCGCCGGTCTTGCGATCAGTACCCTCGAAGATGTCACCGTTTCCGGTGGCCTTCCACTCAGTGCTCATGTCGAGCAGGTTGACGAAGAAGTCGTTGGTCAGGACACCAGGACGGTTGGTGAAGATACCATGCGATGAGCCGTCATAGTTGGTGTTGAGGGCACGGAGACCACCAATGAGAGCGGTGAGCTCAGGGACGCTGAGGGTGAGGAGTTGAGCACGGTCAATGAGCTGGTGCTCAAGCTTGACGCGGTCTGTAGAAGAGCCGTAGTTACGGAAACCATCGGCGAAAGGCTGGAGGTGGTTGACGGACTTGACGTCGGTCTGCTCCTGTGTAGCGTCGGTGCGGCCAGGCGCGAAGGGCACGGTGATGTTAACACCAGCATCCTTAGCAGCCTTCTCAACAGCGGCGGAACCAGCAAGAACAATAACATCAGCAAGAGAGATGGCCTTGCCGCTGGACTGAGAGTCGTTGAACTTCTTCTGGATGCCCTCAAGAGTGCTGAGGACCTTGCTCAATTGAGCGGGGTTGTTGACCTCCCAGTCCTTCTGGGGCTGGAGGCGGATACGGGCGCCATTGGCACCACCGCGGAGATCACTGCCTCGGAAGGTGGAGGCGGAGGCCCAAGCGGTAGAGACGAGCTTGGAGACGTCAACACCAGACTTGAGGATCTCGTTCTTGATGGCGGAAATGTCGCCGTCGTCAACGAGCTTGTAGTCGCGCTCGGGGACGGGGTCTTGCCAGAGGAAGACCTCCTTGGGGACCTCAGGGCCGAGGTATCGGTCGCGGGGACCCATGTCACGGTGGGTAAGCTTGAACCAGGCCTTGGCGAAAGCCTCGTTGAACTGGTCTGGGTTCTCGAGGAAGCGACGAGAGATCTTCTCGTACTCAGGGTCGAAGCGCAGAGACAAATCGGTGGTCAACATGGTAGGCTTCTGCTTCTTGTTGGGGTCGAAGGCATCAGGAACAGTGGCGTTGGCATCCTTGGCAACCCACTGGTGAGCGCCAGCAGGGCTCTTTGTGAGCTCCCACTCGAACTGGAAGAGGTACTTGAGGTAGTCATGGCTCCACTTGACGGGAGTGCTGGTCCAGGTAACCTCGAGACCGGAGGTGGTTGTGTGAGGACCCTTGCCGGTCTTGTAGCTGTTGGACCAGCCGAGACCCTGCTGGGCGAGGTCAGCAGCCTCGGGCTCGGGGCCGACGTGGTCGGTTGAGCCAGCGCCGTGGGTCTTTCCGACGGTGTGACCACCGGCGATGAGAGCGACGGTCTCCTCGTCGTTCATGGCCATGCGGCCGAAGGTCTCGCGGATGTCGCGGGCAGCGGCGACGGGATCAGGGTTACCATCAGGACCCTCTGCAATAAAGTCAGTGACTGCGCATTACGCATTGGCTTTGGTAAGTACTAACCAGGGTTGACATAAATAAGACCGTGGTGAGCAGCAGCCAAAGGCTTCTCAAGCTCGCGGGTGTGGATGTTCTTGTGGGGAGCCTGATCGGAATCGGTAGCGCCAGGCTTGGTGGTTCCGGGGTGGCCATCAGAGTAACGGACGTCGTTTCCGAGCCAGGTATCCTCGCCACCGTAGTAGGTAGCCTCATCAGCCTCCCAAGTATCCGGACGACCAGCGGCGAAGCCAATGGTCTTGAAGCCCATATCCTCGAGGGCGACGTTGCCAGCCATGACGATCAGATCGGCCCATGAGACCTTGTTGCCGTACTTTTGCTTGACGGGCCAGAGAAGGCGGCGGGCCTTGTCGAGGGAAACGTTATCGGGCCAAGAGTTGAGGGGGGCGAATCTTTGCTGACCCTATGACGCTGTTAGACTTGTGCGCGATTGATAGAGGGTGTAATGGATTTCTTACCTGTCGGCCGCCACCTCGGCCATCGAAGACACGGTATGTTCCAACGGCGTGCCACGACATACGGACAAAGAGACCACCATAATGGCCGAAATCAGCAGGCCACCAGTCCTGCGAATCGCGGCAGACCTTTCGCAGATCCTCCTTGAGCTCGTTGTAGTCAATAGAGTTGAAGGCCTCGGCGTAGTTGAAGTTCTCGCCGTAGGGGTTGGTGACGGCGCTGTGCTGACGGAGGATGTTGGTCTTGAGGGCCTCGGGCCACCACTTCTGATGGGTAACGCCGTGACCAGCGACGTTGGGGACCTTGTGGGCCACGGGACACTTTCTCTCGTCGGCCATTTTGGAAGCTGAAGTATGAAGCGATAACCTGAAGTGTTGTTGGTTGAGACTCAGAGTCCTCCTCGCTACAGACAAGGACAGAATGCGAGAGGAAGGGAAGAGAAACCGAGGCATGGAGGAGATGCGGGGGTGGAGTTTGGCATTTATATACCGTAACGCGAGGGCCGTGAATTGGATTGGAAAAGGAACGACTGTGAGTGGACTCTTTTTAGAGGCGACCGACACGAGACGGTCTCCCCGGATCACGCTCGGAATCTCGTCAAACTAGGTACAGACAATATCATCGGAAACTTATGCCGGATTTGTCAACAAAGGTCAACTGCATGACGCACTGTAGCCCTTCGCAAGTGCGGGGAAGCTGTCCAAACTCAGCAACTGGTGTAACCAAGGCTCGTAACCATCGCTGCCCGGAACACTTGGGTGTCGGGTCGGGTAGAGAGACATCGGGCCTTGTTTGAGGAATCAATCCCTATAGAATTATCTAGAAATAAAATCGTGGAACCGTCCCATTCTCTCCATCATGATTCCCAACTCGATTGCCAATGCCAATGCTTGCCACTGAATAACCTTTGATGGAGCATCATGACACTGGAGTCTACCTAGGCATGGCCCCCCCCGTGATCGGTTTAGTACCGGCTCTTACTGACCGAGCCCCGCAAAACAAACACCACAGCAACCCGACTTCTCTGCGTGTTAGCAACCCGTTTCGTCGTAGACCAGCCCATTTCACCCCGCCTGGCCCTGAGCTTCTGGAGAGAAACAGGGGAGAGCTCTGATCTCACACTGCGGGTTTCCTCCCGCCAGCGAGCGCAGTCTAAAATTGGCAGGCCAAAGAGCGGGGTCAACTTCACCATCGCAATCCATTTCTTCCTAACACAGTAATAAAAGTGAGGCAATTCCACCGTCGCATTACGACTTTGACGTAAACCCACTGCGTAGCAACGATCGCTGTTACTTCCTAATGCATGAAATGCCCAATTGCCTCTTAAAGCCGGCGTGAAAATCCGATTCAGGGATCCAATGAAGCGCAATAGATTCCAAATGATCAGAGATGATCGAGTTCCACTAACAGACTTCCAAACACCCACCACGACCCGAGTTGCGCAAGCCAATCATGAGCCCCGCTTACATTTGGAATCAATTTCCATTCTGCAACAGATGGAATCAATTGTTCCAGGCGCGCGTGCGTGTGTGCGGTACCTGCGTCGTCAGTGGTTCATTGCTGCAAGCCTCCGGTCGGATTATCTCGACGCATCATCCACGACAATTGATGCCGAGCGCCGATGAAAAGTCTCCGACTAATGAGGAATTGAACTCAAGACCTTCAAAGGTCAAAAATAAATGGAGGTGGATGATCGCATCTTTGACCAGTACCTCCGAGGAGGGCCAGGCCTAGCGACCATCCAAGATTTTGGTCCACTATCCGAGTACATGAGGGGCTCATGATCCCCTCTTTGCCGACTCTCGGCTTGAGTGCAACACAAAAGCGCGTACAATTGGAACAGGATATGGCTTGTACGCGCATATCTATGTCTCTTTCAATTGTTGGCAATCTCAATCATCTCGGTGCGACAAGACTTGTGACTTCAAAGCTCGCACCTCATGCGACAATGCTGGCGGGTTGACTGGAGCCAATCGAAATACACGCATCACTAAGCTCAGTGCTCAGCAAATTCATCCGCAAGACAGCAATCGAGTACTAAAGAGAAGGATGAGGGATGAGCAAAAGCCACTGGCATCATCCAATCTTCGTATTGACATGCATTCATTAGACACAAGAGTATTTCCGGTTAATGAGTGTTTGCGCTGGTGACTTGAAGTCCCAATGCCATGGATTTCACTCCAGCGAGCGTTGACGTTCAGCTACAGGCGACTGACCCCACTGTAGTCGCTAAATGATCTGCCACCAACTGCCCCACCACAAGCGGCACTGTCAAGCACTGCGACGACAACCTCACTTCTTCAGACCGAAATTCCAAAAGATCAACGCACTCGAACGCGCGAGCAAAAGAGGAAGAGCTGTAAGCGACTTTACAGGTATAGTGAGTGTTAGTGCGATTATCCCTTTCACGCTATGGCTACACGGCTACGTCACTAACCACTCGACCAGACCACTCTAGCGAGCGGAATGTCTGAACCCTTCCTCCAACAATCGTTGCGCAACTCGGGGTATATGTACTGTCAACACAACAACCTGTGTCATTCAAATGGAAATTCCAAAAATGAATCAAGACGTTCGAACGCGCGGGCAAAAGAGGAAGGGCTGTAAACGACTTTAAAGCTAGGAAGGGGTATAGCAGGAGGCTATACCGCATCCGCCGCTAGACCACTCTACCGAGAGGAATGTCTGAACCCAACCCCGACTACATTGATCACATTGTGGTATATGTTGAGCAACTGCTGGAGGTTTACTTCGGCCATGGATAGATCATGATTCAGGTTGCTCAGTCATCTGCCACCTTGTGTACAGTAACTCATGCTGATGACTGTCACTGTCAAGCATTGCGATAGCCTCTTGTCCTCTAAATAAAAATTCCAAAAAGCCAATCACGCTCGAACGCATGATCAAAAGGAATCGCAGCTGTAAACAACTTTACAAGCACTTACGAAGGCACCCCTGAGGGCACCTGGCTAGACCACTCTACCAAGAGGAATGTCTGAGCCACGACTCCGCCAGTAGCGATCAGATATGGGTATATATACCATCGCGTAACCTCATCCGAATTGTACTGCTCAGGACAATGTAAGTCGCTCAAAGGTCTGTCAACGCGTGTTGTACCACGACACAAGTGTATGACAGAGCATCGCGAGGAGCAGTCCAACGACCTCCGGCCATTGACCAAAAAGAAAGCCCAACATGTTAGAACCCATGAGTAAAAGGAAATCGAGGCTGTAAACGACTTTATGAGCAATGGCAAGGCATCACTCTTACCGCTGGACCACTCTATCGAGAGGAATGTCTGAACCACGATCCCCATGAAGCAGTGACAAGATTATGGTGTATATGGCTTCAATTGAACGTGTAACGTCTATATTGATATTACAAAAAGCCAAGCGCTCGAACGCATGAACAAAAGGAAATCGAGGCTGTAAACAACTTTACATTGGCAAGGGGATCAGTCAAGCCGCTTGACCACTCTATTGAGAGGAATGTCTGAACCCCGATCTCCACGAAGCAGTGGTGAGATCGCGATGTATATAGCCTCAATCGAATCTGTGTCGTCTGTGTCAATATCACAAAAAATTAAGCACTCGAACGTGTGAGCAAAAGGCAAAAAGAGGACGTATCTTTCCACGACTTTACAAGAATCGACCGTTAGCACATTAACATATGCATAACCGCTAGACCACTCTAACGAGAGGAATGTCTCGACCACCGTCCCCCGATGAACGCTTCTCAATCACAGGATATATAGCTCTGGCCTTGGCACTCAGCTTCAGGGCAAAAAGAGGGAACTCCAGGATTCGGACTCACAAGCAAAAGAGACAACGCTGTATACAGCTTTACGCCAGGGTCACCAGCTCGACCACTCTAACGAGAGGAATGCCTGAGCGATGCCTCCGTCAAGCATTGCTGAAGACATGGTATATATACACCCTCAATACAACCGATGCATGTCGTCGAAAGGGCACAAGCACATCATTGTCGTGGATTGGACTAGCTGCCGGGCAGGGTCTGCTATTCGAGAAGCGTGCTGAGAGGCAGGTGCCTGGTACGGAAGATAATGCAAGTTTAAGGAATGTAGTGATCACACAGAACAAGGGGTACACGCACGCACAAATGGTCCCTTTAAATTACTATCTCCCCATTTTTGGAAGCGGACTTGACTTTGGCGGGTTGCGCAAAGTCGGACGTTGGGAGGTGGTTGGAAGTTCAAGACATGAGGCCTACGTCTACGTTGACATTGACCTACCTCGAGCTCTCATTTGAGCCATGGGACACATCAGTGTAATCGCAAAGAGTTCCGCAATAACATGAATCCACCTTCCAGCATCTACCAGCTAACCACGACTGATGCGCCTTCTCGGACAATGTCCCCACCGAGCACCGAAGGCCTCGGTCTCTGAGCGAGCTGCCAAGTCCGTCGGCCAACTGCATCGCGTGACTCGGCCTTCTTCTTGTGTAAAACTCGGACTCGGGACACAACATCATACGGACCGTTGGACAATTGGCGGTTGGTGGCATCAGGATCGGACGGCATCTCGAAATTTCGGACTTGAACTTGATCTTTCTGCCCGAACACCTACGGATGCGCAAGTGCACAACATCCGTAGGGCAGAATATAGACATGACTGGCCGTTTTCCATCGGAGAGCGCATTGGAAGACCTTAGGGACTCGGACAATGGTTTATCATTGCACCCGAGCTCTCTGCATCGAAAGTTCCTTTCTTGCGTGTAAGGCGCAGCCACTCCGGGAAATTGTTGAGTAGTGTATTAATCGCGTGCCGACCGGGCGCCGGATGAGATTGCAATTCCACAGGCATGGGATCGGAAACCCGAGAGTGCGAATCATACGCCCATCAAGCACAAGGGCCATTCATTTGGAAGCGGTGGTTGAGGCGGAGTGGCATACACTCAGTTGTGATGTTCTCACGGGCTCCGAAGTCCGATGCGCGCGGATGTGCTACGAAGTCAACCGAACGAACTTCGAATCGAAGGCTGGTTTCAGGCTGTTCATAAGACAAGTCGGCATGTATCAGCTCATCTCGGGATTCACGAGTATAGTATTGCTTCGATCGGAGGGTATCGTGGAACCGGATGGCGTCCAGGTCAGAGCATCTCGTCGGGTAGAAATCGCTCGCGATCGCGGCTTCGTCTATATACTAGGCTCTGCGAGCTTGAAGGAGGCCCGAGCGAAGAGCGCCATGTTGGTAGTCATTTCCGCCAGCGCATTACGATCAGGCTCGGGAGGATGGTTTCGTTGGAGGGCAGATACTGTCGCAGGTAAGAGGGAGGGTTCCTGGGTTTCCGAGGTCAGTGATAAAGTCACAAGCATAAAGACTTCACCATTCCGCTATCGCGTCGAGATCAAGTGGAGTCGGCAACCTGACACGCTCCTCTTCCTTCTTACGATCGCGTTGTGTCTGCGGAAGCAGGGTCACTGGAAGAGTAAGACACGCCGAAGATATGGAGGTATATAGCCGTTAGGGTTCGGATTGTACTTGTTTCAGCAGTTGCGCGCAGTCAGCAAAAGTCTTGTAGTCAGCTCATCCCGACATGACGGTGATGCTTCGGTCGCATCATGTCAGTCGCGCCAGCATCTTCGGCGATCGTGCACCAACTCACGTGACTATGATGTAATCTGGATCGGCTTATCTTATCTGCACCTGTCTGAGCCAATAAGGGTTTGGCAAGCGGGGCTTTTCTTCCTGCTCAGAAAACTGCTGACCAGCCGTAATGCTGCGATCTTGAATTTCAAGGATAAGATGAGAAAACAGTAAAGTCCGTCAATATCCACGCCTACTTCAATTATGCATTTTTACCAGATAGAGAAGAGACAAAGTAATACATCAAGCGTGTTTGGCGTATAGGTTAGAGTTTATTACTCTTGTAATCTACCATATAGTGTCTTTCAGTGTTGTAACTTTTAGAGGTTGATGGCGGCAGCACTACCCTATACTCTCTGCAATTGCGTCATCGCCTGTTAGCCGTTCAACCCCTCGCTGTCGATAAGCTTAACGAGTGGGGTAGCCGGGCCGCACGCGTTGCCGGAGCTTGCTTCGCGTCAGAACGGCATTTCACGCGTCAAGATGTTTAATTCTAAAGTCAATTGCTACTACCGCTCCAGTAGGACTGCTAATGTTGGGGGCAGCATTCTGTTGGCGGTGATGCACGCATATTATTCCACCAGTCAAATGTAACGTCATACAAACCCCCAACGTGGGGTCGCCATTCAAATACACCATCATCGAACCAGCCTCATACACTCAGCTACGAAACGCTATCTTCACAACCAAGTCAGGCGATCTGTGGCTTCATTCATCATGTCAAGCACATTGTCGAACTCTCTGGCCGAGGCTAAAATGGTCCCCGGTTCAGCTGCTAGCCTGATCCCGGAAGGCTTCAAGCCTACGACGAATCTGAAGGTCTCATTCGATGGGAAGGACGTCAACTTGGGGAACCTCTTCCGTGCGAGTGAGTGCAAGCGCGCTCCTAGCATCCAGTTTGATCAAGAAGTAAGTTGCGGATATCTTAAGAACACTTTGCTCAGTGCTGATGAGGTTTAGCCCGATGCTCCTGGGGATGCTACCTACATGCTCTTGCTTGTCGACCCTGATGCGCCAACGCCAGATGACCCCAAGTTCGCCTTCTGGCGCCACTGGGTTCTCCCTGGCCTGAGACCTTTGAGCGGTGGAGATGCAGTGGCTCAAGTGCAACCCGCCCTCACAGAGTACTTGGGCCCTGGCCCGAAGGACGAGTAAGTTTAGATGACTCAACATACTCAGTGTTCACTTACTGACGGCCACGCAGCTCCAAGCCGCACAGATACTTGCTTCTATTGTACCGACAACCCGCCAGCCTTGACCTTGCCAAGGAGGATGTAGGAGGCGAAGAGTTTACGCAAAGAAGGTCTTTCGATACTGCCAAGTTTGTTGAGAAGTATGCACTACGACTCGTGGGCGCGAACTGGTTTCTCGGCGCTGGAGATGGTTGGAAAGAGTAGGGCAGAGCGATTACTGATCTTAAGCTTGAGATACAGATAGAGGCCCCAGATTGCTGGTCGTTTTTGCCTCACCTCGCTATGGTCTAATAGAAATGGGTAAACCTATCCCGTACCGCGATTTCCGTCTGATGTCAGTTCGGCTCACTCAACTAGTGGTTCCTATTGGTGAGGATATTTTGGCTCGCTTGGGCTTGTTGTGGAAGTGATCATCCGAAGCTGGTTCTGTGATGGCTGCGGAAGAGACTGTGACAGTAACATCATTCTCTCCCTGCTTCCCGCATCCGTTGTAAGGACTGACTCGCGAATTCATGGAAATTGATGGGACTGGCTGGTGGGCACAGCGATTGCATGGCTGATACGACAAGTAGTGCAGTACTCACTCACAGTCAACTCGGCGATAATGTGATCGTTACTTATGGTGCTGGCCGGTGTCGAAATGGAAACGGAGCTCGAATCGAAGGAACCGCTGGCAGAAGTGAAAACTATAGGACAAGGTGCAGAAGTGCTGTATGGTAAATGGTTCAGAATGGTTCGTAAGAGTCTGTGAAGTTTACCGAGACACGGCCGCAGTGGAAGAAATTCCGATCGAAGAGATCTCAATGGAAGAGAGTAGATGCAAGCGCCAGCACTCAGGTAGCGGACAGAATCACGGATCAAAGTAGGTTCAAGAAGTCGGCCGAAAAAATGCTTTTATTATTCAATGCTTGACGTCATACAGCTAGGAGACTACCTCATAATAGGTACGGAAAAGAAATATGTATCCATCTCACCGAGATTCGGATCAAATATCAAACTCAGAAGAGAAAGGCCGCTGGCCTAGATTTAGTGGCGGATGCTGCTGCTGTTGCTGCCACCACCGACACCGTTGTTGATAAGCTTGTTAACAGTACCAGAAGGCACGCTGGAAATAACTCCGTCAAGGGCCTTGGAGGCAATGTAATCGCAGAGACCCTCAGCCTTCTGTCCCAGACCAAGGAAGTAAGCAGCAAGACCAGCGACATGGGGCGAGGCCATGGAGGTACCAGAGATGGTGTTGGTCTTGCCGTTGGGCCAGGTGCTGAGGATATCGGTACCAGGAGCGAGTACATCGACGACAGAACCGAAGTTGGAGTAGTCAGCGAGAGTGTCGTCGCGAGTGGTGGCACCGACAGTGCAAGCGCTCTCCTCGGAAGCAGGAGAGGATCCAGAGGCATCCTTGCCGTCGTTACCGGCTGCGACAGCGAGGAAGAGACCGGCATCAACGATGGCCTTAGCAGCCTGGTTGACGGCATCGGATGTCTCACCGCCAAGAGACATGTTGACAACGACACCGTTGGGGCAGTTCTCATCCTTAGCGTGACCAGAGACGAAGTCCATGCCAGCGATGACAGCAGAGTTGGTACCAGAGCCATCGTCGCCGAGGACCTTGACAGCGAAGAGGTTGGTCTTCTTGGCTACACCGTAGGTGGTAGAACCAATGGTGCCAGCAACGTGAGTGCCGTGACCCTGACCATCGCTGTCAGAACCACCAGCGAAGTTCTTGAGGAACTTGGCGCGACCATCGAAGTCCTGCAGTTGTGTTAGATTAGACTGTTTCACCTATGGAATCTGTTCAGACTTACGGGATGGTCGACATCAATGCCAGTATCGATGACATAGGCGCAAGTACCCTCACCGGCGCTGTCGTCGTAGGTGTAAGTGCTGCCACCAGGGCTCTGGGTGGAGATGCGAGCAATACCCCAAGGAGCGTTGCTCTGCTGAGTAGTAGCAGCGATGCTAATATAAGCATCCTGCTCAATGTACTCGACCTAAACCTTGTTAGCTGGGGTCTTTTGTGGTTGGCTCCATATGAGTCAGAAGTCACTGACATTGGGGTCGTGCTTCAGCTTGTTCAGCTCATCATCCTTGAGGCTGGCCGCGAAACCGCCGAAGCCCGTGGAGTAGGTGTAATCGGCATCGGCCTCGATAGACTCGATCATCTTGTCAACCCAGCTCTCGATGGAAGAAGCCTGGAAGCCCTTCTTCATCTTGACGATGTACTTGCCATCGACAAGCTTGACACCGCGGGGGCGAAGAATGGGAGCGGGCTCGGCCCGGCGGGAGGGAGCAGAGGGAGCGGCCAGCGCAAAGGGGAGAAGAGCGAGAAGAGTAGCAGATCGCATTTTGAAGAAAGATTGTTGTAAGTTGGAGAACTTAAAAGAATGGAGTGAGTTGTAAAGAGTGGTGTTGAGTGAATGTAGGTGTAAAGACTGAAGAGCTGAGTTGCTTGATGAGAAGAAGACATTGATGGAGACAGAGGCTTCTATTTATCTTGATTCTCGAAGCTGCCTCTCCTTTAGCTGTCCATCCACTTCAACTTGGAGCCATGTTCCTTGATCGGATGTTGGGTTGGTTGTCTCTCGGCACGCAACCTATCGTGTCAAACATGTGCCACGATGATCGTCATCGTTCGAGATAGTCGACCCCGGCCGCAACCACTACCTGCCTAAAGCGAGCGACGATCCCACGCATCGCGTGCCTGGCGAGGTATAGCATGAGAATTAACCATAAGCGACTTGGCCAACCGAAACGTGCGATGCCCTTAACCAAGATTTTAGAGCACCATTCGCCACGAGATGAAAGGAGTGCATAATTAATGAGGCTCCTTATTCTCTGCCTTGTTTTGTGTTTTGACTGGTGAATGGGTTACCGCCAGGGCAGTGGGGGTGCCAATTAGCAGATTGATAGACAAGCCAATTGAAGTCGAGAGTTGCTCTCTGGGGCACTAATCTGTCTTGAAACGATATCGCCCGAGGGTGTCAGCCAATCGAGACGACGCGTGGCGATCTATTTCCGAGTCAGGGAGTTGGTTTCAACAATTCCCCTGAATAAGCTTGATAGCCCAAATCAAAAGGTCTTGACAGGTTCAATCAAGCAGGAAATCAAAAGATATCAGGGTCCTTTGATTTTCAAAAGTGCCAGTCACAAGCAATTGATGATACTTGAAACCATCGTCAACTGATACACTGCAGGGATATTTTGCTGCCGAGAAATGGAAGGCAATCGTTAGGGTTGCAAGAGGCTAGGAAAAAGTTCCGACGTAGATCATCTTAGCTTCCTCCCTGTTTCAATGGGCGAGGTAGCAATTTGCTAATAAGTGTCAAGAATATATTGAAGACATATCCATTTCGCGGGACAACTAACGATATAGGGAGATCTATCCGGAACCTTATAAGATGACGATCCTTTGCATGTCACCATATGCCGGGTCATCGGCAGTCGTGGAAACATTGACTCCTTCTCTCAATGGTCTAGAACTGTTGACATGGGGAAGCTTTGACAATTGTCATCACGTCAGGTTTCGGTCGACATGCCAATTAAGCAACTAGTCCGTCCTTAGTCCGGTTTGACCAATTGAAGAGGCGTAAGGCTAACGGCTTGGCTCCGCAGGTTGGGCTGAATTCTCGTGAGCACTATGTTATAAGGGTTAGTTGAATACATTTGCCGGGCAATCCCTCGAGTGAGCCGTCCCGGATGTGCATGTCCATTTGGCTTGGTGTAAGTTGATGGTATCAAGTGACGATAATGAACTTTTGTAACACTGACTCGTGTGAAATAAGTCATGGTGTCGACGGAGCGGTGAGGCGTTCACGAAGACCAACACGAAACTCAACAACTCTGCATAAAGTAAACCATAATTGATATTGGGGCGAGCCATGTGCTAAACTCACAATATGTACAGACATAAAGCTTAGGTACATAAACTTTTACCAAGAAGTAAACCAAATCGTTCCATCCGTCTCTCATAACATTTCATCAATCGTCTAGCAGCTCGTGGTGACTCCAGAAGTGGTGCAGTACTTGCCATCAGGACCAGATCCGATCTTGGAAGGCTCAGCACCGCTTGAGTTACCCTCGTAGCGGTCACAGTACTTGCCCTTGTTCTGGCACGAGTTGCTGATCTTGCAGGTGTCTCCGTAGTTGGTGTTAATGCCGCAGAGAACACCACCGTCGACGGCAACGGAGCCCTGGATGACAACGTTTCGAGGACCGCCGTTATCCTTGCAGTTTCCGCAGCTGCGGACGAGCTTTCCGTAGTCCTCGGCGTAGAAATCCTTGATCTGGACGGTTCCGCGGCCGTTGAACTGGACGATCTTGTCGCTAGCATGGAAAGCACCGCCGCCGTTGATGTAGGAAGTTCCACTGGTCTGCTTGAGGGTGATGGCATCCTCACAGACGTCGGCCCACCAGACGTTGTTCAGGGTGCTAAAGTCAAAATCAGCATGAGAAACGGTGAGCCGAGAGAAACTTGCTCACCAAGTACCCTTGCAGTGGACACCTTCGGCCTGAGATGCGCCGATGATCACGTTAGAAAGAGTGGCGCCGTTCTCGAGGATGAACATAGCATCCTTCTCACCAGTTTCAGTCTGGCCTTGGCAAACAGAGGCTAGGACAAAGTGTTAGTCAGAGGTTCTAGAGACAAGGTATAAAGAGGCTTACGGCTGCGCTCGAATCGCTTCATGCCACCATCATAGCTGCCCTTGACAGGAACAGCAGTAGGGAATGAAGTAGCACCGGCAGACTTAGGGAGAGTCTTGGTGACAGCGGCGGAGGAGACGCCAGCAAGGGCGAGGATGGCAGTGTACTTCATGATGAATGAGTTGAGGTTATCCCGAAGATGTGTCTAGTCAAGGCTCGAGTTGTGATGCTGAGTGAACAGGTCTCTTGACTTCCTGGATCTCTCATCCCTTATATATTTATCAACATTATACGTTAGTTCTCCTTGATATATCGGTTTCAATCAATCTTCCCCTTTGTTCTAGAGGCCCCTGTACCTGTTTTTCGCTCGTTGCACCAATTAGCATCGTATAATCACGCTCGAGTCCGAAAACGGCAAGCTAGTATCCGAGGTGAAACTCCGTTCAATGTTACATCTCGAACGAAGCTCAATCCTCATTCGAGGAATTACAAGTCAAAATTCTCCGTCTCGACTGGTTATTTGCGGAGACCAATCAGATGGCCTGATTTTCTGCTCAACTTGC